AATGGGATCATTTCCATTGAAATCTTGTTTACTCGATGCGGGAGAGATGTTTATTTTATACATACGAAGATTTCCAACTGAACAGACAACGAAGTAAGTCTTCATTTCCAAGCTGGTCTGTGTAGCTGATAGCCAATCAAATGATGTGTAAAACATATGTCGCGTGTAAGAAAAACGACACGATACTTTCCATATTGATTACTTGTCTTGCGAAAAGTAACACGACGATCATAACAAAAGACATTCCACATCGTCGATTTTCTAAAAGTGTCAAAAGTTTTTTTCCGATCAAGATAGATTAACGATCAAGATAGACATTGTTATTCTCTCGTTAATATTTACCAGAAATTTCACCCGTTTGCTGCGATCACTCGTTTTATTCCTGAATATTCTCTTACTCACGCGTAAACACCTTACTGATGGCTTCCTATTAAATATTCTACCTTAATATCTTAACCTCTTGAAAATAATCTTCGGGAATTTGTAAAATAAAATGAAACACTCATCTGGGGTAGACTGTCTTATTTTCAAAGCTTTTTTGTTAATTCCTTTGATGTGCTGAAATACAAGCAGCATTTATGTTTGCAAGGTTTTTATAGATAGAGCCCCTTTAATAAAGACTTTCCCCTTCTTTTCCGGCATCAAAGTGAAGTCACGACAACGATTCTTCACTAATCTCGGTAATTTCCTCTAAAATTATCAAAACGAAAAAAAATATAAACATATGTTTTGCAGAAGTTCTACTAAAGTTTACATACAAGAGACTTTGGTTTTGATCTATCGTGACCTCTCTGACCTACAATCACGTACGGAAATCATGGTAGACAGATACACCACCACTGTTGTTTTGGTACACTTTGGGATCCTATCACTCACCGGTTGTGAAAATGTACATTGTGCGGTTGTGAAAATGCGCATTGTGCGGTTGTGAAAATGCGCATTGTGCGGTTGTGAAAATGCGAATTGCGCGGTTGTGAAAATACGAATTGTGCGGTTGTAAAAATGTGCATTGTGCAGTTGTGAAAATGTGCATTGTGCGGTTGTAAAAATACGAATTGAATTGAAATCAGCTGTTCATTTTCCTCGCGGTAAATACTGTGCATTGATGGCAGAATTGAACTCTTTGTTCGTTTGAAGCCCCCCTCAGTTGGTTGATAATAATCTCTCGTCTACAACGTTTAAATTTCTGCCAGCAAAAGTCATTATAGACCCATTATCCAACTATAAGGCTTACAAAAGTGTCAATTACATATTGGGATTATCCTTGAAATGCTCCTATACGTATTTTGTTCGCGCTACCATATATAATTGCGGACACGAACGAGGGTCCACTCAAAACAGGATTGACTGCAGTTGTATAGACCTAAAAGGAAGATAGGGGAAGCTTATTGAAAGAAAATAGTCAAGGAAAATCATTGCTTGCCTCTTGGCAAGTATTTTTTTCTTAAAATTACTAAGTTTCAGTTCCTTTTATTCATGGTTGAGTTTTGGCACGGATTTTTATAAGCTAATTTTGGCAGAACTTATCAGCAATAGGGCACATTAATTTATTGTTGTTTGAAAGGATAATTGGAAAAGCGGCACTTTTTCAAAGTGGTTTATTCCCTTTTCTTGTCACGAACAGTATATTTCTCGTTTGTTGGACAAGGAAACGGAAACCGAATTAAGAGATTACTGAATTATTGCATTTTCCTTATCAACCAGGGCATGATCTAAGTAAATATCTTGCACACAATAGTTGCTTAAGAATTACGCGATGTAAACTCCGTAGCGTTAAGGAGATGTTCAGTTAGTTCAGGAAATTCTTGATGTTGGATCTCTGTTTAATGCAAGCTATTTCCAACATTTCTTTCAGGGGCGTGTGGCAAACGGAAACCTTCCAAATCGTGTCCAAAAAAGTGTCCAACTAAATATCGACCCGTGTGTGGCACAGATAATAAGACGTACGAAAACAGCTGTCTTCTATCCATTGCCAAATGTGCACTGCCCAAGAAAAACAGGAGCTCTCTTCAGTTACAGTATAATGGACCTTGCAGTTCGCCGACCACCCCAAAGCCTTGCCCTAGATGGGAGGACTGCAAAATTGTGAGGAAACCCGTGTGTGGGTCGGACGGGAAAACGTACCCTAACTTGTGCGTCTTCCGGATCACAAAGTGTCTTGCAAGGAGAAACAAGCAAAAGCCTCTAAAGCTAAAATACAAAAAGGCGTGCAGGAAACGAAAAAATAAGAAGGATAAAAGAAAGGAAAAAAAGAGAAAGGGAGGGAAGAAAAATGGTAAAGGGAAGTCTGGTTCCAAAGGAAAAAACAAGAGGGGAGACTAGCGACATATTGAAAATACCACGGCCAGTTTAACTTGTTACGGAGAATCACCTTCGACCGCAGCGTCTAATGAACGTAGTCCGTTAAGTGGATCTCATAAGGCTCTGAAACTCCTCATGTTGAAGTTGAGGCTAAATGCGAGGCTTCTCTTGTATAAATGCGATAAATCTGCTTGAGAATAAACAAAATCAATAGTTTTAAGCCACTTTTTAGAGCAGATTTTGTAATTTCGGGAATGGCCCATTGCTTCAGCAGAAAACATGCGTACCGTGTAGCATTTGAACTACTATTCTTGAAAAGGAAAAAAAAAAAAATTAGACATGCTGTTGGGCGCACGAAACACTGGTCGAAGCCGGATTTTTTCTCCTAATTATTTAGTGCACAGATAAGTACTGAAACAGGAATTCTAGTCAAAACAGATAGCTCTTATAACCGTAGCATCGATCGGTGATAGGTAACTAATCGTTCTTATGACTGTCTTGAATTTTGGAATTGATTCGTAGACCACATCCTATCTTTAGAATTTCTGCACAGTCTTGATGAAAGAGGCTCATGCGCCATGCTAGTAATAAAAAAAAAACTGGGTCTGCAGGAAAAGTAATGATTACGGTAAACCTTCTTCTTAATTATCCTTCTCGTCCTTGGAGTCAGTTTGGTATTTTCTAAATACTTTGCTAAGTATCAAAACGGTCATAAAATTGCTGAGGCATGGCCTTCGTCTGCCTACCGATTACAGTCTAGTCATAAATGATAATTTGCTATTTGCTAGAACTGCCTACTGATTGAATTTATACAAGTGGAATACCATTATTTGGAACTCCAATTAACCAGTGGTAACTCACAATCTTCAGGGCTAAAAATTAACTGCAGTGCTGGGTGGCCAGTCGGGCCAATTTTTCCTGAATTCTTAGTGGCCCATCCCAAAATTAAGTAGCCCTAGATTTCCTCTAGTTTAAAATTAAAAACTTGAATAAACGCCCCATGACTTTAAAAGGAGCGTTAACTAAAAGGAAAGAACAAGCTCGTGAAGTCACTGTTAAAACGGCTCGGAATTTCCACTTCAGAACTAAAAAATTCGCTAAAATGGATGATCTTAGAGTCCAGGCAAAGAAGAGAAAGGTAATCCAATTAAACTACATATTGAGTTTTATTTTTAACTTTGTACTTCGCATAATTTACATTGCAACTTTTCGAAATTCTGTAGCATAGTCGCACATCGGGCGTTCAAACCTTAACTTTTGGTAGCCCTGGTCAGTTTAACTCGCCACTGGCGACCGTGCGACCGCCAATTTTTAGCCCTAAATCTTGTTAGAAATCTCCTCCCTAACCTCCTTGAATTGTATTCAAGGCAACCCATACTGAATCGAAGGTAATCTCCCAGCAACTATGCTCGTTATGATAAGTGAAATTAACGGGAAATACTCTACTGCATGACCCATCCAAATCAAAAGCTGTTTTTGTTACAAAAATATTTTGCTATTACGTGGGATGCCTGTAAAGACCACGTTAAAATTTCGCTAGAGTGTCGTAGTAATCAAGTATGGAAATTAACCACTTGCCTGTCACCAAGTTGGTATCTGTCACGTCTGAGATTTGGCTTGCCTGACATCTTTATTTTTGCGCGAAATGTTGTCGGAAAAGCTCGCATGAAATCCCCAACGCAAGTATCACTTCCCTTCTTCGAATTACTGTGTTCCCAGAGTTGTTTCTTAGAGGAAAGTTCTAAAGTGATCTCCGTTTGCTCTTAGACCTAGCAACCTAAACCTCCTATGAAAAATATTTCTCGATCAGGCACGGAAGAACAGCGACTCGTTCGACTTCAGAGATCAGTGACATTTGAAACTAATCTTCCCATTTCACACAAATAAAAGCATCCCAAGTAAACGCCCCCAGGCGACTTACTAATCGCCAATTGTTCTTAATGAGGTATGAGGATGAAATTTTTTTTTCCGATGCTCTCTACTATCTCTCTTAGTAAAGCTGAGCCATGCCCATCTGAAAATTGGCCCCATACAGAAATTTCATTCAGAACAATCAGGGAGTAAATTCCAGCACTACTTGAAGGCTACATGACATATTATCAACGTTTACAGGAAATAATAAAAGTTTGGGGAATGAATGTAAGGACTGATGATAAAGGGAAACTGAACTGATCTCCTTTATTACAGACATTCATTAAAGTCGGAAATTACAATCCTGAGATAAAAAAAAAAGGAAGAGCCCTTAATTAGGAGGTTTCAGTGAATACATGTAACTAAACTTAAAAAACAAAACAAAACAAAACGCTTACCAGCACTTTTTTGGCTCTATAAATTGTTGAATCGAGTCTGAGCTTTCTTGTTACATAAAAAAAGCAAGCATTTAGCTCAGTCCTATTTTAGTAATTTTTTTTTTCTTATTTGGGTAGTGGCTAAAATATCAAATAAAAGTACATTCAATTTTGATCAGATTCAATCAATAACTATTTGCTTTTAATAATTATGGTTGATTCTTATATCATTATTTTTATTGTTATTATTATTATCATTGTTATTATTATCATTATTGTCATTAAAATCGTAATTATTGTTATCATTGTTATGATTTATATTATAATTATTGTTATCATTATTGTTATGATCATGATTGCTATTACCATTGTTAACTACGGCTATGAAAAAATGGTATTTTTTATCGTGGTTTAATGGTTTTTTGAAAGATTCAGAAAATAAAAACCAATACTTGTCGGTTAGTAAGTTTTGGTCCTAACGAACAAAGACTTTCCATGAGTCCCCAGAGGAAACTCCAACTTGGTAATCATCGCATTCCCACCTATGGCCATCTAAATATAACACATAGTGATATGCACCCCCAACAAAAGCAGAGTGATCAAAGAGCCTTGCTGTATTACCCAAGCCCAAGTGACCCCATTTGCCTACAAAATACACATTGTCATATCCCCATCTGCTGCACTGTCCTGCTAAATAAGAATTATCATCAGCCATTTTCACATACGAGCCACAGGAGAGAGGCATTACATTCGTTTGATAACTGAAAAACTGGACAGCTGCTTCACCAGCGCTGTTCTTTGCCGTCATGACGTGGAACGTTCTCTGCTTTCTGCAGTAGAACCTCAACTGAGTGAAAGACAAATGCTGTCTTAGTTGCTTCATGGCACTGTTTGAGAGGAACATCTGAGATTTACTGATTCCACGGTACGATGATTCCACTGAGAACCGAAAGGGTTTGTTTGAACTGCCGACCACAACCTCAGACACAAGAAGCCATCCTCCTAAAGTCGGATAAAACTCCAAGTTACAAATTAAATCAATAGAATAGAAATTATATAATAATTGAATAAATAAATAAACAAACAAATATGTTGGAAGTAAATGAGTAAGTAAAATAGATATTAACCAAGTAGATCAACGATTGAAAATTGGGGTTTTCCTTCTTGTTGGGAACTCGATCAGATTATTGGTAAAAAAAAAAAGGGGGGGGGGGAGGGGTGCGGGTGAATTATATCGGGTAAATTGTAGAACTAGGGATTTGTTACTATAATTTTCTAACGTCACCCTTGTTGGGAATGGTCTCGAATTAACCTATATTAATTTCTCCTTTACGGGGCCAACCCATAATAGTAGAATAGGAGAAACTGAGAAAAGATGAATAATAGCATAAGCTAGTTCGATTGTTTTGTCTCCGCCCTGAGAGAAATTAGTTATCACAAACTAGTTTCTGGAGCTACAGCATACCTCCGTCTGTTGTCATATCGCAAAAAACCTTTAAAGGATTTCCGTTTTTCTCAGGGTCGATCCAGTATTTTCCATCTTTCCTAGAAAGTCCTAAGTCACGCATTTCCTTGCAGGAATGAGCAGGATCACTGGAGTACAAGCCAAGGGTTGGTGCTAAACAAACGAGCAAGCAAAAAAAAATAGATCTAGGCTTATTAGAAATAAACATATTGAATGATATCATATCCTGAGAAGCGCCAGTTACCATGACATGTATCTCTTTTGTAAAACTCACTTGTCGAGCACTATTATTCAAACGATTACAAACTGTCTTCCTCGCTTTATATATTCTTCTAATTGTGCCAAGATGGGGTCTCACATAACTCATAGGTCCGAGGGCTAGCCTTTTTGGCGAGTTAACTTGAATGGTAATAATTGTAAACATCATTGCACCAAAGCTAGAACTTGGAAAGCAAATACAGATAGTTTTGGGAAGAGCTGATTGGTTAATGGCTTTTTTTATGCTTTCTCATTTATATATGTATCGTACTTACAGCATTCAAAGCCATCTCCTTGGTAAGAACTATCACAAAGACATGTGTATGAGCCCACGGTGTTAATGCAACTTGCTTTACTGTCACATGCGTCCTGGTTTGTGTTGCACTCATCCAAGTCTGAAGATTGAAATATATCTATTGACCTTTACAATACAATAATAAAAAAACAAACAAACAAACAAAATGAAGACATCAAACCAAAAAAAGTTTTAAAAAAGAAATATTATCTGTATCCTGAATCTATGAAGTAGGGTAAGAAAAGTAACTTTTACCTAGGAAAGGCAAGAATGAGAGACGGAGGTAGGCAAATAAAGAGTGGAAAAGGAGATGGAAGCCAAACAAAAGCGAGGGTAGGCGAAAAAATACGAGGAAAGGTGAAGAAATGCAATGAAGGCAAAGAAACCAGGGAAGAGGTCGCCCACGTAGATTGACAAAAAGCGAGAAAAGACATCGAAAGGCGAGGAAAGATTGGTCAAAAAGAACCAGTGAAAGGCTAGCAAGGGCGGAAAGTGAATGTTTGAAATGAATGTTTGAAAGTGACGCAGGAACTTTTTTTTGTAGCACATGCGTTTCATCTCTCTCTCTTAACTTCCCTCTATCCTTCCCAAATAAATCTTGATTAACGACGTAAACACCTTACCTTTCTTACAAGTGTACTGATGACAGTCACTGCACTTTACGTCGTTCCATTCGTAGCGATATTTAATGCCAAGTGCGTGCACACAATCTTCTTCTTTAAAATTATTTGGCTGATTCTTAGCCCAGGCTGTAAAATTCCCTCTTCCTCGATCCGCCCATGTAAAATTACCCTCTGATGTTCTGTCATTGAGGCCAAGCCATGATTTTTCTCCATTATGGCGATGCTGTATGAAAACGTTTTCTTCGCTGCTTTTAATATCAGCGATAGCTGAGTTTTCGTTTCGACAGTTCCTTAGGGCTGTGGTCCAGTTTGCGCAGGTTTTACTTGTAAAATAGCAGTGACCATCGAAGTAGTTCCATCCAGGGTCGCATATATCTATGTAAGAAGCAAAAGTTGTACTGTAGATAGAGAGAAGGTTTCCACCATGCAGTAAACTCAGAGCATGATGAAGTTGCAGTAGAAAAATACTTAAAAAAATACATTATCCTCTTCTTGCTTATCAAGAAGAGGACAATGTACTTATCACAGACTCTGCTACACTCAGGCAAATATACAGCTCTTATTGGTCTCGTAGCACAGTCTCTTGGAGATCAAGAATAAAGATAATAGAAGGAAATAATCTTTGGAACACACGATTTAGCGATGTCTAGCACAACAATCCGTCACAGCATGACTCAGAAACCCTTGATTCCAGCCTAATACAGTTTTGTATGAAAGACATCATTCTTTAATTCTAATGATCATAAATTATTTTTTATACCAACAATACAAAATTCAGTTCAGTGAACAATTTCGATAAAAACTGGTCGAGAACGAAATGCAGCTCCTCAACATCATGCCAATAATTTCAACTTTGTCGATATACATCCGCAGAACTAGAATACGTGTTGGGACTAACAGAACTGATTTTTCCACTTCTAATAGCAAACTTGAGATAGGGTCCATGCACCATTTCAAGTACTTCGTTGTTTAAGAATTAATTACTATCTAACTGACCTGTCAGAACTGCATAACTTAATGATACAGGTTCATATCTGGTTTCATACAATTCTTTGAGGCAGGCTCTGAATCCCGTAGAATTCATGTTCTGGAAATAAACATTTCATTCATTGAAAATCAACAAATGAAGAACATTTGTGGATAGACACGTTTCATTAACCTCTCCAGAAGTAAATAAGAATTGGATATTTTGAAAATGGAGAAAAAAGATGAAGATAACCTCAATCCATGTTGTGATTCCATTGTGAACTGGGGCTGAATTTCCATTGTCTGTGTGGTGATTGGCAGTCACTAGGACTGATGGTGTGCTGTTGTAGCTTTTGGTGAACAGGACAAACTGTTTTTGAAATAAGAACGGACGTAACTTCATGAACAGCATTACCTACAACTGGTGAAGTTTTGCTCCCACGATATTTTGACAGGCCTTCCAGCGGAAACTCGCACGCGCAGGCTCAGATGTATCCAAAATGGCGGGCCGTAGTGGGAAGCGTTCACGGAACCTAATCGACTATGCCCAATTAAATAGATTTTCTTCAGCCGATATTGAATATAGACATTTTTTTTGTTGTCATGTTAAGAACGAAATGTCTTTACAAATACGTTTTTACTTCCCAACAAATTATATAAAAGTTTTAATTATTTTACCACTTCTTCCCTACCCCTCTTGGGTCTATTTTTGCACCGATTGCAAACGTGGTTGCTTTTTCCAAAATGGTGGACAGATTTCCTTCTTTTGGGAATTCTTTTGCTCGGATTTGCGCGAGATTTTCGCCGACTTTAAAGCTTAACGTTTGGCTCCCTTGCTCATACTTAAAAGAGGAAAAGTAAGCAGTCTTAGGAGAAAATTTCTCTGCTCCAAAATATGTGAAACTGATCCAAAAACAGGCTATTACGAGAGGACAACCTTCGAAGGAGAATGCAAAGATCACTTTTTGGACTCGTTTGTTACTCAAGCAGAGATCGAAGGATTTCTAGTGGCATTTGATGGCAATTTACAGAGAACATATGGGAGATTACTGTAGTAATCAAGAATTGTATTTCCCGTATGAAACCTCGAAAGATGTCTTACATTTTGGTAATGGTAAGTGTATTGAGGTTCGATTATCATTGCTAGAACTCCACTTTAACCAGAAAGTTATCATGAACGCCGCTACCCAGCTTAACAGTCATGATCTCACACAAGCCTTATTAAGCGGTAGCCATTTTTAAAGGGCCCGAATAGCTTGAATAAGAGCTTGACGAAGAGTTTCCGTCATCTATATACTGTAACATTGGAAGCTGCTTACCTGACAGTAGGCATTGTTATTTTCATCTAATGGAGGATTTGTGTTTGGAAATTTGATGAAACCATGTTCGGCGAAGAACGGCTTATGAAGGTCAGTAAATGCCATCCAGTTCTGCAACGGAATGTTATAATCATGTAATACTGAAGTAAACTGTTATGAAACATGAATGTGAATGTTGAGAAAGAACATTCAATGCAAGATGAGTAAAGGAGCGTAGAATACGGGAAAAGGTAAAGTGTTTCATCTGATGGGATAAGAAAGCAACCATGAGTATTTCCGTCTATTCAAGTAGATATCACTGTTATTATGTTAAATGATCTATTGAAATAATTGTCAATTTGTGCTAACTGTTTTCTTTTGATACCGAAAGACCAACGACCAACTACTTTCTCGAAAACGAGAGAACTTACCACGGTGATATCCTCGTGCTTTCCATCAAAGTTCTGCATTTCACGGAGACAAACTTTAAAAGAGTCCTTAGTCGCGTCCTCAGTCCAGATCAGAGCTGCATCGTATTCTACACCTGTCCTCAGATGTTCAGCTGTCACAAGAACTACTGGTGCCGACTTAAACTTGTCCTAAGGTTACCGAGGAGAAATGCATATGTTACAAAAAAAAAAAAAGGAATTGTTCACCAGCAGTAAAGTGTGATCATTTTTTTTTTACGAAAAAGTTTTTGACTGCTGTTAACTAGCCTTCTTCAGACAATGAATTGGAACAACTGCAAATTTTTTACTCAATTGTGCAACACATTACACAGTTGCGGCAAGAATATTTGGGAAGCGTTTTTTTTTTAACAGGCAGAAAACATAACTTTTTTCTTTTCTGTGTTGAAATTGTGATGTTTGCATATCAAAGAAAAACGCCGAGAAAAACGGAACGAGGAAAAAAACTGAATAACTGAAAAAAGAAATAGAAAATTAAACATGACCATTTTTGTGCCACATTATGTTTATCATAATTAGATACAAAATAAAATAAAGAAGTGGACACAGCAGCGAACGTTTTCCAAACTAACTTTTGAAAAAGTCACTTTTGCGCACTTGGTTCCAGACCACCACTCTTGCATCTTGATAATTCCCGTCATTCCGTTTGGCGGTGCACCTTGGTATGCCACCCAAATAATTGTTGCAAATGGGTTAAAGTTTCTTGATTTTCTTCCAGACTGCATGGCACAAACTGTAAAGTTTTCCGTGTTTGAATCTTCAATCCATGACGTTACAGCGTCATGAACGGTTTCTGAGTCATTTAAATTCATGTGGGTGACGGTAATTTGTACATGAACCTGCTTTTCAGGATAGAAGCGGTATGGCGGGAAAATGACCGTTTCACAGCTGGAATCTGACCATTTTGGCACGCGAAGTTCTATCTTGTCCCGCAGGAATGGGAAGCCTGTATGGTATACATCAAGATAAATATTTGATTAGGAAATGGATTTTTATAATTTATGAAAGTAATCCACATTCATGTCTGCAAGCTTCAATATTTAGGTAGAAACTGAACAGAATCGCTTTAAATAGCGAAGAAAATTCAAATAATTGATGAATCGATTGAAAGATAGGTGGATACATAAATGTGTAGATGGATGGATTAATTAATATATGAATGCCTGGATGGATTGATGGATTGATGGATGCTTGAATGAATTGATGGATATATGGATGCCGAGGTGAATGGATGGATGGATCGGTGGATGGATCGGTGGATGGATCGGTGGATGGATCGGTGAATGGATCGGTGGATGGATCGGTGGATGGATCGGTGGATGGATCGGTGGACTGAGGAACGGACGGAATGTGGAATAAAAGGAATTTCTCCTGGTTAATTGAGACCTTTCACTTACCTTCGCAGCTTCCTGGATGATAAACAGAATTTTTTTCCAGTCCTCTGCAGTAGTTCAACTCATACCAGCATTGGTTGTCGTAAGTCGTTCCATTTGTGGTGCACACAGGATCTTGATACGAGGGACAGTCTTCGTAACAAACACAGCGAGATTCATAGGCACTAAATGTTTTGCAAATTCCAAATGAAGGACAATGCACGCCAAGACATGGATTAAGATCTGTTAAAATATAATGATAAAAAGGCCGCTTACCAAACTCGAACAACATTATTGCGTAAAACACTATTGTAAAAATTTAGCAATCAAATGGAAAAAGGAAACAGCGAAAAAGAGAGAGAGAGAGAGAGAGAGAGAGAACAATGTTTTATATGGGAATTAGGAAAAGAACAGCATCATAGACTTCTTTAATGGAACAAGGCTAAAGTAGTTATGAATATTGATTTTAAATTGATCAGGCCAAAACCTGAATGAAAGATTGATGAAGTGTTGATTTCAAGGAAACTTTTAAAATAGAGTAGAATGCAGTCCGCAACACTTACCTCCAATCACAACATAGTAGACAGACAAAGGGTCGTGTTTACTTCCTGTTCCACTTAAATCTTTCACACAAATCGTCATGGATGTAAGTCGAATTTCCTACGAGTTGCGAAAACATTACAGTGTGTTAATTATCAGTACAATCGAACCCCTAGAATGAGCTCCTGGTTCCTCCGGGACCCACCCTGGTCTAGGCTGTGGAAAAACCCCTTTTTCCCGTCCGTTTATGTCAGGCCTTCAACGCAACTCTTTAGTTCATCTAAGAGAGTGTATTTTAGTGCGAAAGGGAATACAAAACAGTTATAAAACTTTTCTTTGCGTTTGTACCAAGATAACTCAAAAGAAAGACACAAATAAACAAATCAAAGGCTCCAATGATACCTCCACCCAAGCCGTTATTATGTTGTTTTCCGGTAGAATGAGGCTTTTCTGCTGACGGTCATAGAAGTGATGAACAGAAACCAACACAACAGGTGAAGTGTAGAAAGTAGTGTTGAACGACACTTCCTGGGAGAGAAGAGAGGGAAAGGATTAGCGATATCTTCTGTAGGATACTTAGTGAATTGAAACAGTCATCTCTTTCAGTTTCATTTAAGATAACTTTTATTTTCTGGAAAAAAAAAGCAGGAGAGACTAAGCCTAAAAGAGTCCCTAATAATTTCCTCGCGTTGACTCACATCTTATTCCAGTCCGATCCTCTATTTTTGTTTGATAGCAATGACAATTTTCCTTGATTTTCCTTATGAAAGAATTAGCGAATGAATTGATAAACAGATAGATAAATTTATTCACAGACAGATAGACACTCAGATAGAAAGACAGATAGAAGGATAGATAGATAGATAGATAGATAGAGTAATTTAGAATTATTGACTGAGTAGATAATATAAATAGGCCAATGTAAAGAGTTTCAAAGTTGAAGTTTCGAGCGTTTCGAGGGCAAAAGCTGGAAATATCAGCTTTGAAACTCTATTATGACCAATTTACGTTATCAACTCAGTTGATAATACCAAATTACCTTGTTACCTCTCTCCCACCGATGAGCACCACAGTTTCTCTAGAAACTTACCCCTTTATTAAATAAATGATATAAAGAATAATACATAAGCGCGCGTAGATATAGAATTTTTCTTCAAGCGTTCATCTCGATAGCTAACGAGTGAGCGCAGCGAACGAGTTTGAAGTCGAGTTAGACGTCGTGTTCAGCTTGATATCTCTGCGCTCCTCGTGAGCTATCGAGTTAAACACTCGAAGAGAAATTTCATATTCACGCGCACCCATGTATTATTCTCTAGATGTAGATAGATAGACAAATAAACAAATAGAAAAAACACAGCTTTAAGCTTTTTAAAAGACAATGACTGTTCAAAATAGTAAAGGGTGTAAAGAGGGTCGCACATCCTCAGATACTTACTTGACAGAAACCATAATTGTCCTCAACTTTTGGGGTATTCCTGTTTTTAAACCTAGCTTCTCCTGTCAAAGTGAAATTTAGGTCTGTACCATTTCCAGTGAAGGCAAACCAGTCCTAACAAAAGAGTAAAAAAACAAAATGCTTCCAAAAAGAAAAGAAAAAGTTAGTTGTATAAGCTCTACCACGGTATGAATTAACTTCAATATCATAACCATTTTTAGGGACAATTTTAGCATAGACTCTTTTCATCTGAAGGTGATAGTGCGGAATTGTTATGGCAGGTACGCGAGACTGTCATCAATGACTGATGTCTTTGAAATTTTATTAAGAAGGGAGATAAGAACAGCATCTCTAGAGTGCTGGTAATATTTCCGAATCATTTTCAAATCTCTTCTTTTTTTGGAATAATCGTCTTACAAATACCGAAAAAATCTGAATAAAAATGTAACACCAACTACTCCGAACGTATGGTAAAAAAAGGCTAATTCGGGCCTCTTACTTCCGAAGTCGATGGTGTTTACTGAATAATTGTAAAGTAGCGCACAATGGAACCTATCGGGAAATGGAAGCCTATCACTGTGGATGGTCTTCTACAGAAAGCGTCAGTCAGCTCGCTTACCACAATTGTATCTTGGTGTTGTCCGTCAAACGGCAGAAACTCCCGGATGCACACTTCGAAACTTCCATGTTTAATATTCTCCAACCAAACATACATGGCGTCATCGGGTTTTGTATCACGATTGTACTTAGCGGAGACAAATACGAAAGGAATACCGCCAAAACCCTGCAAGTATTTCAATGTCCTCTAAGCAGCCGTTCTCGGTACTAATATTTTATATTTGTATGGCCGTATACTTATGCGTATAGCGTAAGATTAGGGATGAAACTTACTTATCTTTTGCCATTACCACCAACGTATCCATGATACACTCTAACCAATAAGAGTTGATAGAACGTTGTTCAAAAATAATTTAAAGGATTTTTCGGCGAATCATACCCGTCGGGAGTATCCTTTCCGTGAGAGGTCTTATATCATTATCTTAAAAGCAACCTTTCCATCTCAATTTCGTGTTTGAAAACTATATTTATATCAAGGGGAAGTAAGTGTTTTTGGCCATTTTTGGTGTGGCTGATAGCGAACCCTTTTAGCATCGCCCAGAATGCAACGACATATCTGGGACCTTGACTGACTTAGAATGAGTAGTTATGTGGCATAACTAATTCCTGGAACACGCGCTCTTCATCATCATTGTACAACAAGCTACGAAAAAGGGTGTTGACTAACTTGTGAAAAGTCCACTTTGTTGCACTTTGTTTCTGTTGTCCAGATTCCGCTGAACTCAAGACTTCCGTGTATCATCCCCATGTGATCTTGGAAAGCCACCCAGTTGATAACACCACTTTCATTCCTTGCTGAGCCTGTTTCACGGACACACACGTCAAATCCACGTGTGGTTATAGATCTAACCCACATAGTTGATGGAGAGTGAACACGGGAAAACTCTTCGCCATAGCTCAGTGACACGTGAACTTGCACCTTGAGTTACAAAGTGAAACTAAAAAATCATAACTTTGCTTGGGAAGTTTATTACGCTGTTTTTCCGCCATTCGTGGCTTTAAAAGGTTAAATTAAATTCTTGGAAGTAAAACGTTGGCGACAAGGACATATGAGCTTTACGTTTGTATTCTATTGTAATGTTGTTTTTAAATACGCGCAAGTCTCGAAACAGAAAGTATGACAAGAATGCAATTCAAACCTATGAAAAGATTTATACTTTCCTCCATTCATACCTTCTCGGATCCACTAAACGTCTTAGGAAATGCGACGCTGGAGCAACGAGGCAAACGGCAATGAAAGGAAGGAGTGCAGCCACTGTTACAGCTCCATTGTTGAAATGTTTGCGAAATGTTAAGCTTACCAGTCTGAAGAGAAGTTCCTTCAAGCACAAAGGAAACAGTGTCATTTATGATGGTGTTTTTCTGCTATGATCTATTTATTCCTTAAAGTCTGAAATGAATGGCACTCTAGGTCATTGCCTAGGATTTTTAGGAAATCGTTCTAAGGCAAGAAATAAACGAGAGAAGAAAAAAATTCCTGACAGGGTGCATTTTTATTTAGTCTGATATGGGCTCTCAGTCGGTGAAGGCAAGTGAAAATCTGTTCCAGACCTAATTTCTAAGGAAAATAAGCGTCCTTAGTCCTTTCTGGACTACTTCATCGCAAGTAATACATTTAGTTTCGTCATAACATGACCAGATCATGTCATGTCATTTTTGACGTAACGGTCTGATCGAGTAACGCTAAGTTGGCGATCTATGAACTCTAATGAGATAGAGAGAATAATGCGCTAAATAAGATTTTAATTAAAGTACTCTTTTATATGACACTTGTGTGGTTGAAAGGCCTTGTCTTCCATTAAATACTTTAAGCCTTTCTGCATGGTTCTAAACAAAAGCTTTTTAATACTAAGGGTAAGCCACTTTACACCGGAATTTGCATTAGGCATCCCACGTGTCCTTATCATTAGACGGTACCTCGTTTGCAAACTGCGCGCGCCTCAAGACATTGTAAACTGATCGTCCAAAAATTAATTTTAGACAAGTTAAAATTCCACCAAGTTTTAGCAGATTAGCGGGATAATAATTAGCTGTTGACCAACTTTTTTTTTTTCTCGCATCTGTTGTAATTTATAAGCTTAAACTTAAACGATAACAAAGATAACGATAACAAACTTTAAAGATAACAAAGCCTATTTGATACGATTTAAAGACCACGCCGCTTCTTAAAAGTAAGATAACCTCTTTAAGTAGGAACGTTAAGAAGTTTATATTCTTGTAAAGAGCAAATAAATATTTGATAATGGACGTTTCGATAACATGCGTGAGAACATTCTGAGCCTTTAAATACCCACATGTGAGGATAATTTTAATTTTGCGTAACCTTGGAAGTTAATCATGAATAGAGTTCATAAGGTTTTAAGCCAACAGAATTACCGAATTGCCGCATGAAAATGATGAATGTGATACGTCAATACAGTTAAATGGGAAAATAGTCAAAGAAAACATGCGAGACACGCGCAGTCGTGATCCCTTTGACTTCTTTTTGCAAGTAAAACAGGGCATAACAGAGATAACGCATAGTTTCCTTATGTAGAATTCTCTATGAGCGTCGTGCCGACGTGCATGGGAGCAATAGTTCGATTTCTGATCACTGACAAACAACTGAAGTCGAAATTTGTATTAAACAATTCAAGCGTTTTCTATCTTTGTTTGTTTTTTAGAGTTAATGATGTTAATTTAAAACTGTGGCTTGAATTATGAAACGTTATATCGAAGACGCTGACATAATCAACCCCTCATTTTTTAGACAGTTTCGCCTGTAACTGCATGGATTTGAAGAATACCTCCATGAAATGAACGTAGCTCGGAAAAAAAACACTTTCCTTCTAATTGCTTACGTTTTATACATAGAATGAGGAAACATTTTCAAATTGTTTTCAAATTAGAACAGTGTGAAACAGTGGCAACTGATGCAACCGTTGATGAATAATATTCTTTTATTTTGCAACAAATGATTTCCACTTTTAGTGTGCAAAACTTCCAATAATTTGAACTTTGATAAAAACAAAAAGTGATTTCTAAAGTAATGATAAAAAGAAAAGTAGCATCGAGAAATGGGAGAGATTCCAGGGCATATATTGTTACAGCTCGTAGTGCGCACCCGCCTCTCACTCGCTTGATATTCGCTTCAGAATTTACTATAAGAAAAATGATGGTTGTCCATGTTAATAACCAATTGTCTTACCTTTCACCGCAAACAAAGTATTTGCAAGGATGACAAACGGTAAAAAAATCTGATGAAGATTCATTATATATCAAGGACGTCTTGTCGGCACACGAGGTACGCCTATTACTAATCATGTTGTACCCATCGTTTCCTTTTATATGAACACTTTATCCGGCTTATCTACACAAATTAAAACATATTTTTGTTACAAAAATTGGTGATGAATCATGTTTACGCTGCATTCCAAGGTCAGGTTAAATCACTTCGAATTGAAAGGGATGCGCGAAATCAATTCCATAAATTTTATCACGAATCAAGACAACTGCTTATCATCTCTTAAAATACGTGGCTCGGGAGATCATATGAGGGAGTGATCCGCAAATCCAAATCATCTGCGTATTGTTTCAACTAAGTTATTCTATTTGAAAGTTTAGTTACTGCATTTCACTTGCGATTAGCTTACGATATCTCATCACTAGTTATTCGAGTTTTGAAGAGTTTTGAAGTGGAATACAAAAACAAAAGATACTTCATGAAATATTCTCTGAAGAAAATATTGGAAGAAGAATAAAATTTTTATGGATAATTTTCTATTTGTTTTTTTTCCTGAAAAAATGTAGTGCAGGACATAAACAAAAATTAATCTCACAAAACTTTTTATCAAATGATAAAGGTGATGAATGTGTAGGTGGTCTCCATCTGTCGGGTTAGATAAGGTTTTCTCTAATTTTTTTTTACTTTGTTTGAAAACATTTTTAATTCAGTGGAAATGATAAATGATGATGTACTTGAACACTTCCCTCCTGTTTCCCATGACCACCCTATAATATATGCAATAACGGCGTAAAGTCTTGCAAGAAAGTCATGCAAGAAAGATTTTGTTAATATGTTTTCGAGTTTTTGATCAGAGATTTGTTTGAGGGATTCCCTCTAAAAGCTTTGGAAGGTCGTCGACACTGTAAACAATTCGCGTTTGACCTTCTTGGTCTCCTATGATGAACATTGGAGAGTCTTGGCCGTCGGTTTCATAACTACTGTACTCTTCGTCATCGTCGACTTCGGTTATTGCGAGTTCTGTATTATCAAAGTCTGAAATTGCAATCTGCGGAACTTCCTTCCCATGGTCCATATCAGAGTCAGTATCCGCCTCCTCTATGTGCAAAGTTGGAATCGTAAATTGCTTTGATGAAACGAAATCAGAGAGGTTTGGATGGTCTTCGGGAAACGTCGTTTTTTCAGGCTCCTCATGTGCATTCACAGCCTCCTGCCAAGTGTCATTTTGTGATTTTACGTTTTGGTCGATGTTGATGTAAACGTTATTCGCAGCTGATGTTGAATCGTGTCCATCTGACGCATTCTGGTGAAAGTAATTTTGCTTGCGACTTATTGGTTTGAATGGAGCAAATTTCTTTATCTGTGGTATCAAGGGCATTGCACTTTTTCCAAGCCTCCGTAGTTTCTGTTTTCCATGAGACGATACGTTCTCGATCGCGGTACCGGACTTTGTCATATTTCTTTCCGTCTCTTGAGTTTCACTTCCTTCGTCGACGACATTATCACTTGATTTTAGTGGAATATCTTCCGATGGAGGATCGATCAAGTGCAATAATTGTTCAGAAAGTCTTCTTAGACTAGGATCTCTCTTTTCTTTGGGACGGTCGTCAATCTTTGGTGGAAAGGAACACAGGGAAGCCCTTTTCCTTGGTGCCTCTGATTCCGCCTGCCTGAGTTTCATCAGAGACATGTCCGTAAGCATCTGTAACTGGTCTCTCTCACGTTCTGCTTGCTGACGTTTTTGAGTCATGGTTGAGATCATCTCTTCTAGTCGCTCTATTTCAAATTGTGCCTCTTCTAACCTGAATTGAAATTCTTCTTTCTCTTTTTTTGCTTGATCCAACGCTTCTCGAGTGTCTTTCATTTCGTTCCTTGTGGTTTCATGATGGATAGCTAACTCATCCCTCTGTTTTACAACTCCATTTAGTTGTGTCTTCAGGCTTTGTATTGTTCGATCACTTGTAGAAATGTACCGCTGATACTTCTCTTCTAGTTGGTTGATGGAATCTTTCCTTTTTGGAGAAATCAACTCCGGTGCATCGAAATCTTTGCCAACGGATTTCAAGGCTGCGACTAACTCATCCCTCTCGAGAAGGGTATCGTCAAACATAGATCTCAGCTCGTGCATATTTTTCTCACTTTCGTACTTGTAAAGTGTGTACTTCTCTTCAGTAAGGCGCTTCACCTCTTCCGCGATGTAGCGTGCTTGTTCGGCTTCGACTGCTCGATCGTTTGCTTCGTTTAATCGTAACAGAAAGGTCTTCGTCATTAGTTCCACTTCTTTCAAACACTTTGTTTCCGCCTCTTGGACTTGAGCAAGGATGGAGTCTTTGGCAGCTTCAGCTCTTTTCTGCAAAGCTTTTGCTTTTAACGCTTCCAACTCGGCACTTCGAAGTCGTTGTTTCAGTTTTTCCTGATCATAAGATGCTGGTATGTCAGTATCGTCCCAATCCATTGCAGCGTTGCCATCCTCAAATGATTCCACCATAGTATCTTTGTTTTTCTTGACGATAGATTTTGAATTTTCATCAGCAAAATTCAGCACGTTCAGTGGGTCTGTCGGTGAAGGAAAAATTATAGAGGCATCAGACACCTCCTAGGTCTACATCGATTGCCTATGTATGGGAGATTCATTAACACTATTCCACCAGAGCCCACAAGTGCATGTGAGTGACATGTAGTAAAAGTCAAGGGCAGTGTGGCTGCTAACCTAACATAAAAGTAGTGATGTACCGACCACCTCCTTACCAATACGTAATAGGAAATTTAAATTGTCTCACCTTCCAAAGAATGGGAAGAACAACTTGGGGTCGAAGATCCAACCTTCTCTGAAAGTGAGTCACGAAGATCTTGAAAGGTTGGGCGAGCCGTAGGTTCCTAAAGTAGCATTAGAAGAGGTACTTTTATCAAGCGTAAAATATGTGGCTCTGGCTCTAATTCTGTTAATGAGACGTTTCATTTGCATAGTTTGGATCCAAAAGTTAACAAGAGGTTCAAGAGTTCCCTGGTCAGTCATGGAAATCACTAAATCGTTTTGCGCAATAGGGTTTTCAATGCGCTTCGATTGTTACTGGACAATATAGCACGATTTTGGATAAGGTATAGTATCGTTGAGCTGCAGGGAAGCACATAATTGATTTGGCTTATCCATTGTTCCAGTTACTATTTGATGTTCAACATACCGCTTGCAAGCACATAGTAATCTTATCAATGAAACTGGAAACGTTGTCCAATGTGTCGTCCTTCCGTTTGAACTGTAACACCTTATCATCAGACAAAAAGAACACCGAGGTTAACCAATTAAGCATTGAGATTGATCAGCATCTTATTTCTCCCAACAGTATCAGCCCCGAATCAAACATTAAGGTCATGAGAGTAAAGGAAATGATCACGAGGCCAGGCAGCTACTGATTATGGGACAAATTGTCCTTGTAAATACCATAGGAAATGTATAGAGAAATAGTATATCGAATAGCAAACAGATCGGTCACTGGGTATAAAGGGTTAATCAGCGGACAAGAACCAGTTCTTCTCGTATTTATGATGAAGCACTGTTTCTCAGCCTATGCTTGCCTTCAATAGATTTTGCGATATAATCGTGTCATAAACAATGCACGTAAGCCACATGAAGAATTTACGTAGCCTGGCAGCAACTGTAAGCAACATTTTCTGTCGACATCGATTATTAAAATTTTAGAATTTCGTCAAATTTAAAGAAGAGAGGGATTCTTTCACCGAGGTAATTTTCAAAAATTCTCTAATTCCATTTGCGGAGACTTTTCATTTTATGACAGTACAAGTCTGAAGTCTGAGGTCTGAAGCCTGAATTATTGCAAAAAACATCATCTAGTCTGTTCTTAAACAACGCAGTGTGAAAATACTTGCGACGCACCTGCTCTAAATCTGTTATTGGTTGCTGGATCGCTGTAGTGACAGCAAAGATGAATAAACCTGCAAAATATCATGTTCAGTCACTAGAGAACAAACAAAATCTGTGAAAATAAAGGCAATTTATACATAAGCCTGCATTTTGGTGACTTATAGTGCAATATGAGTTAACTAACCGTAAGCCCAGACGTCTGACGGAAACGATCCTGTAGACTCCATAAGTTCAGGGGCTGGAATGGGGATCTTGTTCTTGTAAACATCGTCCGAGAGTGCTCTCTTGCACCAGGGAGATCTATATTTGCCCAAATTTATTTAATTTAATTTTTTTTTTCAAATTTTTTTTCATCTGTCTGAAAAATATTTCATTATCATCTCTTCTATAAGATTTTTCAGGGTTTTCAAATCTTACTAACAACTAACAAGAGTACAAAATGGGGTCACTTAATCGACCCTAACAGGATCTGCATTTGAGTGACTTTTTGAGTGTTTGTTTTCTAGTTGTTTGTTTTTTATTTCTATTCGTTTGTTGTTTTCTCTATTGTTTGTTCGATTGGTTATTTCTCTCTTTTTTTTCCTATTCATGTCTCACTCTGCCTTTGCAAATAGTGACTCACCTTGCACAATGAAAGCCGGATATCTTTATTGTTCCTTTATCGCCTACAAGACAGTTCTTGGGAACCTGACAACGAGGACGAAATCAGAAAACAAACAAGAAAAATAAAGCACATCAATTACAATACCAAAGAGGATAAGCTGAAAAACCAAATAGAAATGCCGAGGTAAGTTTGTCTGGATGTGACATATTAAAAAAACGACGGTTGACGTAGGAATCAACAAGGTCTCATGCTAAATGCCTTCATTGGTTTTCAAAGGAATGAAGCAAAGATTGAGAAAGATAACTGTAAGAAATTCAAATAGGTCTTTCTTTATGCTTTGTTATTTGGCTAACTCTTCTTTCTTTCCCTCATTGCCTGGTTGTTTGTTTGTTTGTTTTCGACCAAATGTTATTGTGGAAACTATATCGGGAAAACGAATCCCATTGATCTGCACCTGACAAATTACTGTTAGGTGTATGATTCAGTTATATTCCCAAAATAATTTTCATAAGTCTTAGAAGAAAATAATTTAGTTCTTTGTTCATCAAAAAAGGTTATTTTTCAGAATCAGGAGGATAGAGCAGCTTGTTAATACAAGATTTACTCTTCATAAATGTGTTGGTACCGCACAACAGAATTAGTGATTTTTGAACCAGCAACGGACACCTTCATACAACTAATGTACCTTTTTTATCAAACTAATGCAGATTGTGTTGTTTCAGTGTTAGTTAAAGCAACTTGGAAAATTAGTGGTACTATCTACCACAGTTTTAGTACTAACCAACTCGCCGTGTACTGTACGGCATTCGTGCAGATAGACCATTCCGTTGATCACTTGATTCATGATATGCCCCAATTCCGTGGGATAGGAAAGTAACAGAGAAGAGTTTCTCGTCAGATAGTCTGAAAGGTCTCCTGAAAATAAAATAAAAAATGTTTAAATACGAAGGCAACTTAGCCACAGTTGCATGTTACATATTATGTCACCGAATGGATAATTAAATTTGAAGCTGTCATTTGAGACCCTTTGGAAGTTTTTAAGAGTGGCGTCGTGAAATTGAAGGAAAATGGTCTTTGACAATTATGTTTTGATCATAAGTACGTTTTTTATAAAGTAGCTCAAGGCATGGCTATTATGGAAGAGGATGTGTTTGTCAATTCATGTGTGGGTTAGCTTAAATTAGAGCTTTGACTGCATTACGAACTCAAAATGCAATCATATAGAGTTATCATATCCTGCATATTACCATTAGACAGATATTCGTGAACCATAAAACTGCGCGGTCCTTTAATTCCCACTCCTTGTAACTTTACTACATTGTCATGGTTAAAGATCCTGCGAAAACAACAGAGGAGGAACAGTAAAAAGTCTGAGCGATTGGTTGTCTTCAAACTTTCCCTGTTCATCATAGTCACTAGTCAAGCAATCAGACATTCACTCCGCTAATCTAGATGTCTTTAGCCAGTCTTTTACTTAATCCAAAGCCTTTTAAGTGTGTTTAGCAGACCTTTCAAATAATAAATACTCAAGAGGTGAGTTTCCACGCAAGAAACCTTTCTCAACCGTCAGTGTGTTTAGAAGAGCATGATCTTTTTTTTACTCACATCATTAGTCTGGCCTGGTTACTAAACTTCTCCTTTAATATATCAGAACTTCCTTCCGGTAAAACGTGGATCAAGGCATCCTTGCTGTGAAATTTTCCATAGCTGACATTCTACAGAAAAGCAATGCATTTTGGATCATTCTATTACTTTCCGATGGGCACCTCATTCAACTTGCTGACGGGGTTTTCAGCCGGTTCCCTCACAATAGTAATGATAATAATAACTTTCTTTACGTGTCAACGTGATTAAGCATTGCTGATAATTGAGGACGCCTAAAACGAGTTACAACTGTCAGGACTTTGTATAAATAAAATGCCCGCCGCATCTCCCCTCCACCTTTCTTCACCAACGTGTCTTTGGCGTATCTCCTTTGTGACAGAAATACTTTAATTTACGCATAAAGTGTTAATTCAGTGAAAATCGTTCGGCGACGCTCGGGCTTACTGAGCTTACCCATGGAAGATCTGCGTTGAATTCTCCCCCAGTTTCAATCTCGCCCCAGTCAACCCTCCATATTTCTATAAAGAAAAAACATGTCAATGGTAAGTGAAAGATGCTTCAGGACGGAAGAAGATCAAACACAAATTATAAGTTAGACTTACCAAAAATTAACAAAAAGACGAATAACAACTTATATAGCTGAGATATATAAGTGATAAAAGATGTCTTTGCTACACCTCTTGACTGACTGTTTCTGACTTAAAGATAGTGACTTCCATCTTTGTTTGCTCCGAATTGTTTAAGAGCTGCTGAGCTACAATCAGGTCCCGTTTTTCTCCACATAAATATGGATGGGAAAGTCTAAGCATTCCGTATCTCTACCTGTTTTCTATAAATACGATGTTTCGTTGTCCTCATTATATGGTTTGGAGTCCCACTACTAGTTATCTGATCTATAACTGACTTTTCTGGTAAGTAAAATGCTAGCTGCGCCTAATTACAATTTACCGTCAGCGTTTTTAATGGTGGGATATTTCTCCAGGGTTATTCCAAGAGCTGCAATCAAACAAAATGCATCACAATAGATTTCATCGTGTTGAGATTTCGAGATAAAACAAAACATTTGAACTACTAGATATTGAAAGATATAATCTTTAAAGATATGCTTAATAAGCACAAGTGTCTTTTCTCCTTCTCATTGGAAAATTGACAGAGTTGAAAAACTGAGTTGTTTAGGGTGACTCACTCGATTCTCTTTTCTGAGCTTTTGTAGGATTTTTCTTTTCATTCGGCAAAAAAAGCCATAATGCGTTAGACACATAAATATTTCATGGGTATTTGGGAGAGCATCTGGCAAAATGCGTAAATTTATCAGTTAGTATTGCGTTTGCTGAGTTCTCTAAGGAAAAGAACTTAAAGCGATATCTTAAACCAAGTTTTAGAAATTAATGCGTCCATTCATGTATTACTTGGATGTTGCTTGCATTGATCCAGCAGCTGCTGTATGCTGTCAAACTGCAGGAAATTCGCATAGCACACTGCGTCAGATTCGTCTTTGACACGATATTTCTGAGTTGCCTCATCGAGAAGGACCTCTATGTGTTTCACTGTTCTGTCCATTCTGTAAAAAAGTAGACGAGAAGACAAAAAAAAAGAAGAAAAAATGAATAAACGCGTATTTTGTCAGGTAAACAGGTTTCCTATCATCCACTGACTCTATTGTTTCAATTTTACTGGTTCTAATCAAACATATGATATACGTAAAAAAACGCCACTAACCTGAACGACAAAATAGTTTTCGTCCCCAGTCCACTGCTTCTTAAGATGAAACATCCGGGAACCTACATTGCCAACAGGGATTGTTCAAGAGGAGGAATGATTAGAGTTCTATTTACCAGTTTTTAATCTTTTGTATTTAAACAGAAGATAATGCACTTTATGATACTCGAACATTCTCTGCTTCGCAATTAATGTTATATCTCAATTTATGGTCCCGATAACATACCAATAAACAAGATTAACTATTGTTTCTTTTTTGTCGGCCATCACCCGAAATTGCTGAGTACGCTTTTGGTTATTAACCACAGATATTTTCACTCTCGTGTAGTTTGATTTCTTATTCTGGGTCGTCTTTTTTGAGATATCCAGTAGCATGTCTTAATGAAATTTTCGATCTGATAAGTTGAATTATTTCGACGTTTCAGTTATTACCGTACCTGATCTCTCAAAATGGCCGTAGCTATAGACGTCGGAATTTCGCCAAAAAACCACCTGCATCGATGCACAAATAAGTGTTAACAAATATGATATCTTTATAACATAATTTGACCTGTGGGTAAATATCGCCATTTACTTACGGTTCTTCGTCGAGATCCTTTAATTTCACAAGATTTATTGGAATGTAACCATATCCACTCGTCCTTTGAAGTGTAAAAGCACTCAGTAAATGTTACCATAGGGCGCGTGTTTATTAAGTTAGAAACACGTTATACTACCGTAATATGACGATGCTCCAGTTTTGAGAAGTATTTCTAATTTGTCTTCATTTTATTTAGGGGAAGGGGAAAAGGAATGGGAACTGGAAGTGATTTGAATTTTTTCCGTTGGACGAGTTTAATGAAAATAGACATGAACAGGATTTTGTAACGTAAGACAACTCTGATGCTGTGTAGAACGATAAAGTTCAAATGTACTCTTAGAAACGTAATATCTAAATGCAAATAGCTCCCACTTACGATGTAGTTGAAAAAGCTTTCCATTCCACACTACCAGAAGCACCAGACACCGTCAGATGATCACCCTATGATAACATCGATCCACACGATTGGATAAATAAATCTAAATGAAATCTGTAACGACTTAGTACTAGAAAACAATGCAAAAATGTGGATTAGCCCATGCCGTTCAAAGCAAACTTCTTGCGACACCCAACTAAACTTTTTTGAAAACTATCAAGATTATCCGTGAATCTCACCATGCAAATCAAAATTTGTATCACAAAATTTCTCATTAATATTGAAAAATTCTAAGCCTTTAGCTTGTTCGCATTGTCTCTTTAAAGAGCACAATCACGAATGTCTTAAGTGATTGCCGTGGGGTCTCATTTCACGTTGAAAGTAGTCCCAGCCTCCCATACAATTTTTCGTAAATTTTCGGAACGTTTTCGGCATTTTTCAGGGACACTCCGTAACATCTTCCATTAAGTTTTTTGAAAAATCTGATAAATCTGGTAGTTTAAAGAAAACCATACGCGAAAGAATATGAAAATTGCTTTTCCTTTAATTATACGTATTAATCAAGAAAACTCAGCCCTCAAGTTTAACATCAAGAATAAGGAAAATTGTCAGTTAATAACTGATATTATGACTTACGGCATTAAAAGGAAGGCTCCCTGGCATGTCTGAGAAATGAGTCTCCAATGCAACTACTCCGAAGCCGTGGAAGTTGATTGCCGGTGATAACTACGAAACAAAAAATTTTAAGTATAATAATTGTAATGATGATAAAAATAATGATAATAGATGCAATAGTAATAATAACAATATTTTTAATAAAAAATTAATGATTATCAAAATTGATATTATTGATTTTTACTATTGGTATCATTATTATCATTATTGAATTCACAATGTATTTAATTTCGTCTGTTTGACGAGCGCTTAGGCGCGAAACTAAGAGTAACAGAGAATCGATGCGTCCTCTTTGATTCTTTGACTTATAATAACCAATTTATATACTTTTGTACTACCTTGTGCTTCTTTGCAGCTGGAATTCCTAGGAAATAAAGTAGAAGAGCATTGGCAAAAGAAGGCAACATTTCGGGTCAAGATGTTTTCATTATCAAGTGTATTTCAATTGATTATGGAATGAATGCCGAGACTGTGACATGGTATTGAAGAGAGAATATCTTTGGTTTTACGCGTACGTTTTCAGATAAAGGCGGCTTGGATAAGTCCTTCGACTATGCACTACTGGACTTCTCGTAAATGGATTACAAGGCAATGACCTAATGCTTACAACAAAACTGATTGTACAATGAAACAAAAGCTGGCCCATATTTAGTGGGAGAGGCTAACATAATGTTCCTTCCTTAGCTTACGTTTTTACTTACCATATATGGTACTTGGCTTGCATCCAGCAGAGCCTCGAAACGAGGTAGCTCTACAACACGACCATCCCTTTCCGGTAAAGCGACCCGAATGGTACTGGGTCAGGCACACTGGATTGTCCAGACAAGCTGAAAATTCACCCATTTGGGCACCACAGTACAGCGAAATTTAATGTATGCACCTCTATATCATCCACCTGCGCGCCCTAAACAGGTTTCCGCTCCTGCTTTTCCTCTTAAGTGTGTAAAAGAGATTTCCTCGGTAAATATTCGAAGGATTACTATGTACCACAACAGGAAAAACTCGTGGTTTTGTGAATGCACGACAAATTAAATACAAACGTTTTTTCAAAAGGTATCACGTCAAGAATAAAAAGTTTACGCACCTGATCGTAAAGAACTCAGCCATGACTCCAACTCTTCCACATCATAAGCGGAGAGGTAAAGGGTCCGAGTATTAGAATTATCCTTCTTAGTGCGACAGTGATATGTTACCTGCAATCGAGAATATCGTATTTATTCCATTGATAAGCAGCGCCCAACCTAGAACAAGCACCCTCCCTATTGTTAGGTATAGTTAGCAAGCGCCCTGCCTCGTAAAAATCGATACATGGTATACGTACGGATGTTTTCCCCTTATGTAGGTGTATGAGGAGGTCTTATGTAGGTGTATGAGGAGGTCATGTATGGCAAAAACAAGTTACACTAACCTGAAAACAAAGCGCTTGGCTGAATGCATCATCGTCTACTTCTTCGACTGATTGGATGTGGAGCAGTTCGAGAAAAAAATCAGGTTTTTCTCCTTTTGTCTGAGCAGCGAAAAAAACGTGTTGATCAAAAAAAACAAAAACAAAAACAAAAATAAAAGAATTATGATATTTTATGGGAAATAATATTTTACTTTATCGCTGGCTTCGAAATTCTTTTTATTCAGATCCGCATCTACTTCGAGAGAGAAATTTCCTTGAGAAGAATTTACTGCATATACATGTCTGTTGCTTTTTTTTTCTTTAAGGCCTGAGTTCAATATCATTGGACATTTACCGAAATTTTGTCTTTGTCTTTCTATAATTGTGTGCGTATGTTCGTGTTTTAAAAGATGGCATTAAATGGGTTTTGATTTCCGTCAAGGCTCTTGAGTCCGGAAATTGAAAACAAAGTTTACAAAGTACCAACATGGCGGCCGAGGCTGACCCAAGACAAAAATTTCCAGCGGACCAGCATTTTACCTTTTCTTGGCCCAATCCAAAGATCAACAAAATTATTTTGCCCTTTCCATATGGCCGCTGTGGTCACTCACAAAAGTTCTTTAAATCTCCTTTTTTCACGAATTTTTTTTCCCTGTAATAGTCACAATTTCTCTCATTAAACTCTAATTTGTGGTCTTTTTGGTCGGAGGCAATCTTTGATTGCAATGATGTTGCCTCACTGAGCTTTGTGATAAAAAACCTACTCAGCTAATTAGATGAAGAGCAAAAACAAATCCTGACTTATTTGGATCTGTCGCTTTTCCACGCAGCTCTTTCTGAAATTCTCCTTCCTTCAAATTGGCCTTCGTAAGCGGTTTTAACTATAAGATGTCATTGAAAGTGCGCTCCGAAGAAGCGATTATTTACTGCCTCTTAGTTAGGCTGCGAAAAGACAATCTCTTCCGTGGCTCTCGCGACAACTTTTCTGTAGCAAGCTTGTAATCCGCTTATAAAGCTTGTTGTTGACTTTCACTTTATTACGCATGAAATATCTGTTATGCCACCCACTCTTTATGTTATTGGATAATTACAATAACAATAACGGAAAAATTGAATAAACATTTCGCTTATGTGTGTATGCTTATACTGAATACAGACAACTTAATTAAACAGTGAAGGTATCCAAAATGAACACTATTTCTGGTCTGCGAAGTTGCCCAAAATCATTGTCTCTGGTAATCGTTTTATTTTATATACGTTTAGCATTGTTGGATGGGCTCTTCGGATATTTTCATTGAAAATTGACTATAAGGTCAGAAAACTGAGACGCGCTTCTAACTGACAAGTTTAGCGCATAGTTTCCGAAAGAAACCGTCTCTTTGACAGTTCAGCAGACGACATTTAGTCATATTTGAAGTTATCATGTATATTAAAGAAACAGTTTAGATCCTCAAAATGCGTGGAAATGTGAAGAAACCAAGAAACAGTGATCGCTTTAACTTTATTGAAACAGGGATTCCTATTGAAAATTACTGGAAACTGTCGATTGTATTCGATTTAGATCGAAGTAGCATTTCTTTCAGTCAGGCTATGAACTCTCATTTAGTAACAATTGGCACTTTAGTTACCGAATCCATACACATTGATCTAACTTATTAACTCCATGATACCCTTGGTAACTTCCATGAAGAGATATGAGCAATTAAGCATACTAAACCAATGCTAAACAAGGCACAAATTGGAGAGTTTATTGGGATTTTCGAATTACCCTTTTACTTTTCCTGCTCAGGGCCAGAAAAATGCTTCAATAAAGACCCAAACGGTTTATTGCTAGATACGAACGTTCATAAGCCTCCTAATCGTTGGTCTTTGTAATACTAGCAGATAAAAGCTTTAGCATTCTCTACAGATCATGCCACTAAGGTACTTACCCACTGTGCCGAACTGCGGTAATACTCTAGCAAGTTATCGCTCAATACTCCAAAAACTCCTTCGAAGAGTGACTTGGCAAGAAAGCTCTTTCTTTTTGTCTTTCGCACCAGAATATTGCCGCAGAACCTTGCTCGTTCTTTGCTGGATTCCATAAGGATGAGAAGGATTTGTCTCCCTTGGAAATTACTTGAGCAAACTCATTTCGTACCACTTTGCATATTGGGAAAACGGAGTCTTATTTACCTAGTGAGTTCGCGTAGCCATGCAAATAGTTTCAACTCTAAAATTCAACGAAAGCACAGGTAAACCACAAAACCGGAAATGGCATAACAGAACCAAGGCTGTGCATATGATAGCAGAATTCAGTTAGAAATCCTTCTTTCTACTGACGCACAAAGTGTTGTTTTCAGTCTTGCTGTTCGGTGTTTGGCTCTAGCTCCGCACCCCACGTTGGGTCGTTTATTGCCAATATTTTAATACATACGGGTTCTCATGATCCCAGTAAATTGACAGATGCCGTGCACTTCAGTTTGTTTTTGGTAGAGCAATTTCATACTGAAAGCAAAAAATCTGTCGGAAGTCGTCAGTGATTGTGTACACTAGACATATTTCTGTAGTCACGAAAATTGACATGTTAATGAAGTAGACATTCTTCATTGAAAAACATTCGCGTCCAAACTTATTTATAATCCTTCAAGAAATGAATCCCCTAACGACTATATACTAAGCACTCTTGATATAGGATTGCTGGGTGACTATGATTTATCATGATACAGACGGTTGATGACGTCGGTTGATGACGCCGGGGTAGAGAAAAATGATGTATTTTAGTTCTTCGTCCACACCTCTAGCTTTCTTTCTTAGAAAGATTTGCGAAAATATTCCGGGTTGCGCATGTAAGAGCCACATAGGAAGCTAAGCAGATGTTGTCCACGAACAAGAACTAAGAAGAAAGCTAGAAGTGATTTAACTAATAGATTTAACTGATAGATAAGTGATGGTGATTTAACTAATAGATACCGCTGCACTGGAATGATTCTTTCAAAATCCTACACCCTCGCTAGTCGCGCGAGTAGCCCACGTGTCACCTTTCAATTCTTAGCACATTAGACAGGCCTTTTGTCTGATCTTCAATTCGGGTGAATAAGCTCACGGTAAAATTAAGTCCATTAATTAAGAGACTGCGAGAGAAAACTGTGACTGTTGCTAACGGGTGACTAGGAGTGATTATTTCTTGCAGTACCATTTCTCTAATATACAATAGGTTTAACAAAATTTTTTTGGATAGATAGAAGAAAAAATTAAACTGGCTGTTCAAGCACAAGGTTGATGGTTACAATATTTCAATGGATTTCTTTTCACCCGTTAGTTCAGATTTGATCAAAGAAATAAAGAACAAACGTAAGACTACATTCGCTATGGGATCGATTATGTCCCATCAGTGTCAGTTCCTTTCACTTCAGAACCTGTTGTACGATGAACCAATATCACTGTAATTTCTTGCTTCTCTCCAACGTATTTTAGTACGTTGGAGAGAGAGAGTTATTAAAATAACTGATATCTAGTGCTGGGACCCAGTGCTATGACCGAGCTTACGTCAGAGGACAGTTAATAGAGTACTTGTTAATCCAATTTGCATATATTCCCATGATCACGACTTAGTAGGTGAACCGAATGGAAGATCTTATTCCAAGAGCATCAGAATTCTCAATTTTGGTTTCATGATGTGGAAGATGGATGACAGAAGTACAGAGATTGATTCGTCTTCGAACGTTTCAGACGAGGAAAATGATACAACAGGCAAGATTTTAATGTTTTATGACTGAATAACGCTCTATTGGTGATGTGGTGTAGTGTGGTGTGCACTAGCTAATTTTTCAATCTCACGTTGTAGGTGCAAAATTTGATGATATGACCATTTGGAGAAGTTTGTTTTGCTTTCTCCCCAAAATGGTAACGTGAAAGAGTGCCCATTACCCAGAGACTGTCTGACTGGCCTCAAATGATGGCAAATAATCTCCAATTTTAGAGAATCTTACTTTAAACTTTGATAACTTCTATCTGTATATTTTCTCGTGTAAAGGTGTTGTTAGGGATAGCAGAAGCAGAGAAGGAAAGAGCAAAAGAAATCTAATTGGTTTTTGGTGAGAAAATTGTCCCATTTGATCAACACTATGATATATAAATGCATAATAATTGTGATTAGTATATGTTCCCACTTTAAATTCATGAGACAAGCCATTAAAAAAAACAAAACAAAAAAACATTCCTAAATTTGGTTATCTAACCGAATTATTCAAAGTAGAACAGATTGAACTGAGAGCTCAACAATCGCGTATTTACAATGTGAAAGAGGGAATCAAATTTGTTTTGGTAATTCAATGCTCATCCAGCGTAACAGCTGTATGTTTGGTGCAGTAAAATTGTTAGATAGATGTTAGATGGTTTCTGTAAGTTCCTTGCACGTTGACTCAGAACCCAGTTAAAAATAAAAAAGTATTAAAAATACTGTTATTAGCTAAGGTTACCCACCCTTTCCTTATTCATCTACCAGGCTTCTTGGCTTATGTAACAACTTTGGTTATGTGGTTATGTTGAGTGCTGCTCATGATATTCTTCATCAAGAGAAAACCAGTGGGCAAGGAAACCAAGTAAGGTTTTGCATTCTTCCTTAAATATTAATTTGTGTAAAGCATATTATGATTCCACTGTTATGTCATTTTACCATAAAACAGCAATAGAACATGCAAAATATGCCATGGTAGTACACTATAGAGCAGGGCAAAAAAACAGACAGAAACGATTTGTGCAATCTTTGATTTCTTTTCGATTTGTGAGACCAGATAGATCTCTGTTACTGTTAGTGCATATATTATGATTGGTCAATTTAGCAGGCTGTATTTCACTGTTTGACCTTGCTAAGTTAAAAGCTTGTTTGAATTGAAATGTTCTTCCCTCTATTTGAACCCAGAGATGGAATAAATATTGTTTTGACTTAGTTTTCTCAGTTTGTACTATAAGCTACAAAACCTTGTTCACAAATTAAAGCTTCTTATGATACACAATTTTATACACAGTGTTTTGCCGCATAAAAATCTTGATTTATGTTTTTTAGACATCAAACAGCGCAAGCTTGACATTGGATGTTACTGAGTCATTCAACTCAACTGATGGTTTAAATTGCAACCCTTTGTCAACTGGGGTATGGAAGGAAAATTTTGCATTAATTGAAAGTAATGTTCTTGTTAAATGCACTGATGAAATGATACATAGACATACATGGAATTATGCTTATTTTTTTTAGGGTCAGTATAATTGGAGGGCTCAGAGCAAGAACGATCCCTTGATTTTTCGGCCATTTTTGAAAGTGTCCACATGCCAAAATTCAATTACTTCTGAACACTTTCAAAAATGGCCAAAAAATCAAGGGATCGTTCTTGCTCTGAGCCTTTCAATTATTGTTTTGGAAAAAAGGGAAGGGGGTATATGGCATCTTCAATTTTATAACATTTCATTTGACATGTGAATGTTATTTTCAGACAGTTTTGTTAGCTGATATTTTACCAACACTCATTATCAAGATTACAGCACCATTTTATATGCAAAGAATACCTTACAGGTGAGATAAAGATCAAATTTATTATCATTTGTTGTGATGAACATCAGAGAAAGAAATTAAATCAAAGATGTGTTGAAATAAACATTCTTAGCAATATGAGAAGCATATGGTTTAGTCTATATGCCGCTTTTGAAAAAGACAGGCTACCACAACTTCATCAAGTACAAAAACTACTGCAACTGCAAACAAACTACTTTAACTACAGCAAGTACTGTAAATTTAGTAAACTAAATCCACCACTGACAACAAACACACCAAGCACATTAAGTACATTGAAAACATCTGCAGCTACAAATGTATACAACATTGCACAAAAAAAAAACAAAACAAAAAAAGACAGCAAGAGCTCCAAATACAAGAACTACACCAACTAATGCAACTGCACAAAAAACACCAATTCCTACAACCAGGTAAAGCACTGCAACTTCAATAACCACACAAACTGCAAAATAAAGCTTTAACTGTAAACTATTCCCTAAGATTATGTCTTGATGGATTTCCTAGATTCTTTTTTCCTAGCAGACATTGTGCTCCAAAGTTGAGAATTATAAGACCTCCAAGCTTTTGAAGTAAACTTACCATTTTACTGCATCAGTACCTGGCATGTGTACCATTTATAAACACAATTTGCAAATTGTAAAAGAAAGTATTAGCACAGAATATTCCTTGTTTAAGAGATGAAATGTGTGCTTGTAGGCACTGACAAGTTTAAAAATGGGGGTCTTGCAAATGAAGTTAACACTAAAAACATGGTCTAGGTAATTACTATTTACATTGGCTAGTGTTAGGATTGTGAACAGAACTTTTTTGTACTAGTAGATCTATACTACAGCCATAATACAGAGCACCTTACATGACAAGCAATGAGTGACATAATACATGTATCTGCAACAACTTCTAAACACATTTTTTTCAATTAAGTGAAGTAATTGAGTATTGAAATTTTTAGCATAATGTTACCTTATTCAATTCTCAGTGCACTTGCCTTTTTTTTTCTTTTTTGCAGTGTGCGCATGGCAATATGTGTTTTGTTTGCCTTTGCAAGTTTTGTCATTGTGGCCTGTTCTCATGCACTCTGGTTTAGTTTGTTAGGTGAGATTTGAGAGTTGTACATGTGTTCTTGAGTGTCAATTGAAATGAAGGAGTCACTGAATTATAAGGTTGTAGAGGACATCAAAGGTCACATTCACTAATTCCATCATCATTATCCTTGATATTACTGCAATTACAATTATTACTGATGTTATTGTTGGAAGGGGTAAATTAATTATATTTTCATGTAATTCTTATTGAATCAATAGGTAATCAGTATCCAAGGGTTTGTACATTTAGTTTGTCACAAAATGATATTTTTTTCCAAATGGGTGTTAATCTTGCTTCATGAGTAAAGTCGGTCTTTTTTTGAGCTAAGTGGTTTGCTAGCCAGAGCTTTTCCTCAGATGGTTTCTGTGGCATGAAGCAACTACAATGTAGGAGTATTACTACTCTTCCCCTGATGGGATGTCAATCCATTTGAGGTTACCCCACAGCAGTTTATCAGGCTTCCCTGACTTGGCTTAATACTACCCCTACATACTCCTGGTCGGAGAGAGGCAATGTGAAAGACCCAGAAAGGATCATTAACCCTCTAAACCCTAAGAGTGACTAGCTTCTAATTTCTCCTCACAATATTAGCCCTGAATCAAGCATTAAGGTCACAAGAATCAAGGAATTGATCACCAACTAAAAAATCTCTTGATTGTTGAACAAATTTTCTTTGTCAGTGCCTGAGGAATTGTACAGAGAACAGCATGGAGAATGTGTACTGACGTTAGATTGTAAAGGGTTAACCACTAACCACTTGGTTACAGCACCAATCCCACAATCTTGCTTCATGTGTATTTACTAGTTGGGAATATTCTTTTTTTTTTTTTTTTCGTAATTTGAGAAGAAATTGTTATAAAACTCTTGCCTTCATTTTGGGTTTATAATTTGCTCCACATATTTGTATTTGACCCTGTAGGTGTGGTATTTGCCAGTATAAGTTCAGGATTTGGAGAAATCACATTACTGAGCTATTCAGCTCATTTTGACAAGTGAGTAATGTCAATTGGTTCCACTGGAACCTGACATAAGCAGACACCCTTATGATGCATAAAAAGGCATGTTCATAGTTAAAGGTTGCCAGTTATACAAATTCATTTTGAGAAGTAGCCACCAGGCCCGAGTAGCATGCAGTTTTGTGCTAAAAAAGCAATGACCAAGTGATTCACAGCTTGACTGCTTGGCAAGCTACATTTAGTGGCTACTAATGTCAAAAGCAGTAGATGGATATTTACAGGAACTTATTCTTGTCAAGATCTTTGAATTTCCTTAAAGATCTTGGCCAAAAAAAAAAAAAAAGAAAGATCCTTGAATATCTTGATGAGAAAATAAAAGATCCTTGAAGTTCTTTGAAAATTCCTTGACATTTTTGCAAATATCTTCACAAGGATCTCCAAAGATTCTTGTGATTTTTACCAGGGATAGCTAATAATAAACATTGGGGAAAAAGGAGGATCGACAGAACAAATGCTTTAATGCTTATTGGATTGTTAAATGACTTAGGCCTGTGGTGTGGCAAATTGAGTTGCCTGAATCAAAGAATTAATCTAAGTTGTTATATTTAAAGATTTCAGTACATGTCATGTCATGTAAATTGTGACTAACCCTGTTTTTTTGTATTCATAGAGATGTTGTTTCAACATGGTCTTCTGGTACTGGTAAGCAATTCATTTCTAAGTGACATTTTTACAGATTTTTATTGTACATCATTTTAAGATATCCTTCCTCCAAAACTTGTTCATTTGTATACTAGAGACTCATGCCCTATTCTTGTTAGTCTTTTGAGTCTTCTCTTCTAACAGCTTCAGTGTGCAGTGCAAAATCTTAAAGCATTGTGAATACAATTTTGTATAAAGCTGTAGATGGGATCAACTAATTAGTGTTTTGAGGCAGATGAGAAGGGGTAGTTTGTGAGAGAATTTTGGTGCTATTTTATTAGCATTTGGGTTCTATTTTATTAGCCACCAGCTCACAGTATTCACAGCAACGGACTCCACTTTCTAATGGTTTACTGGCATAATTATCCACTTGGGATGTTGGGAGAACAGAACTTGTACTTTTTGAGTGTTTTCCAAAATCCCAAGTGGGTTGTTACGCTGGTAAACCTATTGAAAATGTGGTTTATTGTTATGAGGTAAACTTCAATTTTCCATTGGTTAACAGTTGCAAAAAATGATAGGTTTTTGTCAAATTGGGGTACTTGTAGTACTTCATTTATTTGATATAGATATGTAATTATGTTGTTTTTGTCTTTTTTGTTTTTGGTGCACTTTTGGCAGGAGGTGCTGGAGTGTTTGGTGCACTATCCTATGCTGGGTTCACTTCTGCCGGGGTCACGCCGAGAAACACAGTCCTAATAATGAACATCATACCATTCACATTAGGAGTCAGGTAAGCATAGAATTTGATTGACCTTTACACTCCCTGTCCTCCCCCCATAGTCACATTTAGGGAAGAGAGGGTCCAGGGTTGAGATCCATAGGAGAGGAAATGATTTACATAGCCTTTGTCGTAAGTGAAGGGTTATTTTATTCCTAGTTTGCATGTTCCCAAAACCCAGGTTTTGTTTGACCTTTAAAATAAAGAATTAAGTGTTTCTATAGGGTTTTGCAGCAGTAAGAATCATCCAAAAAACGCCAAGGGAATTTTTTGGGAGGGGGGGGAGCAGGGGTAGGGAATCCCTATGAAAAGAAACATTTTGATACTTTGATCCCCCAGGTATCATTTAAAGGTTAAAGACAAGCCCAAATTTGGCAACCTTGAAAGAAGTCCCTTAGTCTTTACCTTTTGAAAGTAATTTTCACTTTTGCTGACCATTTATCAACACATTGCAAGCTAAGTGGGGATAAAAATTCTCTTCTGAAGGTAATTTGACTTAGTTCAGGTGAATGGTTGACCTGAAATTTTGAGATTTCAAATTTGACCTGTACAGGCACAGTTTCTAAAAAAACAAAAACAAAACAAAAAATTAACTAGTGTATGATGGTGACCAAAAAATGGCAACAGCCTGAAAACCTATCTTTTTTACTTCCATGCGACGTTCAAGTGAATTTTTAAGTAAATTATGAGTCGTTTGCGGCTGTTTTTGGGCCCAAACGTTTTCGTGCGAGCTGTGTAATGTGTGTTGTTTTTGCACTGGGCTATTCCAAATAACAAAGGAAAGTGATGAATTAATTTTCCCAGTTGTCTACGGGGTGTTAGTAGTGATGAAACGATTTAAAGTATAACGTTCTACTCCAGCAGAGTTAGTACAGGCTATTGAAGGTACCCATCAGGTCTAAATGTTTTACTAACACTAATCTCTGTTCCGTATACCCCTTTCTCTAGCTACTGGTTCATCCTCGAACATCCCAAGGGTGTAACTGAACGAGAACCTTTGTTGGAAACAGCAAGGACAGAAGGAGATGGTAAGGGTCACATCATATGAACCATGTCACGCAACGTGCCCATTCTCTATTTCAGAACCTACATGTACCGAATATCTTTGAGGAGGCTAAACTTGAAAATGTGCTTTGTGCTCTGAATGAGCTTGTTAATTAATGTTCATCGCCCTCAAACTTAAGTAACCTTAAAATGATAGTAAAACGTATTCCTAAAGTTTTTAAGTTAAGGAAGGCGAGACTTACAGTATTTAATTTTATGGGAAGTTTATTTAATCAATCGCGTTCCCTTTGTATATAATTCTGATTGTATTTGTTTCCCTTTCCCTTTTTTTCATTTGGTCCTTTTCAGAGAAGCTCCCAGTGGATCCGCTAACTCTGAAAATGAAACTTATCATTACTAAGGTAAGCTTGTGAGTTCATGGTGTCCTTTCATTGATTAATGCAAAAAGATCAGCACCCCGAAGATCTTATTTCCTTTATCTTTTTTTTCAATAGTCATTGCTGAAGTTTATGCTGCCGTTATTCTTTGTTTATTTTGCTGAATATTTCATCAACCAAGGTTTGGTAAGTTCTCTTGTTTAATCACTATTGCAGTGTCAGGAAAAAAGCCACTGCGCCATTTTAAAACGTGTGAACTTTTTAACTCAAAGCCAAACATAAGGTATCGTTTTATGCTGCTGTCGATCATTATTACAACTTCCTTTTACGGGCAATGTGCGAACTTTGCAGCTCAGAGCCAAACATGAGATTTCGTTTCATGCTGCTGTCGATCATTATTGCAACTGCTACTTACAGGCAACGTGCGGACTTTGTAGCTCAGAGCCAAACATGAGATTTCGTTTCATGCATGCTGCTGTTGATCATTATTGCAACTGCCGCCTACAGGCAAAAACCCTAACCCAAAATGAAATCCTTGACCAGATTAAAGAAAATGACCTTTGAACTTTTTAAAAGCAACAGTGATGTTTCTTGGTCGGTCTACTCCATAATACACGGCATTGGAAAACGTATTGTTAGTGATGATGTCTGACCTAATAGTCAGCTTGTTAATGAAATAGAGCAGTAATTGGAATGTGCTCTTGCACTTCGAAATTTTCATACAGACGGAGTGTTTTCCGCTTTTTTCACATTACTTATTAGTTTGCTTTCCAATTAATAACGCGTTCATGGGCCTCTTATTTAGTTATTAATTTTCCAGTTTTTTTTTTTTTTTTAGCATGAATTGATATACTGGAATAAAATCTGGCTAACGCCTTCAGAGCAGTACAGATGGTAAGTCACTGTTAGATGTCGATTGATAAGATACATCTACCACCGGTTCGTCTTCGCAATCAGGGGGGGTGCAGAAATGTCGAAACGTCCGAGTTTGAGCTCTGATTGGGTTCATTTGCGAGGCAACCCAAAACATTCACAGTTCCTTTTAATGAGGTGATATGCATAGGGTTACCTGCCATTAACTCTTTTTCCTTTCGAGTTAATAGACTGTTAATCGCCTTACGCTACCAACAGTTTGAAAGTTCTGGTATATCATGTAAGATCCGGGATTTTAGTTCTTTTTCATTTCTTTCTGAATTTTCAATTGTTTCTGTAACAATTTGGTATTCACCTTACGGCAATTTGTAGTGTGATTTGGATACAGTGCTTGTGACACACTACTTCTACTGAATGTCATACTTCCAGGAATAGGAGTTGAATTTTTTTCAATTTTTTTGTAGGCAGATTAAACGATCAACGTTGTTCGTGAGGCGAAAACGTTAGGGTGTAACCTCACCTTCAACAATTCAAGCTTATTTTTTTCTTTCGGATCATGGGAATAACCGTACATTCGAACTCTCTTATCTCTTTTTCAAAGGTATCAAGTTGACTATCAGATCGGCGTATTTATATCACGTTCGTCTGCTAATATTTTCCCCATTAAAAAGATTTGGATACTGGCCATTCTACAGGTGAGTGTCTTTGTTGGGTCGGTCGGTCAGTTAGTCATTAGACTGTCTGTCTCTCTGTCTTTCGCTGTCCTTTGCTCTAGCCATGGGCTAATGCTCGAAACGTCAGCTTTGAAACTCTTAACGATGGCCAATTCACGTCATCAACTCAGTTGATAATACAAAATTACCTTGTTATACTCTCCCACCGACACAACGCCGCAGTTTCTTTAGAAACCTACTCCTTTTTTCATTTGTCTCCCCGTCTGTCTGTCTGCCTTTTTAACATAACATAGGCAGTTTTATATATTACTATTCCTTGTACTCCAGGTACAAGGAGGGATTGGTGAACGATCTTCTGAACGTTGTAATTTTAAGGAAACTCATCAGTACCTCTCTTGTTTCGCAGAACGTAAATCTCGTCATTCTCCTTTGCGAAGCGTATTTCCACTTCCTGCCATCAGTGTGGATTATGTTCTTGATTGTCTTATATGAAGGGCTTCTCGGAGGTGCTTGTTACGTCAATGCATTCTACAGAATATCACAAGAGGTAAAATCACTTCATCATATTAACAACAAAACAGAGAAAAATAAGTGTTCTTTCAAGCTCGATGCTTGTGTGCATCAGGTACTTCACATACCTTCGTCTCTAAAAGATTCTCTGAAGGGGTTTAGGAGCGCTGTTATAAGAATGCATTTAGAGTACCCACCATATCTGGTTAGCAGGGAACGTTAAAGAACCCACACGCTTCTCAGTGAGAGTAGGGAACGTAGCTCTTAGTGTTGTGGTCAGGCCTCGTCATTGTTTACACAGACCCCCATTTAAACCGGCTCTGAGCTGCACTGGGCCAGCCTGTCTTACTACCGCAAACACATACATACATACATATATTTATATACATCGGTTAAGATACGATTTGAGATTCGAAACACGCGATGGCCTTGCAAGGAAACCACGGTTAATACGGGTGTGGTAAATATCTGCTACCAACCACCTCCACTTCGGTGAATATTTGTTCAATATCGTTGATTCAGTCGAAAATTCATTCTGGTCAGACTTTTAAAAATGTTTTCTCGACTGAAAATCTAACAGACCGTCGAGTTTATCATTTCCAATTTGAATGTTAAATGTTTGTGTTTTTGGTTATCGAGGTGCAGAGCATATCGATACTGAGGCTGATAAGGTTCTATTCCCTTACCTAGGTCCCACCGGAACATAGGGAGTTCTCAATGGGTGTGACTAGTATGGCTGACAGCTGCGGTATAGCATTGGCAGGGGCTACTGCTCTGCCTACCCATAATGCTTTGTGTACATACTGGAGAAACAAGATCAGAAGCTAACGGTTACTTCGGTGTTTAAGTCAATGGATAGGTTTTTCAACCGAAATCAATGAATTATGGGATGCAAGAATGTTTAAATTCAAGTTTGGATTAATAAAGAGGGAATGCCAGAATTGGCTTCATTTTCTATAAGTTGTTTGATTTTTCTTTGTTTTGGTTTGTTTTACTGTATTTAATTTTTTACTCGTGCGAATGAGTTTTATGTGGACTCCGATATGCAAATGAGTCACTCACCAACACACTTAGATGTAGAGACTGTAATAATTTGTCGTTCCGAATTCGTCCGAGCGCGAAACCATATTGGAGTAGTAACCGCGCATAAAATGGTAGAGAGGCTTTGTTACAGTTTATACGTATCATCTTTGCTTCAAATATCACCTTCCAAGTGAAGAAAAATTTATCGAGCTCAGACACAAACCTAACACTCTGAATCGCTTCGATTGTTTTTGATTTGATTTAAAACAAGAACCATGATTAAATTCAGTTTATTGTGTATAAACATCGGAGGCCGGATCGATCAGAGGCGACGAAAATAATCCTCTGCCTTTCTGACAAAAGAAAACTGGTGGAATTCACAGTCGCATAACTTACCTCAATCAGTCAAAAAACTTGCGGTCGCATGAAATGCGTTTATGAGGTATTTTCGTTCCGAGGCAGAAAGCTTTAAGATTTGTTATCACATCCAAGCGAGAGAAAACCCGGTAAACAAAGATCATTGAGTTACAATGTAAATATTTGTTAAGCAGCTGTGAGGCAAAACGTGACGTAGAAATGAACGATTGGGCAATTTGACTTGTGCAACAAAGGAAAGTTTGGATTGCAGCGTCTAGATTTTTCGAATTTTGCAAACGGAAGTATATGCGTTTAGTATTTTGCGGAGTTGGATGGTTACCTTAATTGTGGAACTCTCTCTTGTTGGTAAATATCACTGATAATAGGAAAATATTCAACGTATTCACTGAATCCTAATAACGGAATGATGAATTCAGTTTTTTATATTGAGAATCGATATGAGAACTGTGAAAGTAGTAATTTTTTTCTTCCTCCAAACTTATTATTTCTCTAAAAGAAAAGAAAATAAGCCTATCAGCCTCCAGAATGTTGGTAATATTTGCAGAGGACGAACCTAAACAAACAGTTTATTTACCATCTTTTCTTCCAACCCTACAACCTGATGTAGTGATTTGGGATTTTTCTCCTATAAGGGAATGATTCCAGACACAGGATAATTCTCTGGTGTGACTGTAACTGAGATCAATGTCCTTGAAACAAAATTTGTAAAACTGGTAGGCTTGATTTATATAACCCATATCAAGCAAAATTATTAGCAGGCGAGATGAAGATATCAATTTTAAAATGGAAATGTCTTCCTTGGAAAGTCTAGACAGCAGTCGAGAAGTTTGAGTAGCTCATGGCTGTGCCTGGAGCAAGTCCTACGCATCTTTTGTGCTCTCCAAACTTGCCGCGTGCTTCTCGATGATGGACGCTGACGTATGAACCAGTGGTTATATCAAGAGCGCCAGAACTCTTTACCTCGTTTTCATCATGTGGGAGAGGAGCAACAAACGTACAGAAATATATCCATCTTCGAATGTCTCAGAGGAAGAAAATGACTCGTCTGGTAATATCTATAATTGAATAACGATCTGTTGTGACTCTATGCTCTTTTTTTCCTTTTTTTTTTAATCTTAAGTCGAGGGTACAAGTGACCAATTTAATAAGTTTGATCTGTTTGTTCACCCCAAATGGAAACAAGCAGGAGAGCGCTCGTTCCCCAACTGAGAGAGCGTAGGACTGTTAAATACTAGCGTTTGTTAGCTTCTTATGTCGGCAAAATTCCCCTGGGTCAAGAAAATCTTTCTTTAAACTTTGATAACTTTTGAAACCTTAGCTGCACTTTTTTCTCCTCATTTAAAGGTGTTCTTAGTGGTAGCAGAAGCAGTGAGAGAAAGAGCAAAAGAAATCTCTTTGGTTTTTGGTGAGGAAAATTGAGCTATTTTGATTTTACCCTTTTCTGCATATTACATCTTTTAGCCCAAAAAACAATTCCTTTGTTTTTCCAGGCCGAATTACTCAAAATAACAGATCGAACTGAGAGCTCTATGTTTAATATGTAGTACATCTTTTAGCCCAACAAGCAATTTCTTTGTTTTTACAGGAAGTCGGATTACTCAAAGTAACAGATCGAAGTGAGAGCTCAAAAATCGCGTATTTACAATTTGAATGGGGGAAAAATAATATGTTTTGATTGTTTCGGGTTAATTTCCATGTTTGATGTGGCCACTGTAGGGTGGTTTCTGTAAGTTCCTTGCTTAGTAACAGAAAGCAGTCAAAAAGATATTTCGGAAGTGCTTTACTTGTCTGAAGGTTGCGTAATGGGTTTTTTATGACCAATATTTTTTACGTCTTCATTTTTCAGGCTTCTCGGCTTGTGTAACTACTTTGGCTTCGTAGTTATGTTAATTGCTGCTCATGATATTCTTCATCAAGAGAAAACAAGTAATCGAGGAAACCAAGTATGGTTTGAATTAGGTGTTTCTGAAATAAGCAATTAAGGTAATCCACATTGTACATGACTACTGAAAAAACTGATAGTTTGGTTTTATGAACTGAATTGATATTGAAAAATGGCCACCGTACAGAATTTCTAAAGCTGACGTTTCGTAAGCCCTTTATCAGAGCGAATAGAGGAATTGTGGAATTGTGTGCGAGGAAAACTTTGTTAAATGTTCTTGAGTTTAAGACGGAAAGGCCGTAGACTGCCATATGCTTCATAGAATGATTCCTTTCTACGTCCCGAAGCTCTTTTCGGAAGTCTACGAAAGTGCAGAATTATAGTTGTCCGAGCAGCCGACACAAGTTGCGCGGCAGTTATTTGGCGAGCCGATCTCCACAAAAAGAAAGCTTTGCGGCAACTTTCTGACACGTCTTTTCATCAAGAAAGTTGATAAATACCGCACTTCTACCAACCAAAACATTATCAAGAACACTATGAAAGATCTTACAGCAAAATGAGAATTTCCGGTTACTGAGATCACCATCCCTAGAAAGTAGTGCATTTACTTTTTACCTAAAAAATCTTCAAACCCAACAACTCAGGACGGCGTATCGTCTCTGCCTGTTATTGCCGAACTTATTTATTGCTATTTAAGGTTACTTCCCACCCTCGCGGGTGTCCTTCAGGAAAAAATTCGTACGTGCGCAAGTTTTACTAAAATCCTGTCAAATTATATATCAAAAGAAAGCTTAATAACTACAGTTTACGATAAAAATATAACAAGCGACTTTTCTTTTAAGAAAGTGTCAGGAGCCGTTAACATGTGAAACGACCAATGGTTCTTCTATTGAATTTATCGGGTTTCGGATGCCATAGCACGAGCAAAATGGCTGCACAGTCTTAATCAAAAGGCATCAATCAAAAACAATGTGTCTTGCTTTTTCGATATTCTGATTGGCTCTCTAGATATCGGCATAGCTAAAAATATGCGAGGCGTGTTGCGTCAATGTCAAAATATCAAAATTTCAAATACATATATATATATATCAAATATCAAAATTTCCCGGCACGCTCTCGTTTGTAATTATTCCTTGGATGTTTTGGCGAAATTTGACGAAAATTGGTCAAATCTATATACCCTATAAATTCGTTCAAAGTGGTCGTATTCCTCCCAAAATCTAATACGAGATTTTAGCTCATAAAGGTTCACAAACAACTCGCGCCACGCCAGGAGATTATCTCTCCTCCTGAAACCGCAAACCAATAGGACAACGGGACCTCCTGGCGTCAATGAGGATGGATCAAGATTTCCCGGGAAAAGTAATCCATTGCATCTCGATCGCTCAGCGGAGCGTTTAGGAGGAAGACACGAAAGGCCAAAGGCCAAGAAAAAACCCGCGGGGCGATTGTTAATGTTACTTGAGTAAAGAAAAGGAAACCCCGTGTTTAACATCTCGTATGGCAAATTTTGGTTTGACGGCGACTTCTTTGTTAGAAATCTGGACGCCATCGTGGAGCTCCGTCAGTACCATTCGCTTTCACAAAGAATTTTTTTCTTCTCTTGGCTGAATGGTACTCTTACTTTCTCCTTTGGGCCTGTTTTTTTTTTTTTCTTTTTTTCTCTTTCTTTTTTACCATGGACTTTCTTCCGCTTTTGATTTTTCCCTGGGCAAAATTTTTTTCCATTATCAAAGAGCTTCCACGTGCGAATTTGGTAAAGTGCGCAATGTAAACAAAATATGGAAGTAACATGAAATTCGTGCCCCAACATGAGCGGTTGCTCCGAAAATTCTCCCAAGGGATTCGCCCAGGTCCGAGATTATGACGCCTTCCTGATTTATTAACTTTTATTTGAAGATACGTTTTTCTAAATAAATCGAGTGCTTATAAAGATTTCAGAAAATATTAATGGAAACGTTAGTTTGAATGTTTGAATGCAGTTTAGTCAATAAAGAAAAATCAATTTTTTCGGCCTCTGAAGCTGGGAAGTAATCGTAAACAAAAGTGTGGCACCTACTGTCAAATATTTGCCGTCCTATATTAAAGACAGCAAACATGCACTTAAAGTATATCGCGATTTCAATTTCTTGGGCGAAGCCAAACTTATATTCACTACGACCTCATTCCTGAAGGCCAAGATTTTCTGGCCCGAAAAAATTTTTTTCGGTCAACGCGCTGTAAAGAAACCCTTGCTCCGAACTAATTTACTCAACTGTGTTTCATTCGGGGACAACTGTTATAATAATAGTAATGATCCAAACTCAACGGACTCCCCATTCTTACCACGCCAGTCCAATCCACTACAACAGTTCTAGAGGTATAGACAACAAGCCGGTGTCCCATGCGCGAGCGCCATCCGCCGGTTACTAATACTGACTTTCATAATTGGCATTGTTTGTTTGTTTGTTTTTTAAGTGAAGTGACTAAATTAATAAAGAAAACGGCCCACAGTAGTTTGGAGAATCTCATTCAGTGACATAGTTGCAAGAATGCTTTTTGCACTCAGTCAATCGAACTCATCAATGTTCCCGTCATGCGATACACTGTCAGAGGAAAGTTTATTATTTTACAGAATTGTTACACAGTATTTCAGTGTGTGAATATCTTAACATATGCCTTGCAGACCTACATGCCTAATGCCAGCTCCATATGGCACGTTACTGAATCGTTACAGTCAGCAGATGGTTTAGAGTGCAGCCCTTTTTCAACCGGGGTATTGAAATAAAAGTTTTTGTATTAATTAAAAATTATGTTTGTTGAATGTTTTAATGGTGATGCGCATGCGTACATCAGGGAATAGGTCGTCGCCCTAGTTTAGGCTCAGTATAATCATTTTCCCTCTCTTGGAAAAAATGGTGTGATGGGATTGCCTCATTAATTTTGTACCATTTCATTTTGCAATTGAATTATTTTTCAGACTGTTCTGTTAGCCGATATTTTGCCTTCATTCGTTATCTCGATAACAGCACCATTTTTCATGCAAAGAACGCGATACAGGTTAGATGAAATTCATATTTTGCGTCATCCAGGGGTGGAATATACATGAAACAATGTCTCTTGGCTCAGTCTTTACCAGAATTCATGGTTTAGATCTTAAAGTATGACTGTCTTTTATTAGCTTTGCACACCCAAAACACACTCTGGTCTGAGCCACTGCTTTTACTTTTTTCTCTTTTTTTACATTATTATAACGTATTGACTAGCCAGCTGATCCGATTGTTTACAAATACCGTACCAGTCAAACAAAGAAATAGACTTAAGCATAGAAATAACAGGGTAATTAAGTTTTATCAAATGAGTTGATAACGTCTTGTGAATGCAGCGAACACTAGTTACCATGCTTTTCTCATCAATCTAGCGCTGCTAGTGCTGCACATTTTGATCTAAGTTAAGGATAGATTCATTAAATTTTAGCTGATCTATATTTCAGCAAATTATATGGAAGCTAAGTAGAGGAAATGTTACACAGAGCAACATGCATTGTGTGTAGTAAATATATTTTATTAGACGATTTGGTGTGTAGTATTGTTGAGCATCACCCAGAATGCTATTGTTTTTCGCGACATGTACTTACAGTGCCCAATTTATCAACGCGCGGCATAATAATTTGCAGGTCTAGAATTAGTCGGCTGTGATTGGCCAACAGATATAGCTTTGGGAATACTTGAGTCTATTTGCAGATTTCAGCTGCTGTCAATCAAACTGTTGGAGGCGTAAAAAAAATCCCAAGGTGCGATAGAGTTTACAATAGCGCTCTAATTAAAGGCGGGCCGCTCTGTTAACAAAGCGTCTTGCAAATTCATGTCCAGCGTTATTTTTATTTGACTCAATAGACGACTGACAAAAACGTTACCTGAATTATCGAAGAAGTTTCATGTAGAACAGGCAGTTTAGAGAGCTTAACCTGTGATCAGGTGGGCTTTTTTTTCCGAGTGCGAAGTGCGGCGGCAGGGGACTCGAAATTGCAGGTTAGGCGGTGCTCAATCACTCGGGCTCGTTAAGGCATGGCTCAGGATGATAAAATCCCCCCCGCGAAGTCAATCGCGCCTAGAGAAAAACATTTCAAAATGGCGGCAAAGATGGCGGACATTGTGGCACATCGAAGTTTCGGAAATTCTGTCGCTCTCTTATATTCTGAGGCTTGTTTGTGTTAGAGGTCTGGAATCACTTGGCAAGAATATGTAGGTAAGAAATTTTTTATCACTGCTTCCTTTTAAACGTTGTTTAAAGGTGTTGCTTGTTGCGCGTCCTTCGATTGAATTCAGTGTGAGTTCGATCAGACTAGATCATTGTTGACCGACAGGAAAGCTACGTATCACTTTCATCGCCGAGCAGGTGTTAATTTAGTTCCACGCTTTTTTAATTCAATATGTTTCGGACGAAGCGTGAGAAATTGAAATTGTTTTGTGTTGTTAGAGAATCTTTCTTTTGATCAGCGTAACCTGTGTTAAGGTCCAACTTACAAACGTGGAGAGAAAGGGACATTTGTAAGAAGAAAAGCATTTTGTTAGCTCAAGTTAAAATCATGTTTCGCAAAGGAATTTATGATTTAGTTTTGAAAAAAGAATTCTGGTGAACCATTGCCCTTTTATCAAAAGTCCTAATATGAAAGTTAACCATGAGAACTAACAATACAGTCATTAGTTTCAAAATCACTTGAGTAGATTTAATTTTCTCGACATTATTCATCATGCACTTGGCAAATGTTACAGTTTGAGCTCATTTTGTTCAATGAATCCTTTAGAAGCATAAATAAATTGATGACTTAAAAATTGCTGTACAAAATTAAACATTGCAACATGATTAATCATGTTGTTGCTGTTCTTTTTTAGATTTCTACCCTGCTACATTGCCTTCAGTTATGTTCCAGATCTACATACATGTAGGATACTCATATTTATCAGTTGGATTGTTATACTAAAGTTCCTCAAAATGGTATGTATTAAATAGATTTTTTGGTGCTTTTTCATGCTTACAGTACATGTGGAACCCACTGAAGACAGCTTTTCTTTGGACTTAATGTTGAGGACTGTAAATATTAATTATTTTCAGGGCTTGGAAAAATATTATGCAAATCACAAAATATCAGCACGTATTATATGTTAAAACATTGAATAATTTGAAGTGTTTATTTAGGAAGGTGAATGGTGATCTTCCATATTTTCAGTAGCTCAGTGGCAACTTTATTTTTCCTCCATGTTTTTGCTATAACTGGATCTTTTTTCATGTGGTTTTCTGTGGGATTTTTTTTGAAGACTTTGTTGAAGTTGGCTGACCACTCAGTAATTGCTTCACTTATGTCCTTGTATTTCTTTAGAACTTGTACTTGAATGTGTGCCAGGTGATTTAAGAAGTGTTCTTTGTGGTATCTTGAGCTTGAATTTTTTGTTGCATTTTTTTTAAGTTTTTCATATAACATAACATCTTTGGTTGTGCCAAGAATCTCTGAAAGAGCTTTTGCTGTTTTGCTGGATGGTAAAAAATCTTCAGATAGTTTTGGTTTCTTAGCCAGTGGTTCACCTGTCTCATTTTGCACTGTTTCACTCAGTCGCTGTGGTTCCGGAATCTGATTATTTTCTAGGTTTTCAGTACTCTCTTCTTCATCAATTAATAGAGTTGTATCTGCAGCTTCTTCTTCACATTCACCATCACTCTCAAATGACTGATCTTGAACTGGCAGATTCTGTTGCATGCATTCTTCTCTATTATGGTTTTCTTCATTGGGAATTCTGGTAGCTGGGATTTTGATTCCGCTTTGAATGCATTCTTCCCAGCAGTGTTGAAGGAAAATTTTCTCCATTCTGATATTGGAGGAGCGAAAGTGGTGAAGGGAAGGTCCTTGCTCCCTGAATTCAATTTCCTCAGGACCATCAAAGAACTCAATGCAGTCTTCATCCTCAATAAATTTCTCTCCACCAAACTCCTTCTCCCAGTACGAGGAAGTCAGCAATAGACTGAAGGTGAGCCTCCCAGTGCCTAGCATGTGTGTTGATGACATCTTTGGGTAAAACTGTGTTTCCCAGCTTTGGTAGGGCTTTGCTGATGTTGCTGATTTCCTTTTCTTGCCTGATGATGCAGGTCACAGCTGTGTTTCCTCCTGAAGTCTTCTCTGCTTGCATATGCAGAACTGCATTGCTCACTAAGCTTTCAACTCGGTTGTTCCAGGTCTTCCTGGTGATGTCGGTCAGCTCCTCAAACAACCTCTCAAACATTTCTGCATTAGTTGAACGGTGTGAAGCAAGACGAAGAAGAAAGGCAGAATGAGATACACATGCATGGAAGTATATGCCAAAGAGCTTTCTGCTTGTTAGGGCTCTAGTTGGGGTCATCACTTTTCGGCACAAAATTGCATGCCTCCAACACAGGTTATGCAACCTTAATATCAACTTTGGTGACCTCTTTCTGTCCTGGGCATAAAAAATTTCCACCATTTCGCACAGGGTAGCCAGCAAAGCTCTCACATCATGGGTTGTTGTCTGGTAAAGGGCTATAGTTAAGTAGATTAGTGTCTTGCGATAATCTACTCCTCGTTTTTTCTCTTTGTTAAGTTGGACAGCTAGTATTTCTTTAAGTTTTATCAGTGTATCAATGTCAGAAATGTGATGTGGGATTTCTTCCAGAATGTTTTTAATGTGATTCATGGAGCAGTGAAGAGCTTCAAAACACAGTACCTCATAGGACTGGAGGTTGAGACTTTCCACAGAAACACTCTCATCCCCAAACAACAGTGCTGGAATTCTTGTTGCCCCTCCAAGTTCTTCATTTAAAATTTTTGCAAGTTCTGGTTTGGTTTTGTCTGAATCTCCAAGTCCTCTTGCTTCAATTTCAGCTCGTAGCTCGTTGACCTTGAGATCTTTTAATGGGTTCAAGAGTTGTTTTGCCTCTTTTCCTTTCCTTCCTGCTAACACCAGCTGTTGCCGTTCGGTCAATGTTCTGTACTTTCTTTGGGCCATGTAATCTAGATCGTGGCACATGCTTAAATGCCCATCACAACCTGGGCAACCATAATGCCCTCCATGCTGATTTCCACATTCAAAGTTTGCTGCAGGGTTGTCTCCATTCATGAATCTCATCTCATCTTCTACTTCAACATCCTCTTCTGTTTTCACTTTTTGGGTTAAATTTACTAAATCATCATGTCTGGCTGGAACAAATTTTATCTGATCTTCAATGCTGGAACTGCTCTGCCCCAGCATATACAGATAGGGCCTCTCCACTGTTGCCTGAACATCCACATCTTTTCCATATTGAACTCTAGCTTCTGCATCAGAGAGATGAATTGCTGGGTCATACATCTCTCTCACACAAAAGAGCATGTGACCATAATTTGAAAGGGTTGAATGGTCATGCCAAATCAGCCAATGCCTCTTCCGCTGAAAGCTTTTCAGCCTTTGTTTGATTTCATCATGTGTTCCCCTTATATCCTCACTGATCTTTTCTAGCTCTGCACAAATCTCACTTTCACTGAGCTCTTCATAAAATGCATCATTTTTTATTCGAAGGAGGTTTTTGTTTTTAATCAATGCTTCTTTTCTAATGTCTTGGAAGGGAATTTTCCTTGCTTGCAAGTGGCATTTCTTCTGCTCTATCTCTCCCTGTGCATTTATAGCCAATTTGGTAATCTCTCTTTCTATCACTGGCTCTCCTATGTTAAATTTGCCACTCTCTATTCCCTCATGGATGCTTTGCTTGAGTTGTTTATTTGATTGCATCACAGGCACAGAAATTTCTCCCCCCTTTTGCTTCCTCATAGCTCTGCGTACCCTGAATCCTGGAAAATTAATCAAACCTTTTCTTACATGAGGCTAGAGAAATGATAAAAACCCATGAAAGTATTATAGGGTCACATATTCATCATTAACTTGACTTAGACTGTTGTATGCATTCTTATTACTTCAGGCCTTCTTCTTCTACTTTTAAATTCTAAATTTTAACTCTTAAATCTCACTGTTCTTTAATTAATAAATCAAATTTTGTTCAATCCTAATACACAATTTCTTTTGCTTATTAATGATATTGCAGAGATGTAACTCTCCACTGTTGGCTTAGTTACAAATTTACCACTTTTTTTACCTGTAAGGCCATCCTCTGAATTGAGATGCACTTCTGATGGGGGCTTAAATCGGGTAATGTCTACTTTTTTTGACTTCAAAAAGGCTTTGACTAATTGCCCTCCATTGCCAGGTGTCGAATCATTTCCCTTGGTTTTGATGTTGTACATTCTGGCTTTTTCTGACCAGTTTGGAGGACCATCAGGCCATGACTCTACATCTGCAAGTAGCTGGTCCAACTTTCCTTCTATGTTAGCAGGTGAAGCTGTGTGGGATCGTTCCCTGACCTTTGGTGGGGTCGTTTTTGCTCTCTCCTCGGCCTCTTCAAAGGTTTCAAAGGACAGGGCCATTCTTTGGACTTGTCTTGAACTGTAAGACTGTCGAAGGCTAAGGTGAACTGCACTGTCATTTTGTGACATTTTGGTCTCTAGTTCTTTTTTTGTTTGCCTTCGCTCATTTCTCTTCATTTTTTTCTTTTCAGCAGGTGAAGGCTTCTTTTGAAGACCCACTTCAGGGACAAGCACTAGAATGTCACTTAGTGATTTTTGAAAGTTTTCCTGGCATTTTTCATTGTAAGTGGCATATATTGCTTCCCCAATGCTTTTTAATTTCCTTTTTGTGACCTTAGGTTCTCTCTGACATTGTCTCTTGACATTTGTGTTAAGTTCAGTCAGAGGTCCTTTCCTAGCCCCTCTGCAAAACTTACTTATAGGGAAGGTAGATTGTAATTGAGAGTTGAATAAAAGACAGGCCTGGCAGCTGGTCAACGAGTGATCTTTTTTCCCTTCTTTACTAATTACTTTGCCCTCATTCCAGTTCATTGAGGAAAATGCTTTTAAGTATGCTTCTTTTTCGGTTTTACTTCTCCAGTTGTAAAATTTTTCATCAATGGTTCTGTAATGCCGCATGAAGTCTTCCCGTTTTATGTGTAGCCCAGGGTATTCTTGAAAATGTTCATTGAAGATTTTAAATCTATCTTGCAGCAATCTAGCAGCAAACTTTGTATTTCCTTCACCGGGAATCCTTTCAGTTTTGCTTAAACTTTTAGTTTCTCTAAGAAACACTCTTGCCCAAGCACAGTCAATCTTTAAAGACATCTTTGTTGCCTTGGCAGAGGATATGGGATTTGATATTGTGTTCTAATTAAACACAAGTTGGAACTCTCCACGCTGCTACTTGAACTAGCTAACTGCTCGAAATTTAAGACAAATTGCGCGCCAAAAACTAAGGAGCTCATGTAACATGTAATACGAGCCGCGTTTGCGGACCACTTTATTCATTCATGAACTAATATAAAGTCTACGAAGGTTTGAATGGACCATTGCCATTCTTCATCGATTTTTTTATTAAAGAATTACGGAAATATTAAGAAAACACTACCTTGAGATGTATTTTGTAGCCTAGAAGAACACTGTAAATGGCTGTTAGGCACCCTAAAGTTAAAAAACGACCCGATTTAATCTTAATTCGACAGCTCGAAGAATCCTCTCCTTCGACCGCCATCTTGAAGTCTGCTTTTTAGTCCATAGTTCATTTCACCATATCCCCCAGAAAAAGGGCATAAATACAATTAAATTCTTCCCCAGGGGAGAGGGATTCGAAGTTTCTGTTTCAGTCTCCCAACGGCCGTGAAACAAAATGGCGTCCGAATCGGAACATTGTCGAGTGACGACCTATTTTGCGCCATGGGGGAAAGAAAATCGATTCAAGTGTGAAAAATTTTAACATACGTTAGTTCTGCTGAACTTCTTTTTCTTGTTTTAGCCTTGCAATGTTGACCCCAAAGCTCGTAACCATTAAGAATTTAACGTAAAGACCCTCCAAACTGCTGCCGTGACGATTTCCTGACTTTTACCTATTCATCCACGGACATATGGCTGATGCCGACGCCTTTGCAGGGCTAACTCTTATGAATTAACTATTCCTAAATACGGTTTGGGCGAACTTGATTCAAGTCTTGAAGATTTGGTTTGCCCCATTTCAATTTAAAGTAAGGTAATTAATTTGGGTGTCGTCAAGGGTGACTATAATTTAATTATGGTTGCTATGGCAATGATATTTCATGGAGTGATACATAATTTCCATAGTAATAACCTCGCCAAATTTTGTTAAATTTGATCTTCTACAACGGCCTGGAATGAAAAAATAATTTTTTTGCCTCGTTTTCACGTTGTAACCATGCCTTAACGTGCCTGAGCAGCGAGTTACCTGTGATCAGGTGAATTTTTCCGCGCTCACTTACTCTATGTTTTAAGCCTTTATTTGCGTGCCCCCGTGAAAAGAGTAAAAAGCGCGAAAAAAGGGCCTAACCGTTCCGGTTCATTGTGAGCAGTGCGATGCGATTCGTGCGAGGGTCATTCACTTTTACTTCTCACTCGCGCCGTTATAATCCACTGATATTTTTTGATGACTTTTAGGTTTTAGTCTTCCCTGTTTCCAAACAGAGAAGAAGAATTAAGCGATTACAAAAACATCGGCTGCAAAGGAAATCGAAAAATTGATAGTCTGAGATATTTTCATCTTAAAAGCGTTGCTCAAATAGCGAGAGCCAGGCACGGGTCTCTCACTTGAACTTCACGCTGGCGCTCTTTTACTGTGCCAGTTAACGCAGTCCTGACCGAGAGTATGTTACCGGATTTTTTTCTCCTTGAAGTGCGAATGGTAAAGAGAAAAACAAAATGTGAATTGTGACATATTTTGACGAGCCCAAATAGCGAGTCAAAATACGAAAAATGACTTAAAATACTCAGCAATGCTATACACCAAAACATCTAATAAGTTATTTATGATTCACGTTTATTATTTTACGTGCATTTATCATAGGGCGGGAAAAGCGAAGCAGATAGAGAGTGTAACACGCGCAATACAAAAGAACTAACCGTTCAAAATCGCGCGATATTTGTACTGGACTCGCGCGTTCTCTGTACTCTACTTAGCGCAGTCACACAATATAACAAGTGACGAGATCGTCAGCAACAACTTCTGAATGTAATATTGGTTCAAACAAGTCTCTAGCATACTGAGTATATAAATAACCTTGATTAAGTTTATGATTTTTGCCTTAATTAAAGACCTTATCTTTCGGTTAATTTGCTTTCTTTGCAGTGTACGCATGGCAATATGTGTTTTGTTTGCCTTCGCAAGTTTTTCCATTGTGGCGTTTTCTCGTGTACTCTGGATTACTTTGTTGGGTGAGATTAATGAAGCAGTGGGTGAGATCTATACATTTGCAAGAGTGCAAATTCCAGTTCCAGTTTCTCTTGGAACAGGAGTCACGCGGTAGAAGCGAATCATGTATTTCTGCTGTTACGAATTAGGCTAAACCAAGGCGTTCAAGTACGGAGTTATGCCCGTTGCGCAAGGCGGAAAAAACGAGGTTCCGTAAGTTACAGTAAGGAATGAGAAAACAAAGCTATTAAGATATTTATCATATCTCTGGGTTCAAACAGGTTGGAAGGTTTCTACTCAAACAAACTTTTAAATTTAGCGGGTGATACAGTAAAATACGCCCTCAAAATTGACTAATCATAGCGCACGTATTAGGTGAGAGGTATGATAATTGTTATTAGACCCTTGCCTGTTGTTTGATATTAAAACTTGATATTTTTATTTGAACTACTAGGTGTAGCGTTTGCAAGTCTGAGTTCTGGATTGGGAGAAGCTACATTACTGAGCTATTCAGCTCATTTTGACAGGTGAGTAACGTCAATTGGCACATTGCAACCCCTCACAAGCAGACATCTTTAGGGTTCATTGCAGGAGAAAGGGTTCATAACAGGAGAACTGAAAGTTACCTTTTGTGTGACATAGTTACCTAAGCAGCTATTAGCCTGCGTAACTGGCAATTTTGTACATGTGCCTAAAAAGTGATGACGAATTCAAACCTTTCGCAACTCTGTAGCTCATTTTCATGTCTTGATGGTTCAAAGAGCATACAAAACCGCCAGTTGTGCAGCCTGGCGGAACAAATGATGAGGGAAGGAACTCTTGATATGGCTTTGTATAAATTATGCATCTTTTGATTTAGTGATCCTAACAGTTTTCTTTGCCCTCATGTAGTTGCAAGTGGTTCGACGATCCAAAGACACACCTAGGTTGTTACTTTAAAAAAAATTATCAGTAAAATTTATTGTTGTAAAACCCTCTTTTTTTTGTATTCCCAGAGATGTTGTATCAACATGGTCATCTGGTACTGGTGAGTAATACATAGATACAAGTGACATTGTTTGACAAACATTCACGTCACGTCTCTCATAAAGATGATCCTACCTCAAGTCTTTTAAATTCATGTAATACAGCCCCAAGCCTTCCGGTTTTCAAGTCTTTTGCCTCTTCCCATTTAACAGCTGTGGAGTGCTCTGGTAAATTTTGAAGCTTGCTTTTCTTAAATAGGATCACAGGTAATGTCATGAGGAAAATGAGAGGAGAAGGGATACCAAACTGCCAGCTTAAATGCAGAGCATGATCGGTTTTAAGTGCTTGCAGCCAGGAGCTGACAATATCTGGGTTCTACTTTCATCGTTTAATTTAGGTCCATAAAACAGACAGAATTTAACTCAATCATCGCAGTTTATAACAATCGTCGCCATAACCTTTTTTTTTCTTTTTTGGCAGGGGGTTCTTCAGCATTTGGTGCACTATCCTATGCTGGGCTTATTTCTTCGGGCATCACTCCAAGAAACACAGTGCTTATAATGAATGTCATACCATTTCTAATGGGAATTTGGTAAATAGAGAATTTAGTTGACCTCCAAATCCCTACTTTCCCCCTCCCTCCTTGTAGTCACATAAATTGTAGAGAATGTACAGGGTTGAAACTTATGTGCATGTGAGAGGAAGGACCCACCTCTTGTCTTATCATGCAGAGATACTTAGATATAGGCATCGGCGCTCCCCTTCGAACAGAGTTATTGCAGGTTGCAGAAGGTAACCCTTAAGTCCAAATGTTTTACGAATATTGATCTCTATTTTGTAAATCCCCTTCTTCAAGCTACTGGTTTATCCTTGAACATCCCGAGGGTATAACTGAACGAGAACCTTTGTTGGGAAAAGCAAGGACAGAAGGAGCTGGTAAGAGTCACATCATAAGAAAATTGTCATGCATCATGCACTGATATCAATTTTGCACCAAATTAGGTGGTTACAATTTTTTCATGTTTAAAGTTCGCAAGCCAAAGAAACCTAATAAATGGTACTACAGTTCCAATAACCCAAAGACTGATTTATAACTTGAAAAAGTGAGACTATATTGAGATTAATTTAGTTTTTTTTCTTGGTGTGAGGGGGAGTGGGAAGGCGAAATCTATTACGGTTTTATTCTTAATGTATTTGTACTTGTTTTGCTTATTTGTTCCTTTCAGACAAACTCCCTGTTGTTCCGCTAACCTTTGGGAAGAAACTTACCATTACCAAAGTAAGTTGCAAGTTTACACAGCGTGTAGTTTAATTATGAAAAGAGAGAGGAGCCTCTGAGAGAGTCGTCTAAAGGGATCTTTCGATCCAGCCATCCCGTAATCAACTCAGACATTTTTATCAGTTAACACCGATCCATGACGCATTTCGTTATTTGGCTCTTGTGCTCTTGTCTTGTTTGAAGAGAGCCTTTCTTTAGACTCAAAAATCAGTCACCACTGCAGAATATATGATAACACTTCCTATCTTCTTTAGAGGTAAACACTCTAACATGCTCGTAAGAACGGGACTTTGAAGACTAGTTGATACCAGCCGCCAACCCCTATCAATGTGAAAGTGGTCCCTCACAAAATTCTAGCACGCTCACTTCATTCGCCAGCTCTAAGCCAGCTTGCAGGCTTCTCGCCGCAGCGGTAATGAGAGTTTACCTCCAGGTTAGGACGAGGCAGTCTTATCCTTCCTCTTCTTGGTCTCTCTCTCTTTTTTTTTTCCATCGTAAGCCCTGCTTTTCCGCTCGTTCCCACGTAATGAATGCATAGAAAGGGCTAGGTATGTAGTGGGAACTCTTCATCAAAAAATTTACCGGGACTGGATGGTTGTATATTAACTTAGTTTCTTTACTTCTGTTTTTCAAAAGTCACTGATGAAGTTTATACTGCCGATATTCTTTATTTATTTTGCTGAATATTTCATCAACCAAGGTTTGGTAAGTACTTTCACTTTCACATCTTAACTCTATAATTGCTAAACCGAGAAGTAGCTACTGCACCTTTCAACAACAGGAAAATTACCTATGAACGTCTTTACCGGAATTTGGTCATCATTCATCACCCGTGAGCTCTGTAGTTTTATGTTGTTGAAAGCGCAGTGAGTGGAATATGCTCGTGTGCGCTAAACAGTCAAAGTGTTTTTCGTTCTTGATATTACTTATAATTTTACTATTAGATACAAACATGGTGACAGGTCACTTCTTCCTATTATTTTGTTTTCGTATAGCATGAATTGATATACTGGAATCGAATTTGGCTTTCGCCTTCTGACCAGTACAGATGGTGAGTCACAATAAGATGTCGACGGATAAAATATTTACCATAGGAGCGTTTTCTCTGTGGGAGAAACGGAAAAGTCGAAACGTTCGAGTTTGAGGTCTGATCGGACTCATTTGCGGTGTATTGCTCTTAAGCGAGACACTTAGAGCCTCAAGATTCTGCTTACTAAGTAATGTTAATGGAATAACTTGCCATAGACAAAATTTCCCCTTCGATGTGGAGGAGTAATCGTTTTAAACTACTAACAGATTGGAAGTTCTGGCAATCGTATTGTTTTTTTCTTCGAAACTTTCTATTTTCCCCGAAACAATTTGGCAATTCAGCAGTGCTGGTACTGAATGTCATGTTTTCAGCCTAATAAATGTTTACGCTTTTTTAAGACAGATTAATAATTATACGTTAATCGTGATTCGAAAGTTTCACATATAAAAGTCAACAAAAGCCTGAAATTCGAATATTCTTCTCCTTTGATTGTTTGTTGTTGCTTCTGGAATATTAGAATAACTACACTCTTAAATATTCTTTCTTATCTCTTTGTTAAGGTATCAAGTTAGCTTTCGGGTTGGTACATTTATATCACGTTCATCTGTTAACATCTTCCCCATCAAAAAGACTTGGTTATTGGCCGTTCTACAGGTGAGCATCTCTGATGGGTCAGTGAGTCGGTCAGTTAGTCAGTCTGTCAGTCATTCTGTCTATCAGTTTGTCAGTCATTAAGTCAGTCAGTTTGTCAGTCAGTCAGTCGGTAAGTCAGTTAGTTTGTTAGTCTTTTGATCTGTTAGTCTGTTAATTGTTGGTTAGTCTCTTGGTCAGTTGGTCGGTCGGTCAGTTGACTTAGTCAGTATTTGACTGTCTCTCATACCTCTCTTTTTTCGCAGAATGTCAATCTTGTCATACTCCTGTGCGAAGCGTATTTCCCCTTCCTGCCATCAGTGTGGATCATGTTCTTGATATCCTTATATGTAGGGCTTCTAGGAGGTTCCTGTTACGTCAATACATTTTACAGGATATCACAAGAGGTATGACCTATTCGTCATACTCACAACAAAACAGAGCAAAATTGGTTTTTTTCTAGCTCAGTGCTTTGTTTGCATCCGCTGCTACACACACTCTGATATTGAAAAGACTCACCAATGGAGTTAAGAGAACTATTGCAAGAAAGCACGCAAGGTACTCTAGATCACTTCAGATTTAATTTGAGATTCAAAGCATATCTTTCAAGGCCTTGTCATTAGCCATCACCCGGGTCTTGTGGTTAGACAAGGCAAATAAGGTGAGAAAAGTCCCATGCGATTGAAGTTCGCAAAGTTCTCTGAGAAGCAGTGTTTTTAGATACAAGGTAGCTGCAATTTCTTTGGCTTTTTGTCGCTAATATGACGATTTGCTCGACTGGGAGATCCAACAGACTGTTAAAGTCTTCTTTAATTTTACTCCTTGCTAAATTGGTTTTGGTGCTTTGGTATCGAGTTAAATGGAAAAGCAACACTTGTGCTGATAAAGTTCCTATCTCTTCCCAGGTCCCGCCGGAACATAGAGAGTTCTCGATGGGTGTGACCAGCGTGCCTATAAACGGTGGCATTGCACTAGCTGGTGTCGCTGTTTTGCCTGCCCATAGAGCTTTCTGTACGTACTGGAGAAACAAGATGAGAAGTTAACGGTTACTTTGGTGCCTGGTTTAATAGATAAATGTTTCATCGGAAACCGATGCAAGAAGAAAAAGAAGAAAGAAGAAGAAAGAAAAACATTGCCTCAATCACACCATATTGACAAGGCTTGGAAAGAATTAAAAGACTGAAATAAAATATGTCACATTTAATCATCTCCATTACTTACCCCAGCTATATTCTCATTACCAACAATGTAAACGAGTGACGGCTCCAGCCATTTTAATCCTTTTCATCCTAACATCAGTATGCATATTCTCCGCACTGTTCTCTATATATTTCTAAGGTACTGACAAGGAGAATTTGTTTAAAAATCAAGAGCTTCTTTAGTTGGTGATCATTCCCTTTGTTCTCGTGATCTTGATGTGTCTTGATGTGTGATTGTGGGGGGTGGGGGGGGGGGGTTTGATGGTCACTCTTTGGGGTAAAAAGGTTAATTGACAACAATTAAGCACGAAGCGAAACCTAACAAATGTTTCAGATACAGAAGATGGTAAAAGAGGTAAATACAAAGATTGACCAGCCATTTGCTGTAAGTTTTCAGTATTGCATGTTTCTCAACTACATGTAATTTGTGCGAATATATCTATTTCCATACGTCTGTGTTGATGGTTCTCCAAAAAAAATACGAAAAAGTACTCATGATGCAAAATTCTAGGCTGATCTAAGGTCCTTACCTTCGCCCTCTATACAATCCATGCTTTTCATTCACATTGAGGGCAAAACGAGAGCACTTAATTCAAGGTGACTGGAAACAGTTTTTCGGGACACCCACCAATCATATTCAAAGCACTCGAAAATCCACTTCCCTCTTCACAGTGAAACCAATTTCTCCCATACGTGAACGTAGGTTTGAAGTTTGAAATAGTGGTTGTGGCATTGCAATCGCTAATTAACATTATGATAATATTATGGGGTTCCCATAGGACAGTTTTTGGGAACGGTCTCGGAAACCATACGATAGACTTTCTCAAAACTTCAGGATTTTCTATCTTGAGATAATGCCTCGCAGCTGAGTAAATTTTAAAAAATTAAATCAAGCCGCTTCAAAATCTTACTGCCGCTAATTTAATTGCAGCGACAAATCCTGAGAAGGAGCGTGGGCTCATTTTTGACGAACAGCGGCACTACTACCCTGCTTCCTGGCCATGAATGTAGCAATATGCTCTCTGTGCGACTTCGTGGATGTTTCACCAGAGCCTTCATCTGGAAGCGGAGTGTCCACTTATAATGCGAAGCACGATGAAATCTGCGATCTTGAGAAAACGGTAATGGGATTAGTAGTAACAAAGGAAGAAAGGAAGAAAGGAAAAAGTATCAGAAATCTGGTTGGGTTTTGGTAAGGATATAACCCTAATTTATTTGACATGCCTTCTAAAATACTGTTGTTGTCCTTTTTTTTTTCTTTTCGATTACGTGGAATTTCATAACGGTTTTTGATGAAGTAATTTATTTAAGAGTCATTACCAACACACTTTGCCCGACACGACTTAAACAACATTGGCTCAGGCTGCATAATATTACAGCCCGATACTTCATTATACATTTCTTGGATAAAAAAAACAATGGCGGAGAAAAGAAAAGATTGCCTTTGAGACGATATGCCTTTGTTTTATAAAAGTATTAGATTGTGCAGAAATCTTACCTTTATTTGTACTTTTATTTGATATTCATTTAATATTTTTCAATGACAAACTTTATTATATATGCAGTTTGATTGGTTCCTAGCCCTATAATCTATTATAGGACAGATGCAGAGGTGACATTACCATTAACAATTAATATCTTGCTTTATATCATATAAAACTAACAGATTCCATGTTGCTGTGGGTCTGTTTATTAACAGATCACAGAAAATGTCAAAATGTGGTAAAAACATCATGTGACACGCTCTTCTGTGCTTTGTTTGACACTATTTTGTTCTTACCACATTTTGAATTTGTCTACGGTAGAGTATGATAGAACAGACACAAGGTAGCATGGAATCTGTTTGTTTAGTTATTCATTCACTTATTGTTTATCTGGCCCTGGTTGTTCAAAGGATGGATAATGCTATCCACCGGATAAGTAAGTACAGTTGTATTAAAATGAGAAACCTGCAAACAACTCTGAATTTCAAACTTAAACCTCCTACACAGTCAAAATAGTTTGTGTTAACTTTGTTTTCTGTGATAGAAAAGTAAAAAAACTACTAATAATGAAATATCAATTTGGCAACACTTACTTTTACTCTTGAATTTATTTCCAGACTAAAATTTTACCCAGTGTCATTATCAAGTTAACCTTACCATTTTATTGGAAAATATGTATTTCAGGTAAGGAAAAAGTTAGGTTTATAGTACAGAAAGAGGAGAAATCTGAAAAGAGAGAAAGAAAGCAATTATTTGTTTTCTGGGTAATGCTTAGAAATTAGAGGGAGATTTTCTATGCTAATTACTTCTAAGAGTTAACCCTTTAGCTCCCATGAGTGACCAAGACAGAATTTCTCCTTACAATATCAATACAATATCAACCAGATAAGTGATGAGAATGAAGAAAAATATCAATTTGGGGATAATTAGTTGATCCAATACTAAATTCTCTGAACTAACATTGTAAGAATTGTATGCTTGATAGTAAGGAGAATTGCAAATGTGATCTGGGAATTAAAGGTTTAATGGGTTAACTCTTCACACCCTAACATCAGTATGCATATTCTCCATACTGTTCTCCAAGCAATACGCTGTGGAAGTAAGGTTAGGTATTTTTTTTTAGAATTTGACACATTTTTTTATTCCTTAGAGCAGTCGTAAATATTCCCATACAAACTCGTATAATTCCGCCATGACTGTTATTGCACAAGATGATTATCTCGCAGCTGGAGCCTGGGCCGTGTGTGGATGTACTGAGTACATTTTGCTAGGAACATTAATTGAAAAGTTGAAGACTGTCTGTGACAATTTTTAATGAATTATCAGTTCATTTGCATATTTGTTTGCAGTACATGGGATGACAATATGTGTTTTGTTTGCTTGTGCAACTTCTTGAATTCAGTGGGCCTCCAATTCATGAAAACATTCTTATAACACTATTATCTTTACTTTAATTTTAAAACTTGATGCATATATTTGAACCTTTTAATGTGGTATTTGCAAGTGTAAGTTCTGGAGAAATCATGCTACTAAGCTATTTATCTCATTTTGACAAGAGGGTACTTTTAACCTCTACTAAGACAGCCTTCATAGGCAAACACCCACAGGGAACATAAAATTTTTGCAACAACAACAACATCAACAAGATTTTTCTACAATGCTAGTAGCACAGTAGCTTATACATACACCTTTTAACCCCTGAGAGTGACTTGTACCTAATTTCTCCTTACAATATCACCCCTGCATCAAACATCAAGGTCCTGAGAGTAAAGAAAATGATCACCGACTAAAGAAGCTATTGATTGTGAAACATATTTGTTCTCGTCAGTACCTTAGAAAGAGAACAGTATGGAGAATATGCATACTGATGTTAGGGTATAAAGGGTATCCAGTGTACTACATTTGAACACCCTAAAATAAATAGTGAAGTAAACTACTTGGGTACCCTTCAATTCACATTGAAAATAAGTATAATGTTAGAAAAAAGACTAAATACTGACTTAATTGCTAGTTTCCATACCCCATACATGGAGCTGACCATTAGAAATCAGATATATTGATATATAACTTGACCGAAAGGACACTCCGTTTGCCCTACCCTGTTGAATGTATCTGATCACAACGAAAAGTAATTGAGTTTTGTTTTGCCAAGGACTTCTGGCTAAATTTAGCAAGAGGTCGTGCGCATTACTGACATGCCTTTTCCACTTGGCATGCAGCCCGAGCAAAGTCAGGGCAAATTGTTGTAAAGCGCATTAGATCATATTCTCACGGAAAGGCGTTATACAAATCCATCATTTTCATCATTATCACTCTATGGCTTTATATGCCAGAGGGTAGGGAGCACCCATGACTTACTCTCAATAGATTGGAAATCTTGGAGAATGATCAGCTCACTGATAGTTGCCATACTTTCTTGTAAAATACCATGTTGAGGTATGCTATATTCAAGGCTCACAAGATGGTTTTGCGATAGAATTTGTGCAGGTCCTGTAAGGGCTTACAAAGTTCTTAAGAAGCAGTGTTTGCCAGTTGCTTTCAGGAGGGTGTCATTTCGGGTTGTCTTTGACATCACTTCCGATCGCCGTTTGAATTCAAAACTGATTCTGACGGATCTCAAACGGTTTGTTAGCCTGAAAATACAATCAAACAGGCCGTTGAGTTAGTCACATCGACTTGGAGTTAACCGCCGATGCGTTTGGTTTCGAGTTGCATCGCAATGCGATACTGAGGCTGACAAAGTTTTACTCCCTTACCCATGTCCTACCGAGAATTCTGAAAGGGTGTGGCCAGTATGGCTAACAACTGCGGCATAGCATTGGCTGGGGCTACTGCTCTGCCTGCTCACCATGCTTTGCGCACATACTTGAGAAACAAGACTGGAAGTTAATGGTTCTTTGGTGCCTGAGTCAATGGATGCCTTTTTCAGCTTTTATCGATGAATGATGGAACTGCCAGTTAAGCCAATCATATTTGAATGCGTTCTAGTTGGAAAAGAGAGATGTCTGACCCACTAAGATGTCTTTAATTCATCCAAATAAATTTAGGTCGCCGATTTTGAATAACTGAATTAATGATTGAATACTAGAATTGGCTTCCGATTCTAATAATGTATTTTTTATAAATTTCAGATGTGTTATTTTACTTACTACGTTTGTTTGTGTTTTGTTATACTGTCTGTCTCGATAGTGCTAAAGATATATGTTGTTTAAAGGGGGTAAGTTTCTAAAGAAACTGTAGTGCTGCGTCGGTGGGAGAGTATAGCAGGTAATTTAGTGTTGACAACTGAGTTGAAAACGTAAATTGGTCACCGTAAAGGGTAAAAAAAGCTGACGTTTCGAGCGTTAGCCCTTCGTCAGAGCGATAGATGTTGTTTACTGTGCAAGAGATCCGTAGGGAAAAAGAACTTTACCTAAGTTTAGGGGCTGAGACTATTCCTATACGAACCAACCTACAGTGTTTTTTCTGCTGGCGCAGAAAAATTCCCGGAACGTGGTCAGTAGTGTGGACTGCTTACGAACGCGCGATTAGCCAATCAGATCTAGGGATTTAAGATTCTGGCCCGCCGAGATGCTTCAGAAAAAAAAATCTATTTTTGCCTTTCCCGTCACTGATATGATGAATTTTGTAGCTTAGCCTTGAGAGTTTTGAATTTGCATTAAGTGTTTACCCTTCTTTTTTTTTTTTTCGGGGTCAACATGTCGTGGTAGTCGTACATCAGCCTTTAGGTGTCATACCCCGACGATTCTCATAAGTAATACATCTTTTGTAAAGGTAGATAGAAACATACTAGTCACCTTTAAATCTCTGATAGTGTCAGAAAACAACGGTTATAGCTAGAAATAATCATTTTGTGATTATAAACAATCGCTGTGCCATTGAAAATGAGACCACCTTTTATCTTTTTGCTCCCTTATGGAAGTTTTACACGTCAGTGGGCAATAATTTTTCGTTTGCAGTTGTTTGGTGTTGGCACACTGCCAATGGAAAATCTCGAACTGTACTCAGCGTCATAAACATTTTGACCATGCGCAAATTGTTGAGTTGATCTAATTCCTTGGAAAACGCCTCTTCAAGCTCGTCAAGAATTGGTTATCGTTAGACAGTTATTGTAGAGCGTTTTTATTTCCCTTTTTGTCTTCGTTTTAATTTCTTCCTTCCCGTAGGACCTAATCAAGAAGTGAGGCCATAATTGAAGACCACCGAAATGTCTTTAATATGTTTTATTCATTATAAAAATTGCTACAATAGTTCGAGAGCGTGATTTTCGAAATAATAATGCTTACGTTTAACATTTCTTGAAACGCGGCTATTCAGAGCAGCCACTGTTGGATCCTTATTTCTCGAAGATTTATGTGAATTGTTTGAAATCGCTTTGTACAAATGAAATGAAATTTAAATGCTATATCTTACATTATCATTACATCGCTTTTTTTCTGTGGTAATTTCACTCTTCCCCTTCTTTTGTTTCTCTATTTTGAAAAAATAAATATTTAGTCTCTTGATATCTGACCGTTCCAAAGAATCGTCAACTTTGACTTGCCTTTTACCAAGAGATTATGCCTTTTTTATTTCCTTATTAGAAACTTTTTGCATGTTGCGATTGATATTGCTCATCATCGCCTCCTCTGGATTTTTTTTTTCTTAAATACATGTTTTGCCGCCGGAATAATTGCAGTCCCTATGGAAGAAGAGTTGAGAACTTAAGTAGCAGCCTACACCTGAAGTCTTTGTATTCCGGTCAAAACATACTTTTTGTCGAATCTCTTCATCATACCTATTGTATTCGATTTTTTTAACTGTTATCTAACCTCGTCTACAACTCTCTGTTAACAGTAGTCCAATTCGCTGAAAATGGATACAACATGGTTGAGGTTGAGCACAATTGGAGTCACGAGCCAAGCGATTTGCTTTGGCCGTAGTAAAATAACTGATCTCCATTGGGCGAAGCACTCAAAGCTTCATTTGTTAGAGTATTCGCTGAATTCGTTCAAAACACTCTGTGAATGTTACCCAGCCAGTTGTCAGTGACATAAACCAACTCTGCCAAGATGTAAGTTCAACGGGCTTATAGTCGATTTTAAGTTTTCCATTTTTCATGCGCATTAGTTTTTACGCTCCTCATTTCCATCCTGTGCTCACGGTCAGTCCCCCTCGGCTGTTGTATTATCATGGCAGCTGCTAGTCGTTCACACCTACTCCATCTCCTTCACTCAAACTTTTCTTAGTATTTCCTACTCCACAAGGCTTTCTTGTTATTTCTTACTGGTTTCTTCTATCCATGTCGTGCACTGTGGCTTTAATTTCCCTGTGTATTTGTTTGTTTGTTTCATAAGCTAACAGGAGTATTCAAAAGTTTTCCATCTGCTTTCTTTTGTAAGATCTGTGGTTTCGGCCGACCACGTTTACGATTTCCGCAAGCCGTCATTTCACACATGGCTGTCACTGGCTTCTCGGTGCCTTTGCTTTTAGCACGATCATCCATGGCTCCTTCCCTACTTTAGCGGCACTACCGTAAAGTCCACAGATTTTTGTATCATGGCTGTGTTAGCGCCATGCTTAAGCTTTCCGTTTTTCTTGATAGCGATGTAGAATTCTTGGGTTATGTTTCCAGGGTTCCTCCCGCTGTACTTGTAAGAAGCGTAAGTGTTGAAATAGTTCGTTCCTAACTTCTCTTTAAACAGGCATTCGTCTGTTGGTTGAGCCTGAAAAGGTGAACACAGAAACCTTATCCTCGGGTAAATCGAGTCAACAATCCAGCTAATTAAATATCTAACCAACCATTGATGCACAGTGTTAGACAGTCAGTTAGTCTAGTCTTACATTCATCTTCTCTGCCAGCTCACCTGTCTGTCACGCGGCCATTAACTACGTGGTGTTCTGATCAGTCAGTCAGTCGGCGTGAAAACCTGCCAATCCATAGTTTTCTCAGGTAGCTCAAACCGTCGGTCAATCGATCTGTCAGTTTGTTAGTCAGTAAAGCGGCGAAAGAGCTTTTAAAGAAATCATCCCACTCAATTGGCAAGCTAGCAAAGGGAGTCTCTTAGTTAATTAATCAGCACAGAACGAAAGCCTTTAAGCCATTGAAGCGGTTAGACCGTCTGTCAATTCAATTGGTCTTTCAGCTCAGAAGACATTTTGTGAAATATTTGTTTAGTGTTAATCGGGTGCGCAATCCAGGCCAACACAAGTTAAACCAATAACCAAAAAGAAAGGATCAACCAATCGGTTGATCGTCCCGGTATGTTCTCGTTCAAGATTGGGGTTTCAAAAGTTAAAAAAAAAATTATACCTTGAAACTATAAGCTAAAGGGAAAAAATAGACTGGTTACGGCGCCAGAACCTGCCTTTTTATTCTTCGAATTTCGATTTTAAAATTTGGCTTCGGGACTTTCGAGAAACGGGTCCCTAGTCTCCAAGGTCCACCCACGCAATAAAACCGAAAGTGTTAAAAATCTTTAATTACACTTACCATGATGTGACAAACCCCCTCATCGTTCATACAGAGGTATGTCTTAGACACCACGCCTTTGAGTCGAACGATACTTGGACCCATCGACTCCATTACAATTAGTGCTGAAATTGAACGGAAATGAAATATAAGATAAAGACGAGCATACACTGCATAACTCAATCGAGTACTTTCTAAATTTAAAGAACTGCTATCGAGAAATCCAAATAAGGTAACTATTTACTAAAGGATTCCGAATAACTCTCTAAACATTTGATGCAATATAAAGGATTAAATATGGCTTTGCATTTGATCCCCTCAACTTTACCTGAGCGACTATTTGAAGGGTGTTACAGAACGCCCACGCGACAATGACATAGCGCTCCTTTACCAAAAACAAACCCTGTTGGTCGAAGCTAGAAGGTTAATAGCTCGCTGAGGCAGAGCTGAAAGCCCTAATATTGGGCTCTATTTTCGATCATGAGAAGACCCCCTAAATGGAATCCTAAGCACAGGTGTAACTTAAAATAAATGGTAATGAGGGTCAATGTCGCGTTGTCTGTCTGACATAAAAAGGGCTATGTAAGGCACACTTTAAGCTATGACTGATGACTTATCATTTGCATCGGCTTTAAGCACTCCTCGACATTCCAAAGTCACGACCAATTGGTCGCGTGGAGCCTCAATGGAATCCCTCGCCGTTGGAGTGATTCTAACGAGGTTGTTAAACCTTGTTTGTATCTTTCAAAAGACACTTTCGTGACCGATCGCGTTCAAAGGGGCGGCTACTACTTCTGATTTTCACATACAACCAACCCCCTACCGAAGCTAAGCGGAAGTGGCCATTTCAAGTAGCACAAAGAAGACATGACGCATTTGGTATTGTGCCTCCTCTTACCAAATGGTTTACAAATACAATTAATAAGTTATAAATGCTTGAACGCCCCTTGCGGGAATCAAAGTGAACACTTCTATTTTTTGATTGATCCAATTTCGTTCTGTCTCTAATGACAAAAAAGTGCAGTTTCCAGCCAGGTTTATTCCAAAAATGTCATTGTAAGACACGCTCTCTTGTATCCTTTTTTTTTCTGCTCTCGCAACCGTGAAACTGTCATCCGCTACATAAATAGAAGATAGCGTGTTTAAGACGTTTCTTTGGTTTTTAAGTAAAGTACCTTCTTATCTCGAAACAAAGAATCAATATTGGCCATCGAAACACACCGTTTTACAAAAGATCAGTGAGGCTAAGTTCAAGAGCCTAAACTCTAACATTTTCTATACCTCGCTATTTCAAAGGTAGGACCTTTGAAAGGTTTCAGTAGTTAACTAACGTTGCCTTTACCTAAAGTTACCACCCAGTGTTAAAACGTTCAGAAGGTAAAACCGTGTTGGTTAGCCTCGTGTATCTCACTGAATACATAAATCTTTTGAGACGTTTTAACTGCCCTTCTAACAATGCATTCACGCGGCCAAATGTTCTGTTATGTGTTGACAACCAGGGGTCAGTAAATTTACCGCCCTCTTAATTTAATTGAAACATTGCGAAAGTGGAAAGCTAGAGACATGTTAATTGATTTTGCGATTATTTAAGCACCTGAATACCTATTTGGAAAGCTGTGTTTGAGAGGTTGTTCTGTGCATACCTCCCAGTGAAAACTATTATTATTTCCTCTCTTAATTGAAAAGCTTAAGATAGAAACCACTTATCGCGAAAATGTGAATTTGGAAGCCTGAGGCAAAAGTAATGGTAAATATTTCGAAGACCCCCATTATAATTTTCTTCTGTAGAGTAGAAACAAAGTGTTCATAGCTCCTAGAGTATCAGTTCTGCTAAATCTAAAAATCAAGTGCTACTCTTTACGGCGTTTGAATTTGGTAACCTGACAGAGAAATAAAGGAAATGACTTCAAGGCTCTCTATTTAAATCTCTTGTGAAGAGAATTTACACAAATTGGCTTATTGCCCCAATCAAGAAGTACAAACCCCCCTCCGCCTGATGTCGTTTTTTCAACGGTAGGGTATAAAATATACCTTCCTTTTACATGAGGAAGTCGCATGGTAACATATAAAAGGAAAATCGATATGCGGTGAGGCACTGATTTCGGTTTCAGACTAGCAACGGATTTTCTTGAAAATTGATGATGCGAAATACTAGGAACAGCAAAAACTAAAAAAAAGTTCTTTAAAAAAACTTTGTATAAGAATATTAAGTGACTTTGTTAACAAATTTATTGTCTGGAATATCATCAACAGTTATCGACGACTTGCTTCTTACAAAGAGCATCTTTTTTTCTTCTAATTCTCCATTTCTTGTTTTGCCTTAATTCAAACGATGACTGCGCTTGCATAATAAAATTGTAAGGTTGTGCAAGTACCAAGGATAGCAAAACACGTACATTAGCGCCTCGAGTAGACAAATTCGCTGCGTATTCCAATTATGAAGACGATATTCGCTGCCAAAGTGATTTTCTGGATTATATTAATCCATCTGTTGATATTGAACCATATATTAAAGTTTCTATAATTTGGAAAGGGTCTAAACAACGGTGAAGAATATATTTTATGACTCTTTATGCAAAGCATCAATGATTCTCACTATAAAACGTAGTTTTGTTTGAGATCTTTGTTTGATGTGAAACATCCAATTGTGTGGGAATGTGACTTATCTTTGAATAGAGCTGATCATGTTTGTTTTTTTTCTGGGTCTTCCCTCAGTTTTTATCGTGTTTGCCGTAGTTTTTTTGCTCTTGAATTAATTAGCTCAGATATTACTCCGGAATTCGAATGTCAACAATTTTGTACCCCTGCTGTCGCTGACTGCTCGTAATTGATCACCGCTCTAAAAATAGCTAAGCTCATTTGAGCTAACAAGCTATGAGGTGGGTAAACGAAATTGTAATTGTCACGACGTATATCAGTAATTTTGATACGAGGCCTCGTGTGACTACCACGCAATTATGGAAAGCTAACATGCCACAACGGTGTTATATTTGAAAATACAACCCCTGATAGCATATTGTTAATTCAAAACGCGTTTTCAACTAATGGTTGATATCGGTAAAGTAAAGATCAGGGTGTGATTTACAAGCCAAATGGCTCTACAGTTAAAAAAAATTACTATAATTGTTTGATTTTCTGTCATAGGAACAAAGCTTAATGGATAAAAAGAAACACTTCAGTTCTTGCAGTTGAACTGTATGTATCGGATTGGTATTATTTTTGATCTCTCTCTAGCTAAATCGCCGGGCTGTGGACGTTTGGCGCGACGAAACTATCACGAGTCGCCCTCTTGACCAAGGACCTGCCCTAAAGATGTGCGATAAAGTAAAACTGTGGTTTCTTTTGATTGCGCTTTTCAAAATCCCATCCGCAACTACTTCATAGGCTAAACCATAGCGTGAATTGGCGCTTTTCCGGAGAAAAACTCATTTCGAGAGTTCGTTTATTAAAAATATCGAATGCTTTGATTGTGTATTTCAATGCGCACTTCCTCTCTCTCAGGCATATTTCAGGCGCGCCATTTGTTTTTTTTTTTTGTTTGTTTTTTTCGCTAAACCACTAAAGTTGCGATGTTGGTGTTTTACTTTCCCCCTATCGCGGGAGGTACACTTTCTCGTTTGTTAAGAGAACGCCCACAAATCCCACGACCTCCGGAAATGAGTTAACAAATAAAACTGCTGTGTTTGTTTGATGACGCTGCAGATGCAATAAAAGGGCTGACTTTGCGTTTGATTATTCGCGGAAGCGAAATAGTCAACTCTTCTGGCACCATTGTAGTTTTTTTCCAACCGTTTCGGTCACTGCTTTTCAGATATGCTATTTCTGCTTCGATTGTAAGCGTCAGACATCAATTTCACAGACAATTAGTGCAAATTACTCACAGTTTAGGTAGTGGTTTAATTAACGAATGTGTTTTACGTTAACTGCGGTTTAATTTGTTTCTCTTTAAATAAACGAAACGATAAATGTTATTTTTCTCCATTTCAAAGCCTATAAGACGTGCGTTTAACCCCCTTAGACGACTTTTCAATTTGACAGTCGAGTAACTCGGACTCCATGATCGTTTACTTCGCCGAGGCTGCGTATTCAAGCCGTGATTTGTGGCGTTGCTATGTGCTTGCTAACAAGATTACAAGTTTTTCCTCTAGATTTTCCGCCGCCTTGTTTCGCTCGGTTATACACCCCTTCATCATTCATCCTTTAAATCTTAGTCTCTGTATGATATAACATCTTAAACGATAGCATGAAGACTTCGATGGTTATCAACGCAATACGTTCTTGAAATTGGTTTTTATAAAGTTTCAGTGTCTTTTCTCGAAGCTTCGTCTATTGTCATGTTAAGTGGATTAATCTCTAAGGAAATGAGTACTCACACGATTCTTTATTATTTGTTCTTGACAAGGAAAGTAGTTTTACTTTCCGGTAGAAAATGACTTATCAACATTTTGGGGGTCGTCTACGAATTTTTTCCTCCTCTGCTGTGATATTTGGTCTTTATATTGTAGTGAGTGTTTAGAAATTTGATGACGCCAGACTTCGTTGGCGCGAGCCAAGCAAGGTGGAAAGAAGGCACAACTCAATAACTTGTTAACCGCACAATGAAAGCAAAGTTTACTCTGAACAAACCTTAACTAACTGGCACTTAGACTCGTCTGGCGATGCGGGGGTTTTGTTTGCTTCCCAGTGTTCTAGGCTTCAGAAATCGAACTGTGGTCAAAGGCAAATTTTTTGATCGTGCGTCGAGCTAATTAGCATGGAAATCGCAGAACCAAAACATTGCGAGTAATCGAACAAATAATCACACAAAGGAGCATGTCTCGCTTTGCACGATTTGTGTGAATAATGTGTACCTACTGTTTGGATTGTCGATGCTCCTTGTTCCTCGAAGTCTCCCTGTGTTAGAGATTTTCAGAAAATATCCATTTTTGTTGTAAAGTCGAACCAGTCTTGTGTTTGTTGGTACCTTGAGAATGCCCATTTTGTGCAATCTTGTGGTTTTTGGTACTAGTTCCTCTCGTTGGCTTGTTGCTGCTTGCGTCTGCTGAAAATTTTCGTCGCTAGCGTTTGCAACTTGCTTTGACGGCAAGGCCACTGATGAACAAATAAGCAGACAAATGATGGGTGCAAACGTTACCTAGATATTACAGAAAATAGACAAGAGATTATTACGACTTGTTAATAATTTAAGCAAACTGATAAAAATCACAGAGTTACCACCCTCGCGCGAAAAGTGGTGATAGCACTCCCAAGACCCTAAAAAGTAGAGATTAAATTAAAGAAATAGTGAAAGGCAGAGGTCGTTATTTGGGGAATGATGCTATAAATCAATGGACGGTCAAAGTGGCCTCACGTTCTGTACTTTTTACGTCTCTTACTAAAAAACTTCTTACCATTCTCGTAACCGTCTCCATCGCGTAGTATTCCTGTTGCATTTACTAGCATTGGAAAATGTGACCGCAATTTACGCGTAGATGTCATTATTGTTTTACGACATATCTACGCTTTGGTCTTTTTACGAGAATGCTTTTATTATATTCGATCCGTCACAGGAGAGATTCAATAGCTGCGTACTCGTTTTACCGAATCCCAGACTACCGCGATATTGTTAAGGAATAATTGCTCCGGTTTGCGGTGAAAAATAATGTATTAAAAATACCGAGGTCGCAGTTGACATGTGGGCCCTTGTGACTGATCCGTTCAGCTGCCTAATACTGCGTTATTTGTGGCCAAAGTTGATACAAACGTGGAAATAGCAAACACTCGTAAAGCTAAGTGCTTGGTGATCAGATGAGTGGCATTTGTTTCGGATAACTTTTTACCGCGCCTTTTGGTAAAAGAAAGGAACGGGCCGTTTCAAATAATTGGAATTCTTTGCTCGTCTTAACTGCTCTTTTTCGGCAAACGAACAAAAGCGCCCTAAGTCACTGAGAAAACATCATAAAAGTGTATTCAGCGACTTCCGCGGCTTGAGGAGGTGTTCTTTGCACATGGGTACAAGTCACATATTGAAGAATTTTGCCACATTTCAGCTCGCGTTAATTGTTAACCTTAAGCTATTTACAGAACGATGAGCTTCGCTAGTCTAGAGTAAAATCAAGTCTTACACTTAGAGAAACAAAATGAGTGAATTACCGCTATTGATTATAGTATTTCAAATGTTTGTGCTTCGGTCAGACGAAAAGCCTCAAAAATTATCCCATCATCTCCTTCGGAAGCCATACTCTTTTTGTACACAGAAAATATTTTTCGAAGTCGGCCCTGAGAAAAGAGTCCAAATGCAACTTATCTCTAACTTCCGGGCCGCAGTAATCTCATTGTTTTGAAGTTTATTGACGGTAACTTATCTTAAGTTTGGGAAAGCAGCGGAAGGACGAATGTAGGTCCTTATATATTTACATATACAACGTTTATCCACCGAAATTTATAATTACCTTATCCCGAATCTGTCAACTTTTTACCAAAGTAATGATTTTCTGGTTTTTGCACATTTCCGCGGCATTTCTAGTGTACTCTTTGTTGATTCAAACGTAAGAAGTCCTAGATCATAAGCTATGCATAAATTACTAAGTGCCTGTGTTCTGACGAAGCTAATTGCTCTCGAGAGACTGCTAAAAATACCATGTTGTCTCTATGACAACAACAGCGCGGTAAAGTTGGACCAAAAGTAACCAGAGGTCTAAGGAAGCGGCGTGAAAATAGCGTGTTTGCTAAAAGATCAAAGTCTGAACAAGGGCGAAACTATTGGAAATCTTGATAAAATGACCAGCGTTGTTCTATTCCAGTTTATCATAATTAGTGAAAATCGTTCGACTCAGTTGAAACTTCAATTAAGAAGATCACTAAGTTTTTCGCATCGTTTAAGGCGAGCACCTTACGAATTATTGAATGTCTCAAATGACCTCGTGTACATAAGACTGCTTCGAGTTAATGACGGCTAAGCGCCAGCTATGCTTTTAATTTTGGCTGTAGCTTAGTTTCGTGTATGTTTTGTTGATAGGAAAGACTGCGGTTAATACCCAAACTATTCTTGGAATCTCAAGCTAAATCTAGTCAATGGTCGAAGTCAGTCTACTCTAGGCCCATTTTATGTTCTGAGACCTGGTAGGTAGGACACCGGCTGATATTTTTGGCACAGCACAATCAACTCTGAGTTGAGTACAATCGCAAGTATGACGTATTTGCCTTTTTTAAGAAGTGATTTCTATAGAGGAAAGTCGTGCATTGGTAAAACTAATTTCCCTTTCCGTGAGGTTTCGCTTGGCTTAGCCGCCCTCTTTGTCATAGGAACACTTAAAGTTCAACGCAATCATCAAGTCAGTGGTCAAATTGCGTGCAACTACACGATAATCTATCGAAGACTACAGCTTGCCTACGACTTCCTATGTGCGTATTTGAGATCTGAAATGATTCTTTTTTCGCAATTTAGGTATTACTTTGCGTTACTTTTTTTACGACTGTACTTTCATGCGATTTTTGATTGTTCGGGATTAGTAGAGGCGTGAAATGGTAGGTGCAGTGCGACCGGATGAAATCATTCATTTGCAGAGGAAAAGTAGAATTGGATCTTCAGTCTTTTCAAGCTGATATCACCATAACCAGGGGTTGCGAGAAATGATCTTGGTTCAGATTAAGTTCAAAGTGGTGCTGTCGCTTTAAATCAGTGCAGTAAGCACCCGGTAAAGTGCGTCATCATTCCGATGAATAAAAACCGTTGCATCAATTTAATCACTCACCCGCTCAAGCATGGTCCAGTCAGGAGCCCTTCAGAATTTGCCTTCTTCTGTCAGCTCTGCTTTTGTTTTAGAACCCTCATAACTGAAAGAAAAACAAGCCAAGAAGACAAAAGTTGAGCCACTTTTCTCGAGAGTAATCTGATTAACTGTTAGTCGTATCAACTTAAGATAAACACAATTCAACTACGGACCTTAACTCACTTTACACTGGTGATAGATGGATGATTGATTTCGTTTTGTATTTCAAGTGCAACTTATATATATATATATATATATATAGAAATATACGTATATATCGTGATGACTAAGGCCGCCAGTTTTTGAAAAAAAAATGCGACATTACGCAAAAGTATGTCTGCTGAAACAACAAAACCAAAGTAATTGATATAGAGAAGGATACACAGGGATGGGACGTTCGAACCATTTATCATTTGTAAATCTCGCTAATTAAGTGGCATGACATTGCTTTTAAAGGAGATTTCAAGTTGCATGCGGCAAATGCGATCCGGAAACGAACTCTTTAGCACCTCGTACAATAACATTGCTTTGTACGACCGTCTAGACTCAAAAGTTCGCCGCCAAAACAAGCGGTCTCTTTGAACGTTTTGTAACGCAAACCCCTGAATTGTGCTTCTTCCTTGGTCGTATTTTGCCTATAGTGGTGTTTGCTTTGTTTTCGATCTCAAAATGGCCGCTTCTCACGTCATTAGTTTGCTTTGTGACGGCCATATGCCGCTAGTGAACTGGTTCAGTAACGCATAGGCAAATAAACGACTATTTGATCAAAATGAGTCCTCATTTTGCTGTAGTTCAGTATGAAATGTATGTCTTATTGTCGCGAAAGATGTTGTTATTTGGTATGTTTTTAGCCCAGCAAACTTTATCTCACCCGCTATCCGGTCCCTTGCAAACCTGCGTTTGCAGGTAACAAAACATAGCAACGAAATTGCTTTCAGGCTAGTAAGAATTGCTGGTCAGGGCAGATCTGTTAGCATTAAAAAAAAAAAAAAAAAAACCATTTGCTATTTATACTACTTTATGGATGGCCAGGATTGCATGCCTTGGATATCATTTCTTTTTTTCACGGGCACTCACTTTGCCTAGCAAAAATATAAAACGAGGAGCTAATGTCCTATAAATGACACCAAACAATTAAGATTAGCATGCAACCATAATTTGTTGCCAACGGATATCTGAAAACAACGATCAGGGGTAAGCGTTCGAATGCTAGTTAGCAGTATCAAATTAGGGGTGGGCTTCTCAACCTTCGATCAGAATTAAAAATCTGCTACGTTGCACTTGCTTTATATTGAAGCAGGGAGCAAGATATCAAAAATTAGAACAAAAACACAATTGAATCATTTTCCCTTGCTGGTGAAATCATTTAATCCAACGTCAAATTCTCCGCCTTTTACTTTTCTATCAACTTTTGCACAATCGGCTGATGCACTGTTTGGAAATTTCGTGGTTGTGTCATTGAGATGCTTAGACCAGCAACTGAAGTCATGTTGCGAGATTTTTTAGTTCCTTCCCGGCATTTGCTGAGAAGATGGACTGAATTTAAGCCTCGAAATATAATGTGACATGTCAAAGCATCAGTTATGTTGATTGTATTAAGAATTCTCTCACTGATAAGTAAGTTAACTATCAATCTTGTCGAGTTTCTTCTCTTCTGAAAGTGAGGTACAAATATGTGTATGTTGGTCTAGCATGCCGTGCCATTGAGTCAAGAAGCAAAAAGTATATATTAATATGACAGGAGGAAACAAATAAAATTGAGATGGATGTTTGCTGGCTTAAGATGCTGTCCTCTTCAAGCAATTTGAAGTGCAAATTTCGTTTCAGAAATTGGTTTTGCAATTTTGAGGGCTACACTTATAGTCAAAGAGTTAGATCAACGTGTTTGCTTTCGTTTTGCACTTTTCTGTCATTATGTGTAGTCAGAGAATCTCTTAAACAGATTATGAAGGGTCAGTATCATACTTCTGAATAAAGTCATGATGCAAAGTGGTTACCACAGAATACACCTAAGTTAAAATCAATATCATTGTATCATCTTACTACAAAGTACATCATAATGGAACCATACCAATTAAATGAAGTCCGTTATGATAAGTAGGCGGTTCGAGCAGTTCACGGAAGCCACATAGGTAAATAGGTCCGGTTAACTGCGTGTAAGCCGAAACAGGTAAACGTTGTGGTTTGTGGGACCATTTGCTAACTCTCATGATGTTCATCTATTGGCGGCCCCTTTGCATGTTACAACACGGCGTGTTTCGAACTTATGAAATGATTGGAATAAAGGCTGTAGGTTAAACCATTGTTCAACAAATGGAGGACCCAGCGTTGGCGGAAACTTTGTTCTACGTCAAAACCCTTTGGCCGATTTTCCGACAATTCTTAGTTACCCCTGCGTTTATGCTAAATCTCTGTGGGTTGGTAGACAACGCGACTGGGCTCCGACGGGTTAATCCGAGTCTCTCCACAGAGTTGACCATGCTCGAATAAAAGAAACGGTGCTGTGTAAGCTAATCCGCGACCTGTGTGCTGCAATTAATACAGCACCGTGTAACAGTTGTTTTCAAAACTCAATCAAATCTGTCTCTGAATGAAACAGCTGAAATTTTGTTTTTTTATGAATGTTGTGACTTTAAATTGCACATGGACGCTAAGTTAGCCTTGCTTACTACTACTTACTAAGAAAGCAGTTAGATATTCAATAAGCTCTGCATTTTTAAAGAATTTATCGATTCATTTACACACCTCCATACCTCTAAAGACTTTGGAGGAAAAATTTGTAGCCAGTATACGTCCGATTCTGCCACCGTAAGATAGTTCTATTTATTTCATGCATCTTTTTAGAGTATTTCTCCCCTGAGAGACAGTTATAGATACGTATTTATATTTCATGTACAATTGTCATGTTTTTTATCAAATATTTTGAAAATCCATCAGCAATGCACGTTCCCCCCTTAAAAAGCTCAGACATTGCTATTAAGCAATCTTTTCCTAAGGTGTCCACTTTTTGTCTTTTGCCTCACTGTCATTAAAGTTTACCGTTCTCTTCTTGAGCAGTGAGAGTATGACCACACTCTGTCTGTGGTATTTAGCTGCAACTTGCGTCGTAGTTTGGCGAAAAAACATTTCGTTCCTTTCAGGTCTACACCTTTTCTTTGTATTTACCTCCTACCTCCTTTAAAATTTTAGCTTACTATACGCCGTAAAATATTAACAAGTTCCCAAGTTTTTCGAAATATACATTTTATATCATGCTCTTCTTGTCTTTCATGCTATGGTGGAAAGCTATTTTTCTGAAGTGTTAAGTCTACAGAAATCGCAACCATAAACTCTGAAGCTTTCTATTGAAGTCGGTTGTACACGATGTTGAAATGAGGTTAGGAAATAGATCTGGCTAGTTTTAAGGCGAGTCATGGTTATTATGATTGGTTAAAAAAGTATGATAAATAGTCACATTAAGAATTAAAGTATTTATAAGACCGGCCTCATCTGTTATCGGGAATGGAAATTAAATGACGTTAGATACGTATCTCTCTCTAGTTGTTTGTTTGTTGTTGTTGTTGTTGTTTTTTTTGGTTGAACTATTTATGGATTTAGTTATTGCTTCTTTGTTTTTTTGCTAATGATTTTGTCTGAAATATTTCATCAGGCTGTTTTGAGTTACTTGTAGCTGAATAGATAAGCTAGGAGAGAAGTGTAGTTCGCTCTTGAAACCTGACGGTGTGGAATCGCCACTAAGAAACCATTTTGCTCTCATTTCAGCTGATTTGTTAGCGAGTAGTTCTCGAAAGTTCGATATGACGTCTGGTGTTCCTTGTTTGTCTATCGATGTTGACGTTGATATTCTGACGCCATGACCACTACAACCATATTATCAAGATGACATGCCTTGAACAATACTACAACCGTAAAATTATAAAAAAGGCTGAGCACACTTTTCACCTGCAAAAGCTAAAAGATTTTCCTCGGTTTTCGTGAAGATTTGTCGCGAGCTACTATGGGGCAACACTTTCCCTCTAAGTGTTGAACCGTTTATTAGTGTTTGTCTCATGTGAGGCAAAACCATCACAAATGATTAAATATATTGTTTGAGTGGAAATCGATACCAGATTACATGTTTTTTTCTTCCTTTGTTCAATTTTTTTTGTCATCTTAGTCAAGCACTTTTCTGAATTACTTTTCCATAGCCATTCTGCGAGACTTCGCTTTAAAATTTGACGCTCAAGGCTTAAACTTCTTCGGCCGCTTCTATTTTAAGGAGGTTGGCATTACTGAATGTCAACGTTGTAGTCACTAAGGCAGTAGATCTGCCATTAATATCTTGTCATCAAAAATTTACCTCTCACGTTGAAAAATGCAGTCGCAAAGTATTGTTACGTAACCTAAAGGTAAAAAATGAACTAATGTCCCAGTTGATAACAACAACTCTGAGATATATATTCGACACTTTTCTTTCTTGCATAGTCATTTAGAATGTACAACGTGAGGTTAATAACTAATGGGTCTGTGTTGGATCGATGTCTGTAATGATATTGTTTGTTGATCGGTTTGTTCGTCTTGCTTAAATTTTTCTTGTTCTCGTTTCCAGTCTAAAATTATCCTCTATACTCTTGGTTACCTCGTTTACTTTTTGGTTAGATTTATCCATTTTCGTGTTTAATCTCCCATACAAAACCGAAAATTCTGTGACCTTCCCCAAGGTAATTTGGCATCTCACGAAAAAATCTGAAATAGCACGAGGAAGCAGTGTTGTACACTGTTGAATATTGTACAATTAAATCGAAATTTTTGTGGAAAAAATATGCTCGAAGAATGACCAATCAATTAGAAATTATAAACCTTTAGAGACGTTATTATTCAGGAGTTACTATTTACCTGGATAGCAGTGTTATGCTTGCATCTTAACCCTTTAGCTTCGCGCTAGTATGACGAAGGTCACGGGAATGAGTTCCGCAGGATACCGAAGAAGCCACAAAGTTTTCTCTTGGCTTCCCGGACTCGATCCCGGCCTATATTGAAACATCTGCTTTTGAAAGCAGCTTCTTTATTGATCATGATTTGTGCAAATATATAAAGTTAAAAAAATGCAGTTACAGCTTCAAAAGTATTCCAAATAGTTAAACTGAACAACGTCATCGTGACATTTCCTGCGAGAAGTTGTGATGTCTTCTGGATAAACAATAGGTAAGCACTACACAAACGTTATCACAGTGTTTAAAAATTACCAATTGAAAGACCGATTAGTGCGTTGATGGATAAAGAATCTTAAATATGGAACGATGTTAAGTCCTATGCCGAAAAGCTTTTGGTTGGAGCACGATGTTTACGTTCGAGAGCTGACCAAAGTGCCAATCATGGACCAACATTGGCAAACCGAGTTACATGGGAAATTCATTACGTGGGCGTTCTTGGGGGCGGGGACTGAAGAGACCTACACATAGGTAGAGCTTAATAATTGAGCTTCAGCTCACGTGAGGGAATCTTAACAATTTTAAAAGTATTAAGTGTTTTCTTTGGGCTGACAGACAAACGACACTTAAGGTTGGTTCCTTGGCGTTAAGAAATGTAGCTGTCGATGTTTGCCTCGAGCGAAATTGGACTACGACTACGAAATTGTTACAGCGATTTTTACGAAATGAACTGATTTAGCACCTTTTTTTGCTGCAGTGAACTTTTGAAGCGGCCATCTCTCGACTTTAGGATTATTGATGATGATTTTGTGGGTGAATAGCACCGTGCATTAAGAATGTCGAAACATATAACAAGGCTGCTTACGATTCAGCCATCTTGATTCTCGCGCCGTCTTGTCTTGAGAGCGGGCGCCGTCATCGTTGATTGTCCTATTTCCTGTGTAGTGACGTCTAGCTATTAACAAATCTCTTAAATAATAAAATGTCTTATTCTCAAGTGAAGGGCTTTATGGAGCGTGTAATATCAAACATGTCTACGCAGTATGTTGACATTTCTACATTTCACTGTACGCCTCTCGGTATTTTATATAAACGCTATCTTAAAGCGTGATAGGAAAGGAATTATTTAGACAATACGTAACACAATGACTTAGGTAGAATCTTTGCTCTTTTAAGTAGATTTACAAAGGCGGTTAATTTGCCATATCATTTTAACAACTCAAGCGAAGAAAGATGCAGATTCAATAAGTGTTCACTTACCCGAGACGAAGAAGTTGAGGCGTTCCACCAAAACAAATTTTTGTTTTCGTTTGAATACTCACTGTTTTGAATTTCACAAGATCTTTTCTACTCGAAGGTCAGAGAATCAAATTATCATCATGTATGGCTCTTTTGAATCTGTGCCACTTTTGTTTTGAAATTAAAATGAATGCGTAGAGACCGGCCGGCAATCCAGTCACCCTGCACTTATTACTGATGCTACCGTGCCAACCTTGTTTTGCTCGTGATAATTTTTGTTTGTTATATTCGCTGGCTCTTTTGACCTTGGTCAATCTCAGCTGTTAGCTTCAAGTAGCTTTTGTTGGAGAAAGTTGTTCACAATATCAAGCAGTCTCTATTCGCAGTCTATATGTTTACAACGTCAGTCTTTCTCAAGGATCATGATCTCTTCATTACTAAGCAGAGTTTTTCGTGTCTGGACTTGTATTAATTCAAAACTTATTTACATATTGCTCTCATTTCTTCGTTGCAACCCGACTTGGTCACAAGAAGATTGATTCGATAAGTCAAAAGAAATCCTTCTCGCTGTGCTATTTTTGATTTGTTTTATTTTACTTTTCATACTTGAATCGTGGCCAAAATTTTGATAAAATTCCTTAAAACCATCAAAATTTTACATGATTGTAACTACGGGAAACATAATTTTAAGAGACTATACAATCCTCTTTTCTTTTAGAAGCACGGCATTTCACAAATTCTTTTTAATGCGTTTCTTATTTTGGAGCTTAATGGTTTAAATATATCCCAAACACAAAATAAAAGGCTTAGCTTAAAATTGGTGACTTATTTATAATGTGTAGTTCTGATTTGCGTCATAATCTAACTAGAAATAAGATTCGTTGCAAATGCTCCAAAACGAGAAAATCATGGATGTTTTAAGTTAACACCTAATAAAATTTCGTCTGTTACAATTTATATTCGTGTAATGCGCTGTCAAAGTGTGTGTGTGTGTGTATGTGTGACAAACGCGAAACGACTTACCTTGGAATGAACATCGACTGGCCAATAAACATCCTCGTAACTGTGTTTATTCCATGGCGCAAAGTACAAAGAACTGACTCTAACAACTCCCTTGTAAATGCAGTGATCCAATGTTTACGTGGTGCTGCATCTGAGTGTATTTATGGAAGTTCTTCAAACAATGATTAAGAATGTAAATTTTTATAGGATGAGTTTAATTTCCGTTTAAGTCTCGTTATGGGTTATTTTCCTCATTCCTCGCGTACCGTAAACCCTCAAAGATCACGAGAAAGTTAAGATACAGTCCCATATAGTCAGCATTTCGAGATGTTCTCCTGTACTCCAAGAGACATTTGCAGCTTAAGCTATCGCTAGATAGTTCAATTCAACGCTATATTCGAGCTAAAATCTTTCGGCTGCAGCTGTAGACCCCTAAGAAGTATACTGCGCAAGCGAAACGAAACTCCACTTGCAGCTCTCTAGAACTAAATATTTGATATGAAGGTTCTTGAAAACTCGTGCACCTTGTCACAACCATCGTGTTGACATTCTTTAAGTCACAAGGCATTTTCTTGTAAACAGTATGGAAATTTGTTGTTACAAAGTAATTTGAAATAGAGGTCATCGCGCTCTCAATGTGAGAATTTATCCAATTGAAGAATTGTGCTGGTAAGTTTGTAAACCTATTTCTTTTTGATGCCATATCCCCTTTAAAGAAAACCTCATGAACATTCTCTCTTTATTTGTTGGATGGCGTGATGGGTATGGTATCTCCTGAATGCCAAGATCGATTAGCGCTTATCCAAGATTATTCAATTAGTAAAGTGTAAAATTTTTTAATTTTCCGATTATTATTATTAATATTAATTTTTTTCCCTTTTGTAAAGCGAGACACAAGTCAACTGAGACTGCAAGAAAAACAATGGAAACCGATGCTGAAAATTGACTTTTAACTGCTCGACATTTTCGCTTTAGTCTTCGAGTGCCCCATTCTCAGGCGCTGAGGTGTAATCGCCTACAAATTTGTTGTATTTTTCCAAATTCTAGAAAATCCTTCTTATATCAAATGTCGGTATAAATCAGCTAATTACTGATGGGCTGAGCCAGAATTTAATTTAACAGTTAGGCTGATTTACGCAAATCCAAGGTTTTCCATGGTGCGTGGGGAACAAGCAGTTTTGATTCAACTCAGTTTAGTTCATTCTTACAACGATCAAAGTTACCTTTCACGCGAAAAGACTTCAAATTGCCGATTTAGTGAATAAAGTAATAAAAAGTGGTCATGTGTGCACCACAAAGGGGCAAGATGGCTGAGTATGCGAAGAATTAACAAGGATTGCTTGCGGTGGACTTGAAAACTTTGGCTAATTTTTTTACGAGATCAACAAACCTTGACGTAACATTTTAAGTTGTTTTGACTGGAACCTTCAAGTGCCAATTGTCCTGTAAACTCAGTCGTGCGTTGTACACTCAGTAATTTCTCCGTGTAATAAAGGAGTCAAGTGACAATGTTTTGAGTCATTTACATCCTCAAATAAAAATAAAATTTACGTTTGCTCAGCTACATACCTACCAAAAGGTTATTTAAAAAATGGCCAAAGGCAAAGAATCTTTAGTCACACGGATTACAAATAACAACCTTAGCTGATAAATAGTCGGGGAAATATTATTTACAGATGATAACCATGCAATTTGATTAGCCCGCAAAGAAGATATAAATGTGCAAAAGAGTCAAGTCTTAACCAATTTGAAGAAAAACGGCTTCTAAAAGAATGTGGAAGATTACTACGGATCCCTGCTGAAAGAATTCGAAACTTAATGCTCACTAAGAGTGACTCGAAAACCGTAATCTCCAAAAGGAAAAAAATAGCTATTATCTGAAAATCACGGATGAACTCGCGGAATACTGCAGTACGAAAGTATATTATCTTAAAGCCTCCAAAACTTTGAGACTGTAATTACTATAAGAAAAAATTTTCCTGCAGGCCATACCACAAAACTAACATTTATTTTTCCCTCCACGTCATCGGATGACATTGGAAAAAAGGCGCGTACATTCATGGAGAAAAAACTAAGTGCGAGTTGCTTGGTTATCATCAACGCTGATATCACAGAAAATTGTTGGCGTGGTATTCCTACGATGTAGCTTTTGTCTGTTGTCTGATCAGCTTACTTAGATAATCAAGTCATCTGGTGTATGATAAACGAAATGAAGAGTACAAGTGAATTTTTATAAGAAGGTAGTCTTATGTCTCTTAGGGATGACTACGATAAGATTACGATTTACACAGGAGTAGACGACATGGTGTTGAAGAGCGAATCTAAGTTTAGTGATCATGAAACGAAGACAGCCGTTCGTCGTGAATCACGAACAGAGCCAAAAACATAAACAATAAAATAAATAAAGAAAAAAGAATATTGACAGTCAACAGGATCAAACAACTTGCTGAGATTATTTTTACACATTCCCTTTGGCTTGCATAAATATTCGATATATTAGGCAACTTTATAGGAGAGCCTTAAAAATGAATTAATAATGGTCTTTTTTTTTTCTTCTCCTTTTTTTTTTTTTTTTTTTTTCGTTTTACAAACGTTAGTATTGGTTTATGTAGTATTTACAACCATAACCTAATCTGAGAGAGGATGAGTGAAAGTTCAAGTACTTCTTCGAAGAAAAAAAAAGAAAAAAAAAGAGTACCTGACATGCTCTTGTAAGGGTTCAAGTGTTTTTGCAATGCCCCCCCTATGATCTATTATATTCTATGTGAATAGTCAGAGCATTAAATTAGTGACGAAAAATACTAACCTGATTTAAAGTTATATCATCATGGAGTAATGGCTGACAAGGGACGGTTTTTCGGGCTGTTAGTAAGCTAATCGTTGATGTCGAGTTGATGAACAGTTATTACTAGAAAACCTTCAAACTCTGTCCGTTGATATAATGAAAAGTTAATAGGTCAATGATCATACTCGGAAAGATGGGAGAGGGCGCAATCATTATGCGTCTGTTTAAAATATGAAATATTGATAACATCTTCGAAATGCAAATCTATGTCTTTACGCAAAGCCAGTCTTTCGAGAATAAATATGTTTTCACGGACGAATAATGTGCGTTCTGGTGAACACAAGTTCGCCGCTCTTTAAATTACCCTACTGTTGATCTAATATAAGATAGCTTTCTTGTTGTTTCCAAAACTTTAAAGCTTACATTTGATTTTCGTCTCAATTCCTCTAGAATAAAACGTATTGGCTATTTTCATACCCTCCCATCTGGATGTTGTCATCATTCTATTATGAAACTTTGAATGATACATGATTGAAGAAGCTTTTCATTATTTAAACGTGTCCTCTCTTGCCCCATTTCTTTTTATCATCATCTGCACTTACTTTTTATTGTGGGGGCCCAAGATAGTCTTGCACTTGAACTTTGACTTGACTTGTGGATCTTGCTTAACGCTTGTTGTGAAAACAGTTTAAAAACATCTCATCATCATTTTAACTTTATCGAACATAAGCTTCCAAAATAGGCTGGCGTATTGTTTCAATGAACAAGAAAGGCATTTTAATTGCAAAAGAGTTAAACTCTCAAAGGATCAGTTCAGTGCATCAAGTATAAATAGATTTGTAATATGAATCGCGATTGAGCCCGGTGTGCTGAAGCTGTATGATTGGATGAGCTCTTGAATAAAAAAGCTAAAGAGACCAGTAGTAAATGTGAATTACTTCAAGACCTTTAACTCTCTTGTTTGACGTAATACCTACTTATGCCTCTGACTCCACGTCAAGAAAGAAGTAGTAGCAGCATAAACTCTTAAGAGTCTCTGTGTAGATGTTAATGTATGTATCTGTATGTATGTATGACGTTCTCTTAGATGATCCTTTTTAGTTCGGATGTAGCAGCTGATACACCGCAAGCTGTATGGAAATTAATGTATTCGGCTTAAGGGAAAGGCAACTGCATTGAGGGGGAAGACCCCCTGAGATTGTATGCGTAGTGTCACTCTTTCTTAAAAATATGACAGCGAGACAACTAGGAGCCAACCTGTTAAGCTCTTACACATGTCATAAGCTTTGGACCTTGCTCGTTGAATGTCTTAGATTTCCCAGCGTAAGGCACCAAGTGACGCGTTAGTATCGTTTCTCATGAGCATTATGAGTATGGCAAACATATTTTGCAACTTTTGAAGCCTGTATCACTTGAAATGTGTTTGGATTGATGCATCATAGATATTACCTTGAGTGGCTCTGTCTACGAAATCCTGAACCCAGCCTTAGGCTCCTATTCCTGAACTGATTTTCTGGGCCACTTTTTTCAATGCAGTTACCCTAAGAGAGATGATGGTCTATTTGAACACCGAGAATCCTACTCTACACGAGTTGTTTGAAGCTTTTGCCATCATTTTTGACACATCAGAAATAGAAGGATTGTTAGATTGTAATGATAGCCAATTAACATGAATTCGGCTTCTGCAACATCGAGGGTCAATTTATTGGCTAAGGGCCACTCCCTTACGCTTTTGAGATCTCATTCATGGCGCACTCAACGTCGTCCAACGTACTATGACAGGTGGTCAAATTAGAGTCGCATGCAAATAAACGCGTCACTAGCCCAAAATACCCCGGCAGATCGTTTATTTTCAGAAGGAAGATAATGAAGCACTTCGGTGTAATTTCTATTTGTTCCACAATCATGATCGGAGGAAAATATGAGAGTAAATTTGTCGACCGATTCTTCAATAATGCCAGTATCTTCTGATCCTAAAGTTTCATTTTTTCTCCATGAAGCCTTTTTCTCAAAGGAGCTAATTCTCTTGGTTTTAAATAGGTGCGTCTCAGTAAATAAGTTGGTGAAATTCGCATATCATCAATGACTGGTTGTTTAACTGGAGAAGCTGGAGATTCAAATGTTAAATCTATACAACAATAGAATTGAGAGGGAAATAGTTACTGTCTATTAAAATAAATCAGATTTGAATGGTTTGTTGTTCTTTGCGTTTAATTTTTAAAAAAATAACAAAGACAATTTTTACAGCCTTCTCTCAACCTACAGTGCTGAACTCTAACATTAACCCTGACTTACATTGCATAGACTTACTGACGTGATATTATCACAAATTAAAGCTCCGATGATTTTCAAATGTTCATGAAGGTTGTTCGAGCAATACCAACATAAGAACTGAAAACCACTTCAATGTGCCCCTTTAAAGGTTTTCTTGCATTTATTTCATCTACGTTACATCACAACACTCTATCTTAAGAATAACCCATATTTCGCGTCAGCTTTTCTGTTCGATTAAAGAACATTTATCTTAAGCATTTGTTATAGTTGTTGCTTTGTGATTCCAAACTACAGAAACGTCAGCAAACTTATTTTTTAACTTTCTATACAAATAAAGCTATTCACGATACTTCAGCCACAAACTGCGGCATAACCGTCATAACATGCACCGGCAAGAAACTTAAGACTAATTTGTCTGATGTTTTTTCATTGCACATGGGTATACATACTCTCTAGCCTAGAGAACGAAGTAATTTGCTATTTTTCCACTGACATTATAGGAAAACGAGTGTAGACATACTCCAGCTATAATTAGTGAACGATGAAAGTTCAAATACTTGAATGCCTCAATCCAGTGATGACAACCGCCCTGACTGCGAGTATATTGCTATGGATGAAGACACAAAAAGCGCCAGAAACGACCAGAAAAAGATTCGGTCGAGCGCTCGAGCGATCTCCTTCCACATTTTCTGGTTAGCTTCTTCTTTGTCTTCGACTTGAAAGATAGAAATTCTACTCGATGTTGATTTTCTTTCTTGCCTAAACGTGTCTGGTAACTGCTTCTCCATATTTTCTAGCTCCACATTATCATTTCTCCCCGCTTTGTCTTCGTTATTTTCTGCTGCGACTCTGGAATTTATTATTACAGAAGAACCGGGAACCTCCTCTCGTCGTGTTCTTCGATTGAAGCAGGAGCAACCAAGCTTGTTGATTGCTGAAAATCAAAAAATTGGTTTAGTCAAAAGGCATCCTTCATATTCCACTTAATAGACCTAGAGTTATGGTAGGATCGTTGTTGTTGTGAATTTCATGGTCAAACGCAGCTACGGGTATTAAACAAATAGTCCTATAACCACCGTCACCGTCACTGTTATTGTCATAGTGCTGCAGCTGTTTGCAAAAGTAATTGTCCAGTTATTATGTCATAGCTATAACTATTGTCGAATGGCCTTCGTGTTTCAAGCTTCCGTTGACATTTTCACTGCTATTGTCACCCAAATGGACATTCGTTCATAAGCCGGTTCTCATTTGATAGAGTATTTTATTTGTCTCACCTGTAATATAAGTCAAGATGCGAGGTGGCTCTGAAGTCGCGTGGTGAGTCCTCAGGACGAGAACTGAAGCAGCCAGCGCTAGGCCGATCTCAAACATGATCATGATGTAATAAACACCAATGAGGGGCAGTGTGTCGGACTGTTCAGGAAGCTGATCGGTGACAACAAGTAGGTAAACGCTGACTGCCAGTAAAATCGTTGCACATAATCCAATCCTCTCGCCACTCTCAACGGGAATAAAGAAGCTTACAAGAACCAACATACCAATGATCATGCACGGGACGATGGAAAAAAGAACAAAGAACAATGGTTTGCGTCCAATAGAAAATGATACTTTAACCTCGCTGAATGTCCGAGAGTGCTTCTTGATATTCTCTGTCTTGATCTCAATGCTTCTCAGTGACCAATAACCATTTGATGTGGTGAGTTTAAGCTCTGAAAGAAGAAACATGAATCAAGTCAGCATCATCAGAGTGACCCCAACGCTTTTAACGATACTAAGAACATGGAGATACGAAAGGCAAACCTTTCAGGGACAAGTTAAGAGGTAATTCAGCATTAGGATGCATGCTATGGAAGTTGTTTCCACATCAACTTCTCGTCTTAACGATAGCCCCAGTTATTGTTTAATTGGGAATCGTGCAAGTCCAGGAGTGATAACGCAAAATTATTTTGAAAATTATTCCATATCAAACTCAAAAAAGAGCATTTCTTATATTCATGACGTCACTCCAACGTGGATCGACATAGTCCTCAGGACAGAGAACTATTCTTATACTACCTGTGAAGTGAACCTTAAACGGCGCCTATCGCCTTTAAGATTGATCCTTTCCCGATGAGCGTGTCAAGAGAAATAGAGGTTTCTAATGAGCTCTGGTCCCTTTGAAATCCTCCTCTACACCCATTTTCTCTCTTTCTTTTCTGTACTTATGTTCCAGGCCAGTGACTTCGTTGGAAAAAATTGGCCTCTTTAACCTTTTATCCTTTTTCAACCCTTTGCCCAAATATTTAATTGTTCCATTACCTTCCTCTGGATCATCACTCTCTACTGTTCTGGTGTAAAGATTCAGAAGAGTGCTATCAGCAGTTAGTGAACGGAACAACATGCTACACTTCTGTTTGTCGAAGGGAAAGAACTGGACATTAAGCTTGCACGTGCTTTTAAACGTCGCCGGAGATAACCACGTGTTTTTGCCATCACTGCTCACAAGCACCCAACTTCGGAATTTTTCTAAGTGGCCTGCCTGAACAACTTCATCATCGGCGCTGAAAAAATTCAAACAGAAGGATTTTTGGAAATTGAAAGTACTGTACCATTCAGGCCAATTGAATGGAAGGGACTCTATTTAGCCAGCAGGCTTAGATCCATCACCAAACGGCGCCCGGAATTAACAACAACAAAAAAGGAAGCAAATGAAACATAACATTTTTAAACATTTTAAAGAAGGTAAATCCTTACACCAATAGCATATATGAGCCAAAAAAATATGTATCAAAATTTAAGCCAGTGCAACTAACGTTATTAAAGAAATTGAGCCCCTGCATCTCACAGATAGATGACATTAATTATTGTCTCGAGAATATAGCAAACACCCTAAACCATAATGATACCTGCATTTTCTTCCTAATTGGTGATTTGCATGTCTGACGTTTTTTAAAAAAAAAAGGAAACGTACTGCTTTCTATTACCCATCTGCAGGTAAAGTTAATGCTATTCACATGTGGCAGAATTTAACTCACTTGTTTTCAAGAACAATATCTGGAACCCATACTTCTTTTGGATCCACCAGTATCTCCCTTATGTTGTCATACGTAGAAGGATTCCAGCGAAGATAAGGATTATTCCATTTCTGTAAACCGGATTTTTAAAAAAACAAAAACGCTGAAACCTGCGCTGAGGCTTGGCTCGAATTATTACTTTTATTAAGGTTTGCTGTATATCTGATATCACCGCCGTGGGAACTAACCAAATACGCAAAAGCTGGAAATGTTCTGTTTTCTATTTAAACAGAAAATCACTGAATTCACTTTCCAGCGGAATTTTTGGTCGTGTAGGCCTCTAAAATTTGACCAACCCCAAGTCGAAAAACAAAAAGTTACCAATCTGCAAGACGAAACGAGATTTTCATGCTCTCCATTTCAAATGATCATCATTTTTAACTAAACGTGAGTTACAGACCTTCACTCTGTTTTAGAAACAAGCTGCCTGCCGGGAAAAAGGATGTTTTCTTCGAAACACGTCAAATAAATTTTACACTGAGAATTTACGGTTAGAACAGTAGTAGATGCAGGGTACATTAAAAGGAACGACGAATGAACAAGCGTATGCATGCAAAAGTTGTGGTTAAAAGTTTTTTACTTTAAAACTGATTTGATCAAGATTTCCTTTTGTCTCATATCCATGACCGTCAAATAAGACATGGGTGAAAACAAAAGTCCACAAAGGACCGGTTTGAAAAATTCAATCTGAAGAATAATGCAAGGAAGTTTGGGCAGGAATAGTGGTCGATTTTGGATTTTGGACGCCAGTAGGTGGGAGACCGACTTATGCTATCCGGCGTTGATCGCCATATTCTTGTTTAAATGAAATCAAAGATAAAGATCCCACAATGCAGAGCATTTTTATAAAGTATTTTCTGGTTTACAAAGAGCCCGACTGTTAATAGCCTTATGAAATCTAGTCCTTAGTTTTGCTCTTTTCGTTTTTGCACAAAGCAGAAGAACGTGTAAATTTTTTTAACGCTTAGTACCTAACTATATGTCGATCAATCTTACCTGAGTGATCACTGTGTCAATTGTAATGACTTGCTGTTTGTTGTCCTGCGAAACCAAAGCACAGATTTACAGAGTGTGGATATTTTAGAAGTGAATATGGAAGGAAACGCCCACGGGTACTTTGATTTCAAAAACGTCCAAACATATATTCATCCTCCAATAAGTTTACTAATTTCAAAGTTCACCGACAGAATTGAATCCTAATGATTTAGGTCTTTGACTTGTCAGTGTAATACATTCCCTTAGGATGCATATTTTAAAGCGTTAATTTTCATCGTTTGGTTGGTTTGAGAAATGATAATCCTTTTTTCAGCAAGACTTTAGAAAACATCCAATTTTAGGAATTGGCTTCAATTTGCAAGGCGTCAAGGACGTTGATGTGACAAAGATTATTTAAAAGCGTATTCTTAACTTATCTTTGAGTCTGGGATTACAACGAACTGATGCACGGAGTAGGTAGACTACTCTAGGGCAGGTAAATATTTTGGGAACACAATTCGTCTGTCGCACTTTGTACTCATCGTCGCACTTTGTACTCATCGTCGCACTTTGGAACATCTGCTGCACTTTGTAATAATTGTGACAGGTACCTTATTCAAACTGCAACAGCTTTTTTATTACAAAGTGCGACAAGTGTTATTAGAAAGTGCGACAGGTATAACTAAGTGCCAAAATTTTGTGGTTAATGTTGCTGCTTTTGCTGTTTGTTTGTCTGTTTCATTTTTTTGTCTCAAACTTAACTTAGCCATTACTTACCCGTTGCAAAAGTTGTACGAGTAATAAAATACAAGGATACGGTAACTAAAATCCTAAAGGGGTTCGATCGTTTGAGCCAGACAACCGAAATCAAGTACAATTCAGGTCCATTTTGGAAGGGAGGATTTAAGCCAAGTACCAGCAGTTTAAAACTGAGGCCCTCCAACCACTTAGCCACGTTACTGTCTTGGGTTCACATATTCACACGGTGGCTTTATGCTAAGGGTTATTAATAGATGTCGTGAAGGAGAAATTCTCCTTCTTTCCACTTAAATCGATGGATGTTTCATAGTTTGAGATGTTTGCAGCTGTTTAAAATTGATGTTCAATATCATGAGAACTCAAGTTAAGCAGTTTGCTTACCACTGCACTGAGAGCCTGGAACTGCACATCGAATGTGACATTAAAAACATCTGACGGCTTCAAAACCGGACGAACCATTTTGTCATTTGAAGAAAGCAAAGCTTTTCTTAAACGATACTCTGCTGATTGTGTTATGTTGTGTCCTTGTCCTGATACAGCTGAAAAAAAGAAAAAAAAAAAGAAAAAAAAAAAAGCGATGAAAACAGCGATTTGAAGTGGGTCATAATGTTTAAGCTCTCTTGCTCTAAAGAATCAAAACCGTTGGAAAAAGATTCAGCTGAGAGTCAAACGAGATGAGGATTTCAGTGCTTTGTGTATGCTATGCTACGCTCTGTGATTCGTTCAGAAAACTGATTTAAGACGCAAACCAATGGCGTTTAACCACGTTTTACCACATTTGAGGAAGTTTTGTCTATACTGTAAGTTTTCAAAATCTCCCTATCCTATTTACCTTTCTTTTTGTGTTAGCCATTTTAAGTGAATTGGCTTTCATTTTACAACAATCAATGATGAAGTGCTTTTTCAATTACTCATTGTACTTTAAAGGTAATTACGAGAATGATGACATAATAACGATCATCCTATTGAATTAGGAAGTTATAACTTGCCAAATAGGCGCCTAAGTACTTCTTTATTTGGTATTAATGAAAATGTTCGGTAACCTTTGAAAATGGCCTAGAGAAAGTTCGTTGAAATGCTTCAATGGTCACTTGAACAAAAGACTGGCAGACAATCCGATCACAGGAGACATGTAATAACTTTAACTGTGATTCTTGTTATCTTAGCCTACCTTATCTTTATGGAATTTGTTTAGAATCATTGTGCATTTCCGACGAGTATGATTTCTCGCTACCTATAGGGCTAGTCAGTCCTTTTATTCAAGGAAGCTCGCTTCCTAACGAAATGAAATCCGTTAGAAAATTTATTTGCCTACTTTTCCAATTAATAGAGATAATTTCGCGATGCGAATTATTTGAAATCAAATGCAAAATTTGAATTTTTTCAGTTTCTTTTTTCATTTTGGAATAACAATTACATAAAGCAATGGATTTATAACGACCTGAGCCTCATAATTAAACTGAACTTTAACCAATTGAACGAACATGGAGCCTAAAAAGATAGCTTTGTTGATATGTTTTGAACCCGTGCCTTATCTTTGCCGCCGCTCATATTACGAAAATATTTGGTTTTTTTTTTTTTTAACCTCTGAGGCTCGAGGTAATAAATCTCGAACTTTCGACGCCAATAAAGAGATAAGCATGACTTGGCACGGACCGATTAGAAAGAACAACAGTTACTGCTTGCAATAGCTTTTTGGCTGATGATTTGTTCTTTGAACGATCATCTCGCGACCAACAATTTTTTTGCTCTGGAATTTTTTCTCTATGATCATGTAGATCCGACGGGCAATCGAGCCGCGTTGCTCGGAAGCTTTTATTCTAATGGAATTCTGGTAACCAATTGAACACCTATAAAAGCTTCGAAAAGCCCCGTGTATTATCGATACTGCTCAATGATATACGTGGATAAATTTCTCTAGCCTTACCGTAAGCCTTTACATCTTCCCGTAGAAAATCTCACATTAGAAACTTATTTGTACTTGTTTCACTAGACATTTACTCCTGTGTTGTCACTGGAAACCGAAACAAATTACAACATAGGTTTGCCACCTTGCAAAGTCAATGGCACACTTCTGGAATAATGTCTACAACAAGCTTAGAAACTTGGCCTCGAGCGAAACACGCGATAAAACTTGAATAAATTGAAAGTGATTGCTTAGTTAGCGCCAATTAGTTGTCATGGAATAAGCTGAGTTCATTTACTATCGAAAATTCGTCACTTTTCAATGACTCTACCTAGCCCAAGTCCCAATATGAGCGCTTATAGTCACAATGAGGTCATTTTATATAAAAGGTATATCATTGTCGCATTTCGTTTTAAAAGATCTTGTTTGGAAGCAGAAACGCTACTACTTCTTCTACTTCTTCTTTAAGAATTGTCTTTAAACCTTTAGATATATATCTATTTCTTTCCCCTAGGCAGGGGACGCTGTTGATTTAGGATAATATTTGAAAACCCCGAGGCAATCCTTATTAGTAAGTCACAAGGAAGATTTTAAAACCACTTGTAAATGCGAGGGAAATGGAAAGAGCTGTTTTGCTTAGTATCTGCCGGCTGTAAGTCGTAGTCTTCCTAAATGTCATAATTTTTCTAAATATAGTGTTTTACTATTTCTCCTAATGGAAATTATGCTGGTCACAGGAAAATTTATGCTGTTTTACGTTTGTGGTCAACAATCCATTAATAGTAGTTATAATGTCTAATGGATATAACCAGCCAAGTTGACTGTATTTGCATGCAGCTACATCATCTCCTCAAAGAAATTACAGCCGCTACCAGAAACTTACCTGTAGAACTAAAACATATTGGAATAATATAAAACGAAATCACCACAACTGGAAAATTCCCACCCTGCATTTGCTCAAGGAAATAACATTAACTTAATGAAAAACATCAAGGCCGCAGCCTTGAACGATTTGAATGTGGTCCCCCGTCGGGCTCAAAATTAGTTTTGGCAAAGATGCCATGAAGCTTAACTCGTGAATATCGAAACCTTCCAGATAACGTCTTTCCTATCGGAAGCTTTTCTGAACACCTTAAATTTCAAACGTGTTGCGTCGGGCTAAGAAATGATTACTAAGCTAAATTAATGTATATTCATGCCTCTGCAGTAATGTTTCCTATTCAAGAAGCTTCATCACAAGAAACTTACCGAACAGATTTACACAAATTAAGAAGACGAAAGAAGAACCAACGATCCACATTTTGGTTAAGGCTAGTGATAGAACATTCGCCAAAACATACACGGAAAAAAGCATCCACCTGCCTCTTTATGGAATCGCCTGATCTATTTACGTAGCTAACAAGTCACGCCATTATTATTTAACCCTTTAATTAGGCCGCAGCGTGAACGGGACTGTTCCCAAACGGAAAATTTTTTTGAATTGACGTAGTTATGATATTTACAGAACAGAAATGTTTATTCTTCATGGTTGTTCTGAACCAGTTGTTTTTCAGTTTTTTTCGTTGTTTTGACGGTTATTTCTGGCCTTTGTTGTTCAAGGGTTAGTTAACCTTTCACAGTCGGCGCCAAACGAAGCCAAGAGCACAATTTAGATTTTGCTGGACGCTCATTTCCTTAAAACGATGACAACGTGACTTAATAAGCGCTAACGACCAAGACAATGATCATACTCATTTACTAAAACTGTTTCCATAACGATCCTTAAACAAGGGAAGTAAGTACTTCATCAAATCAAGTGTTTGGATACGAAAATGGCGTTAAACTGTAACAACTACTAGTCTATATGGTTGTGAAAATAATCTGATTTCTTTTCAAGAAGAAAGCACCTTGCTAGCTTCTTCCAAGTCTGAGAGGTTATTCAAATTTTTATACCTTATCGTTGATTTATTTATTTTAGTTTACTCACCTGTTTTCCGTCGTCAAAATGGCTCTTCCTGTTTACTCCCCTGATACCAACCACAAGCTGCGGCCTAAAATCCATTTGGTGCGCTCGAGCCAATATGTGTTGATGAAAAACTTAAATTGCAATATTAGTGAAATAATGTTTGGAAACAATTACAAAGCTCTGCCAAACCTGCATATAGTATACGCATTTTTCTTAATTTTTACTTAAACACAGTCTTGACTCGCGTAGAAATTTTCACCAAATTCGTCGGCCAAAATAATCAGTATGATGTATGGACTTTGCTTTGAAGCTATCTTTTCAGGCAAACATCACGTCAGATCGTTGCAATTATCTTCAAACTAATTTGTTCAAGTGAAAGAACCACTTTGAGAAATTGTTGAAAACATCCCTCTTGTGGTTTTATAATTTACTTGACGTTCTGACTTCACACGAAATTAATTAAGCAATCCAAAAGCGCTCATTCTCCCAGTTTACCTAATTTTTTCAAGAAATCTTAGGTCCATTAACTACACATATAACCTCATTTGAGCATTATCACACGGTATTATTTTGAATTACACATAGAGCTATTGTAGTATAAGGTCATGCACATATTTTGACTATGACGTGCGTATTCAGTTTTAGTTCAAGCTTTAAAGTTCCTGGATATATTGTTGGTTGTTTAAATCTCGAGGTACGTGATCCCACAAGACCCTTACTTTCCCATCAGTATGCTAACTGAGAGTGAAAAGTTCTTTAATAGTTGAAAACTTTACTAAACGACGTAGCATTGCAGTAGCGGGAGGTGATTACAAAAGCTGAGTTGATTACTGTGCTGCAAATTACGTCGGATCATTTGAAAACGCGCTGCTTCGTTTTCTTCGTTTCCAATATTGCCTGTTAACTATTTCTTTGGCGGAAAGGTCACTTTTACAAGAAAATTCACGATTAATCTGCTAGTATCTCTAGTATCTTCCTTTGAATGACATAAAGTTAGAGCTAAACAAAACCCAAACCTTTTTTATTCCGTCGCCCAACTTTTTTTAATAAGGGACTTGTAAAGTAGTCAATTTAATTGCTAAACGAGCCATGTTTTTCATAATTAATATCTTGTCTTGAAGGCGTTTTCAAACTTTTACATGAAAATTCCGTCAAAAGAATTGAAAACGCAAAGAACCCGGTTAATTTACAATTTCCTCGCCATTAGGAACGATCCAAGTCAATTTTGGCGCATGTGGTGTTAACCAAAGTTTGCTCTGAAGCGCAAATTAAAATACCTTTTTTCCCAGCAAGCTACTCTACAGAATCGTTCCTACTCTGATACAAAAACGCTTAAAGAGGGCGAGGAAGTATTTGTACAAAGATCCGAGATTCTTCTGAGGAAACTTTTAGACTGAATTCCAGTACACGAAACCAAAGAACGTCAACGTTAGCCCCATTAGAGGCGAATTCTGCCTGATTTCTGAACGCCTTATATCATTGTGTTTTTTTTTCTAAACTATTTATATGCGTATTTGCTATGCGCTTTTACATTATTTCCTCTGCTGTACGCGTAAAGGCAAGTATCGAAAACAATGAGCCAACGGCTTCAGTCACGTTTCAATGACTGATCCTATGGAAACTGATCACATCAACCAGCTGTACCCCTTGAGGCAATTATTTGACGACGTGTATTTCGAGGAGGGTAGGAAAGCCAGTACCGGCGGAACTAGTAGTATTGAAAGTATTATTAGTATTGAGCTTGAAACGCAGAACACGTTTGCTAATGGTTCTGACTACATTTGCAATAGTCATCCGAAATGCATGATTACTACAAGTGACACAAAGACAATAGAAGTCTTCGTTGTTTTGACTTGTTCAAGACAGCATTGACTTGTCATTGTTATGCTCTGATTATTTTATTTTAAAACTAACCTTGATAATTTAGCTCCTTGTTCAACCAATTTCACTGATCGAATTTTTTTTCGCTAAAACATTCACGAGCATTAGAACTGTGTGCATCACTCTTCAAAAATGTTCGTATGGAGGGGTATGCGGAAATGAATGGTTTATTGCTGATCGCTGTAGACTCCAGAATCATCTATCATCACATTTACTTTTATTATTGAAAGTCAAACTTTTGAGAATAGTTGATGCTAATATTACAAGTTCTCTTAGGTGTTAAGGAAAAAACTGCTGTGTAAGACATCAATATACTGATTTCACAGTTCGAGAAAACCAGTCTCACTAGTAACATTCCTGTTATTCAAACGGCACTTCTATTTACTCCCAATGTTGTTGTAAAGTCGATCGCACAAATTTTTTCACAAGATAAACAGTTACTCAGCTTTCAAACCATTTACTGTTTCATGCTTGAAAAGAAAAGAGAGTTTTGTTCGTCTAGAATAGACTTTTGCCCCAGGGGTTCAACAATTGTATTTTAAGTAATGTCTACAGCGCTGCGCACGAAACCACAAGGCAGATGGCGATTGGAAAGTTAAAAAAAAGTGGCTTCAATGAAATACAAACAAAAACTCAGCACGTCCATTGCACTTAGTAGTGAGTATCGTGACGAAAAAATTACGAAAATAAATTTTCTAATGTCGTATCTTATTAACAAGGCCAAAAGTCGACAATAAGTTCTCTCCCTCTTCTTAAACCAGAATACACTCCCTCAGAGGTCAATGATGAGAAAATATGGCAAAAGAACTCATCATATAGTTGCATTAGTTTTGTTTAAGGTTTAATGAGTACAAACACATTTTCTTCGTGGCGTTTTGCTACTGTCGTTTAGTGGTAACTAGAAACCCTTGATTAAAACATTAACCTTTCGTCTTTTTTATCATAAGCACATTTACTGGAATTATCTGATCTCGTATTGATGGATTTCAGTGCAAAATTACGTTAATTTATCCAAAATATCCTTTAAAGCACTTTTCATTATTAGTTGCCCGCCTGGAGAGAGAAGAATATTACGTGAGTGAGACACTTAGAACCACGTACCGTTGCTAGACGGTTGCCGCGTAAACAAGACGTATCCTTGTTACGGACACAGATTTAAGTTCTAGTCGTCGCTGAACTCATTGTTACTCAGTCTCCGTTTTTTAAGCTGTGCCAGTGCTTTCTATTTCAAAACTTCGCAAATTTTTAATTTGTATTGTTCATTTTTGCAAACTCATAAGTCTCTAAACCAAACTCATGCATCAGAAGCGAATTAAGAATATTTATTTTTCTATTCAATCATATTTTTTCTATCCAATTCTATTCTATTTTTTTCTATTCACACAATGTCACAATGAAGCTTTAATATTTCTTTATTTATAACTGATATCTGAAATATTAAATTTTAAGAATCTTTTAAATCTGTTTTGACCGTTTAAGTCACACAGTTCTTACGGGCGAGTATTTTTGTCCTTTTTCGATGTCAGAATATTATTCTTGTCACAGAATATTCGCCAGTCACATTACCTTTCATTAAGCTTGATTCTTAAATAGTTGAGTGAGCTTGCAAACAAAACTCCGCAAAAAAACTGAGAAGTAAATCCATATTCATCAGAAATTGTAGAATTTTATGTAAATCAAAACCACCTCCGTCGAAGAGTGAAGTGCCGTCTGCATTGCGACAGATCAATGTGGCGCTCTGGAAGGAAGAAGGCCACTTGACCATGTAACCGACTCGTTTGGACCCTTTAATTTTTATATACGACTCGTTAGCTCTCTGGAGGAAACTGACACTATGTTTTCCAAAACAAATTCTCACCTGCCGCTGTAATATCAGACGACTTGTTTTCTTTGGTCTTCTTTCGGGGTCAAGCGCTCGTCGAATCCACGTTCGCCTGAATCAGGGAGTTGGTTATGAGAAGAGAAAACGTTTGGAATTCAATTTTTTGAGGGGAACGCTCTGATATAGATTTTCCGTCGTCTAGTATCTTTTGGGGACTTCATTTTGTATTTAGCCACGTGGATGTGTGACGATTCTTTTTCTTAGAGGCCTTTACCTTATTGTAAGTAGCATTTCGAAAAAGTTTACAGGTTTTTCGTATAAAATTAAGAAAGCATTACTGGTTTATAAAACATGTTTCAGCACTACTCGTTTTCATTCTCCGTAGAAAATGCTCGTCCAACAATTGAAAACTAAATTTACAAATACGTTATCGAATTACGACTTAAGATTACGCTATACATGTACAGATTCGTGTACTATTACAAGTTTTTAATTTTTCAGTTCTCGGATTGTCCATTTTCAGTCGTAGAAATTAAGCATTTTCTGAATCATCGAAGTTTTAACGGTTCTTAAAGATAAGAGATTTGAATTTCGTGGGTAATAGCAGCAAAATGATGGCTTTTTTAAAAATGTTATTAAGGCATGAAATCTTCATGATTACTTGGTAAGTGAATA